ATGGCGCGCGGCGCTCCGAGTGCACGTGAATTATATCGATCGCTATAACAACAATAGATAATATTGTAATATTACCTGCCAAACTGTTAATTTTGAAACGTCATATTATTATTATTATACGTGATGCGCGAACATCATAATTTGCACAATCCAATCAATTTATTATGAAAAATTAGATAGGTACATTTTGGTTTTGCTAAAACCGGACTTTTTTTTATCATAACCGAACGTTAAAACAAATGCTTTATACACCATGACCATATCATCATTGTGTGTGATTAAGTTGTTATTGTTATTAAGTTAATTTTGGTATTTACACTCGAATAAACATACACACGAATCACCAGACAAATCGTTATTGCGAGGAGGCCGCATTGCCGATGTTTAAGGGGTTGCGTTTAGGCAATTTTATCGATGTAAAAAAAAAATAATAATGAACCGTCTCAAAAATATTCCTTTACCGTTCTCCTATGAATGTGAAAATGGTTCGGATCCTCATCGCAAGCGTTTATTGTATAATAATGGCATTTGTTCAAAAAAATGTTTACGTAAAAGAAATAAAAATCTATTATATTTAATTAACAAGTCATTTCGTAGATAAAGTGTGAACACAACTTTATCAAGTGTTATCGTCCAATACCTACATTAGTCATCTTTTCCAGACGTGGTCAAATTTTTAAAACATTTAAAACTGTTGAGTTTTTTAGTTTTTATTCGATTTTATGTTTTATTTTTGGCTACTCAAAAGTGCTTGAAAATTGTATACGTAGTTCATCATAATTCTATCTTGTAGCACCATAAAAGTATTGAAAATCTGTTGTGGTTATTTTTTTTATAAACGTTTAAAGTTCACGTTTTTATGAAACACGTCATAATCATATTTCATATTTTCGGATTTACGCTGATTGTTTTTTTTTTTTTTTTTTGTTATTCAAATTAATGCCGTTTTCAAACTGTTGAATGATAAATAACCATCGTCTTTTCAGCAACGCGTTGTCAACACAAATGCCGCGACAGTCTAATATATCTGTAAGCAGAGTTCGTCCATTTAAACGGACAAACCGCGTACATTTCGTATTACGAATTTATTTCAAACGTGCATCAAATTATTATTAGAAATATTGTGCAGATTATGTTTTACAAACTATCTCTCGATAATCAAAACGCCAATGGAGTTCTGAAGCGAAACACGGCAACTCTTACCCCAGTAAAAGACAATAAATGATCCCGGTGGCCGTGTTTCTAGGACGGGACTCCGACGATCCGATTATTCCGTGTCCCCCGCAATGCACCAACCACTTTTCGTATGAACCGTACGTTTGATTAACACGAGTAAATTCTGGTGTCGTTCCGGATACCAAAGTTATTTCCGTTCTGCTGTTCAGAAACGCAGAGTTGTGAACACCGATTTAGCTCTGCAATTTTATTAACGAAAATTAATGGGTAGGAAATAGGTAGGTTCGTTTTGACACTATTATTAAAGACGAGTAACATTTTATTATAATGACCAGGCGTATAATTATTAATAGTTCTTATCGTTCATTATCGACGTTAATCGTGTTTTAAACCGCGATACTAACTAGAATAGTTATTGGCTATACGCTCTATTCTACTGCACTGTTTTCTGTTGATAATGATGGTTCTCAATTCTCGTAGTTACGATCGCGAATAAAAAGTTCTTTTTAATTTTTTGAGCGACTTCGGAATATTTTTTTTTTTTTACAAATAGGTGTGCTGAAATGATTATTACGGCGGAGTTCAAGGGAGAAAGCCGTATTATGGATTACGTTTATGATAGACTTTATCGTCATTTAATTTCCCCGTTGAATTTATGCTCATAAATAATAATTCTCAACATTCGTGGTCGCCGTTCGATATTTTCGACAAATATTAATAATTTATGATCGGCGTGACGCTATATTAAAAGTTCAAAAACAATTTTCAACAATTTATATTATAATATTTAATAAATAATATTATTATTTATCAATGAGACACTCTTGAATATGTATTCGCCTTCGGTCAGTTATTTGTAATCATCTGATTTGGAGTGGGTAAAACAGTTGATTTGACTGAACGGAGTAAACTTTAACTACTGGTTTACGAACGGATGTTAACGACCCGTCTCGTCGTCATTTACTCAAGGGTTTACACTCATCGTATAGTTGTACTACACACTTTTGTATTTATGTACACATAAATAAATATGATGTTCAATATAATATATTCAAATCAATTATTGATTTATTGTTGAATTATTATTCTAATGAGAAAATTAACCAATCTAAGTATAATTTCTTTATCAACAATAACAGTTTATAACAATTGATAACCATATACATATTGCGTAACTTCTACCACGAAGAATCAGTAAGTCATGGTCAAGTAAAAGAAAAAAAGAAAACGGCCGATACTGCTGATTGGAACGCTGACGAGAAGTTGGCAAATTAGGATACATTAAATATGTAATTTATTTGTCTAAACAACGATAAACCATTATTGCTAACGAAAAACGATTCTGATCGAATTTCGTATGTACGTAACTTCAGAGGCCGTAATATTTACGATTGTCATAAAAATTTAATTGATAAAACCATTATAAAAATAATAACAATAATAATAAAACTATATTACACTTTATTTTTTATTTTTTTTTTAACCGCTAAGTACAATTTATAATGAACCTCTTGTTAACTTTTTAAGCATTTCTGTTTGTCAAACAATGGTATCCACATAGTACCTACTAAATAAAAACTATTTAAAAAACTCGTAAATGTAAAATGCCTATAAAACATAAATAGTTCAAATATCGTTTTGAAAATTTTACCTCGTCTAGAAAAGCCAAATACTTGGTTTCTGTCGAAAAGTCTCTATTATATATATTATATATACTTGTATTATATACGAATATTTTAAACTTAATTAGGAAAAAAAATGAAACAAAAACAAAATTGAAAATAAAAAATAACCATTATTTCCGTAAACTTATTCAGTCTTCATACATCTATTTCCGGTTTTTGATTATTGAGAAAACCGCGTGAAATATCAAAAAACGACTTTCTTACTCACTAACTAGATCTGAAATTCAACAAAAAGATCTCGTATTGTTGTTCGATTGGAGCAACATTTCTAGTGGAAAACATAAACCGTAAAAATTTAAACAAACGAAGCCATATAACATTGTAAATTTGTCAGTTTTCTTTTTACGCCGTTGTTGCTTTATCCCAATTATTATGAAAACTTAAAATAAAAAAATGAATTTCATACCCATCAACTATACTACTAAATGCAACGAAAATTTCTCTTTTTCATTTTTTTTTTTTTTTTTTTGAAGCAAGATTTCTGGTGGAAAACATAATGCGTACAAATTTAAAATAATGAAATCAGTATCGTCGGGACGCCCGGAGCGCCGTAAATGTTTGTCCGTATTTACCACACGTTTTTTTTTTACCGGTTTTCGCTATCAATCATTTTGAAAACACCGTGTAAAATCAAATAATGCCCTCTTCAATGTGCCAACTAGAACAAAGTTGTGAGAAAAAAATGTCTTTTGTCATTTGTAACAAGATTTTCAGTAGAAAAGTCACAAAAAAATATATACTAAAATACAAAAAAAAACGCACACACACATATAGTAAAACCAATAGATCCCTGGAATCTAAAAAAAAAAAAAAAACCATCAGTTGTTTAGAATAACACAGGTAGTTCAAGAACGGTGGCCCCGTGGTAGCAAATATGTTTAGGTATTATAGGTACACATAATTGTGCCGGAAAAAAAAAGAATTTAAAATATACAATACAAATTAGTGCAATCGCAAAAATTCTCTGTACGTTATCCGTTTAAAAAAAAAAAAAAAAAAAAATGACGCAATAAAAAAAACATTGCTTTCGTGCTGCTTTTAATGTTAAAACATTAGGATGTACGGCGTACGGTGTACGGCGCTAAGCAAACCAAAAATATTTGGTAACTATTTTTTATTTGAATTATTCACCTGGCGAGGACATTTTAGTTACGCGCAATCGCGAAATAAATTTAACACGCATCATAAACTGTTTACCTCACAAGTCCGTCTAACAAGTACCGATCGCGGGACGTATTCCGAATGAATTGAGGAACGGGATTTGATTGATTTTTTTTTTTTTTTTTCTCGGTTGCTGTTGTCGTTCACGCAGAGGACTTCGATCAAGTGGACAACAGTGCGCGTCCACTTTGCTCGACTCGCTCAGAGCCGATTCGCGTAAAACATCCGGTGTGCGAGTCTGTCGGCACACGCGCCGTTCGTGGACCGCCGACGCCGCCGACTATCCGATCGGCCCCGTAACAGTAAAAGCGCGCCGTTGGGGCCGTAACGATTTAACGACAATATCGGATTTTCGTCGACTGGGAAAAACCGGTCGAAAAAAGGCCGCCGTTTGATGTCCGTCGAAACCGTTGGCGCGCGCGGTTTTTCGCCTCGGAATCGCCCCGTACACACGCTTAACGCGAGCACGAAAAAACGCCAACGGTCACGGGCGGACATCGGCGGACGCGATCCCTACGGACGCCACTGCGCTCGGACGTACACCGGGTAGGGGCTGGGGAGAGATTAACACGGTATCATAGGTGTTCTTTCGAGTGTGTGCGTGTGCGCGCGCGCGTGTGTGTGCGTGTGCGTGTGTGTGTGCGTGTGTGCGTGTGCGTGTGTGTGCGCGCGCGACACGAGCATCACGGGCGGACCGGATCGCCGGGAGGGAAACCCGGTGACCTACTGCTACGCGCGACCGCCGCCGAAGTTTCCGCGTCCCCTTTATCGCGCGACCATGTGCGTATAGTTATTGTGTAGTACGTAATATTATATATATTTTTTATTTTTTTTTTTTTTATTTTCATTTCATACGTTTCCTCCTTTCTTCCTACCACCGCGTTTCGCGCCGCCCGGACCGTCCGATTGAATTCGCCTTGCCCGCACAAGCGCGCGCGCGCCGGCTCGTTCAGTCAGTGTCCATTCCGCAACCGGTATACCCACTGCGGGCCCAGACACACGACGTTTACCACTTGGCGACCACTTGTTCGCCAATAAAATACAAACAAATTTTTTTTTTTTTTCATTTTTTCATTTTTTAAAAATATCGTAAGTCGCCGCCGAGACAGTGCGTTCCGTTCCATCTGTACGCTCACGACTATCGTTACTATTGTTATCGTTTTATTACTGTATATGCGGTCATCGTAATTGCATACTACGTGTCTATACGTGTTTTTTTTTTTTTTTTTTTTTTTTTTTTTTTTCGGGCCCCCCCCCCCCCCCCCCGGTCTTTACATAGGTCGGCCGATTCGGCGCGGCTCGCGTGTATCCCGATGTGTATTACACCGCCATTATTTTTTGGGGACACATATAACCGCCGTATTCCCGTCCTTTTTCCCGTAATAAAACGATTGAATTTTTGCCTCGGGGGTTTTTTTTGTGTTATCGAAATAGAAAAAGCAAATATATTTATTTTTGGGATACAGCGTAGAATTTCGACGACAAAAAAGCGCAAAAATCATACGGTATTAAAATCGTCGCGAATATCGTTTAGTTTTTACAGCGTCGCGCGATACCGAAACGATTATCCTTTTGTTTTTTTTTTTTTTTTTTTTTTTTTGTGCTCCGGAAGATCAAGTCGATAAACACACCGAGAACCACGCGAAACCAACGATTACGCAACGCGCAACGGCAACGGATAGTAATGAAATTACGTGTCACGATCCGCATCGGAGATTATCCCCGCGGACACAGCCCGCGTTTAAACGTTCACCGACGCGTGTAAATAGCCGTCGCTTACGCGCGTAGAAGTGCGGCTCGATACCGCGACGTTGGGTTAGGCTGGGCACCGCGAAAATAGCATTAACTATTGTTGACGAACGCGGGAAACGGCGTGAATTCGATTTTTGTTCACCTCCCGCACACGTTCGGTGTACCCGGGATACGTTTCCTTTTCGAAATTTTTATCGAACGCGCGCGGTACGAATGTTGATGTTCGTTCGGTTACGACGATACATCGGTGCGCGGGCATGATACTCATATCGGCTACACGAGGCCGAAATTTGCGAGCTATACATTTTAAACAATTTTTACGACAGTTGGTTATTTTACCCGCACCGATATCGGGTACGCCTATATAGGCGGTGACGGGCATACGAACGGTAAATCGGGCGCGCAATACAAATACGCACCGACAGGTTCCGTGTGAAAACTTGTCGCTTTTTTTTCAATACATAAATTTAAATAGAAAACGCGATAAAAACGTATACGAACATAACAATCAGTTTTCGTCACTTTTTAATTGAATATATTAATAATAGCCTCGCGCTCAACCTTCGACGCGGCTAAGTCACGATCAGTCTTTGATTTTTCCATCCAAACGTTAAAACGTAACAAACCGATGAAAACTCGTCGTCTTATATTTTTACGGCCGTAGTAAATCGAAAAAATATTCTTCACCCGCATTTCGGGCGGGTAAACACGCGAAATATTTGTCCGTCCTATTTACCCGACGCGCGTCTGCACATGCACTTGTGCACTAACAATCGTTTTACGCGTTTGGTATTATAATATCAAACAAGTAGGTGTATACCGGCGCAGTTAACAATTATCATAGCGGAAGATTTTGGAATCCGTAAATATTCGACAAAAACAATGCGTTTTTCCGTCGTTATTTCACAGAGATGATTATCGCGAAAACGCGTAATAATGTCCATTACGGGAGAGATTATATACCAACAAAACTTGTCATACGCGCTTCCCGTGCAAATGTCGTTATTATTTAGATTATTAATTTTATACCGTAAACTTGTTAAAACATAGGTACTTCGTACCCGTTATAAACGGGTCGTACCCGTTGTTACGACGGTTAAGAAAGTTTAACGAGTGTCGCTGTACAGAGCGAGGAGAACTTGTGTTGCGAAACGAAATATTATTACTTATAGGACTCGGGACTTAACGCACTTAAAATCCACAAAAAGCCGATCAAAAACGTCAAAAGAGCGTTGAAAACGCACTAAAAAAAAAAAAAAAAAAAAATGGTAGTGTGTTTTAAAAGCCCTTTCTCTCCCCTATCTAACGGCTCTAACTTATAAAATACAATTTTCGAACACTACGAAAATGATTAACACGAGTTTTTAAATAAAAATAAAATTGTAAATATTATAAAAAAAAAAAAAAATTTGTTACTCATTTTGTAATATTGGAAAATTGCATTTAATGCGAGAATTTTAAACTCCTCTGTCATTTTTGATTTTGAAAAATAAATTTTCAGGGCTCTTTTGACGTTTTCAAGCGCTTTTCTGTGGGTTTTAAATGCATAAAGTCCCGAGCTCTAAATTTATTGTAATAAAATTGTGTTAATGATTAATCTATAGGTACTTAACGCTGACGATTCGCGTCAGATTTTATTTTAAAATACGACCGTTTGATTAATAATATTTATTATTATTATAAAAAAAATAATAATAATAATAAAATAAAAAAAATAAAAAATAACTGAAATGCCGTGACGTTCGCCAATAGTGATTCCCGTTATGACATATAATAATGTGTGCGGTGGCGGCGGCAGCGCGGACACCGATGACAAATGTAACGCAAAAAGAAAACGAAACGGATCTTCGTTTTACATCGATCGTCATCAATACGAGTTTACAAGGGGGAAAAAAAATTAGACAAAAAAAAACCTTACTATACTATAAATTCGCTATGACAATCGTTGCGGGTTTTTTTTTTCTCCCCGCCGCAGGTTGTATCGGAAAAAAAGCGTAAAATGTTCGAAAATGTCACATACTTTTCGCAGAGGTTGTATAGTTGGCGAATAATACGATATTAAAATCGGGTATGATTTAACGTGTATGTAGCAACGGTTTATGATCGCGATCAACGAACGACTTTGAACCGAACGGTAAAAGTATGTGCCGTGTTTTTTTTGTTTTTTTTTTCCATTGTAGCCGAGCCAAGTAATTAGTGAAGCGGATTTATGCGTACTTAAAATCCGCAAATAAGCAAATGCGGTAGGGGGATTTTAAAGTTCCCACTCTAACGGTTCTGACCCTACTGAAGCAAATGTTCTAACACGGATAAATGATTAACACAAAGTATTTTGTTTTATACATATATAATACGTACAAATATGTTTGAAGAAAATAACTTCGTAATAACCGTTTTTTTGGGGGGGGTTAAAAAATTATTTGTATTAAGTTAGAAACAATAGACGGGGAAACGTTTAAACCCCTCGCAACCTTTGTTGCTCTTTTGAATATATTTTAAGTGATTTTTTTTTTTTTTTCGGGCTTTTATGGCGTTTTTAAACGTTTTTTTTATGAATCTAAAGTGCGTGTAAATCCGTTCCCTACATATAACCCAGAAATCGGCAGAAACGAAACCGCGACGTATCGACATTTGTTGTCCGTTGGGTGTTTCGATTTCATATAGGAAAACTGTTGGGAATCTATAGACGAGGGTTTTTTTTTTTTCAAATAAATAACCGCAGTCCGGTAAAACACTCGGGATCCAAAAAGATTACCTAAATTATTTGGCACTAAACGTTTGCCGGACGTACAGCATCGTGCGGCCACACACGGTTGCGGGAAAATTGATTTTTTTTTTTTTTTTTTTTCATCCGGAACTACAATTAGATTAATAATAAACATTATTATATAAATGAAATCGATCGCAGCCGGCCGTAGCAGTGGCTGTTGCTATTTATCGCCGTCTTTGTAACTGCTCGCACACGGGGCTCGGACTTTCTTCTCGCCGAGCATTCTTGTATTATTGTTGTCCGCGTTCAATAACGCGAAATTGCGAATCTCCGTGTGTATTATTCTTATCTGGAACGCCGTTTAATTCATAATAATGTTACATACCGCAGTTCGTAATAATATTTATTGCGAAAAAAATGATTAAACCCGCGTCGCCGCGCGTTTTGCGTTGTACGTATGGCGAAATTACGTACCGTCAACGAGACGATAACCGCAATATCGTTATGCGGCAGTAATAGCCGCGTCGTCGCGATAATCGCGCACTTACCGCGTATGCTTTATGGGGTTCGAGTAGAAACAAAAAAAAAAAAAAAAAAAAAAAAAAACCCCAAAAAAAAAAAAAAAATTTCTAATAGATTTTTATGGAAATGGCACACGGACGAACGTCGGGTATTATGGCTCGCAGCTCGCGGCCGAGAAGACCGTATCGAAACTTGTTAGACTTGCATTGTTTTTGAGGGCTTACGCATGCACACGCGTATAATATTATATAGTAATATGTATACGAACGTATTAATATTCATCGACACGTCCAGACCGTTATAACGCACGTCCGCTCTCAGTATTCCAATCAGGGACCACTTCATCAATAGCGATATCTAAAATAATAATAATAATAATAATAATAATAATATTCACTCACTTCGACCACCGCGTGTTCATCATCGAGATTTGTTCGAAACAATTTCAAGTTCATTGTCCCCCCCCTCCCTACCGGCTTGTGTATATCTGTATAACGTGCGTTTATTTGTCTGCCGCGGTAAAAATGCGCATTGCATTATACATGATCACATTACAGGTATAGGAAACCGACGAGACGACCTTGCGGAGCATTGTCGCTAGATCGCGGTGGTTCGACACCTGTTTCGGAACAAAATTGTCCGTCCGAAATCGCTGTAACAGTTCAATAGACTGCGGCACGGGGAATTGTAAAATCGCACGTTTTCAGATCCCGAGCGAAGCGATAGCGACGTTTTATCATACTGTACGGTGGTTACTCGTTGGTTTTTTTTTTTTTTTTGTCCGTAAACAGCGTCTTTTTTACCGGCCGTCTTGCACCGATCAAAAGTCGTATAAGACCTTTCCTTGTAGTTTTCTCAGCGGAAAAACTGACGATTTTCGGTATATTTTGTGTGGATTTTTGGATTTTCTTGTCTACGAGGGAAAATATACGACTGTTAATATTCAGCTCAGAATCGTTTTTCGCGAGCAACGGTTTACCCACCCTCTTAAAACAGCGACGCACTCATGAGCAGTCCCAGATTTTTTCGATTTTTTCAAGTGGCCAATATTTAAAGACTAATAATGTAAAACCAATGACATAATGTTTTATACACAGAGAATTGTACAGTTAAAATAATGGTCCATTAAAAATTTATATTTTCCACCTTTAGGTACTAATACATAAATGCACGTTACAAAATTAAAGTCCCTAAGAATATTACGGTTTTTTTTTTTTTTTTTTTTTGTTGAGAGGACTGAAATGTGAATTACAACGTAATTTATTAAAATCCAAAAAAAACGACTCTTTAAAAAGAGAATTATCCTGTGCGCGAACTCTCGCGGTAAGATTAACGAAACTTATACGCTGAAGCGAAAAAAAGTTTATTTCCAAAGACGTTTGTTTTTTTTTTTTTTTTTTTGGCTTGAAAACAGTTGGCCGTGTTAAATCTATATTTCTCTCACCGCGAAAAATGAGTGAAAAAGTGAAAATTATTCGCACCATCGAAACCCGTCACAACGTCAGTATCAGTAACATCTGACCTCGTTGTTAAACTTGTCCTCTTGGACGAGTTATTTATTATTATTATTTTTTTTTTTTCCTAACCATACGATTAAATACGCACCATCGTTATTACCCGTAAACGGGCACTCGGATGACGGGCGAATGGCTCTTGCGGTAGACGGTGCGCGCAACAATATTCTCGTCGCGTCCCGGCGTTTCTCGTAAACCTAAACGCGATAGCAAATATTATTTCGATTCGTCTGATTTATACGATGTTACGATGTCACGATTGCCGACGACGGTACGGCCGTGCTCGCGACGGACGTCTTTTCTCGTGCCGTACACGTGCGATACGCGTACACGGCCGGAGACTCGTTTCCGCATTGTCTCGCGCTCGCCCCGCAGACACGTTGCAGTTGCGGCCCGCGCAAAACAACGCGCGCCCGATCGGTCCGCGGGCGGAAAATTCAATTTTCTCCGGCGGCGCGACCTCTTCAAACCCGTACCGCGCGTACTGGCGCGTCGAAATATTGTAATATCGATCCTCATCCCCCGCACGGTGGTGACGGCTGGCACACCACGGGCGAAACAAAGGACCGACGTTAAGACGATATTGTCATTGCGACGCGCGCCTTTGTATACGTATTACGCATACATATTAATTCGTTCGGCAAACAATACGAATGTTGTTAGGCGCAATATTATTATACTCGTTCGTTAAACGCGTAACCCGAAAACGGAACGTTTTTAGAATATTATAACTTCGGAACGTTTAAACGGAAAAAAACGTGTCTCGCGTCGCCGGCGCAACGGGGTCGACGAACGATCGCCGGGACGGATTTCCCGGGAAATGTCCCCCCGAAAATATAAATTCATGCCTGAAGTAGTCAAGTATAGAGACCGAGTGACAAAAGCCCCACAATCACGCGCGAACAGGTGCACACCGGGAAAATACCCGAATTTTCCGATAGGCTTATCCGCCACCGAGTGGCGGTAACTATGTAGGACCGTTTTTCGTGCGGGTTGACGTTTAAGAGGTTCACCGGATGACCTCAAACGGAAAAATCGGGTTACTAAAACCGCTCTCGCAATAATGCGTATTGCCGAAACACGCGATCCGAAGTCAGTACGTGTCCCGATAGATTTTTGTGATAAAAATGATAAAACATATATTTAGAAAAACTTTCCGGGGTAATGTGTTATCCGCATCGCCACCCGCGCGCCGAAGTTTCGCCACTGCTTTGACGGGAATAATTGAGGAAGCGTTAAACATTTTATTCGGACAATTTTCGAATTCAATATCGGTCTCGGTATTCGAAAACCACTACGCGTATACTCGTGGCCCGCCCGAGATCCTCGGTGGATATTTCGATTTCGGCTTTTACCCCCGGTGCGCGGACGCATAATATATTTTATGAGACGAAAACGTAAAAGACCCGGTGATTTCGTCTCGTACGAACAGTGTAAATGCATACAATAACGTAACATCTCCGGAACAAATTGCGCGTAGCCAATGTTATCATCTGCGTTATTATTCTAGACTTTCGAACGTTGAATTGATTTGAAAAATAAAAACGGAAACGAACTCGTATGAAATAATGTTGCGCGTAGGAAGCGTAGATTTTGTTTAAATCGGATGTACCGCGATTGCCGAACACCGCCGTCCGCCGCCGCATTGCCAGTACCGCGGTCGCGCGTTTTACGCGATAACCCCCGCGTGCGAACATCGTTTAAAAAAATCGCCGTTTCTCGGTGACAACGCGTCGCGCGCTTCAGAATTTCACGCGGCTACGGGTAGGTGAACCGGTAATAACAATAATAACAATAATATTTACGGGCGATTCGAGTAGGAACCGATCGGGCGTCCGATTTCGCGGCTCATTCCGCACTCGACGGCCGTCGCGCAGTACGATAACTACAGCCGCCCAACAAGCGTTACGAGCCCGGTGTGTGTAACGATAATTGTCCGGTACTCGCGATGTCATCTCGACGCGGAATCGCGTTTATCGCTACTTGCTGCGGGTGTCCGCGGCACCACCGCGCTGTACCGCGGACGGGGCCAAACGCGGACGCCCCCGGATGGTGGATGGGATGGGGGGGGGCGAGACGGGGCAACGAAAAAAACATCGCTTCCGTTATTCCGTTTCAAACCCGCGTGCGCCATAAACTAAATAACACCGTAAAAAGATCGTTCTGATATCCGGGTCGATATCATTTTTTTTTTTTTTTAAAGATGGAAGGAGGGGGGCTCAGAATAATAATTCGTTAATTTTTCAACGATTTTAAAGAGCGCTGTGAACGATTTCGGGCACTGCGCTTACTCATCCCTCCCGCGTACCTCCGCCTGTAAACACAAATAGCCGGGCGACCAATTGCCATTTTAAATCAAAAAAATCGACGTAATAATTCCGGGCGGTGGGCACACTTAAACGTCTGTGGAAATCAGACGGGTACACCGAAATTACACAGCTCTTTAATTTTGTACGCATAACATTGTGTTCTATCAAAAGCAGGTGATGCGTACGTGATTAATAGGCGAAATAGCGTTTTTTTTTTTCGTGCCCGTCTGAAAAAACATCCGTCTTCTTGAATACGACTCCGGTGAAATAATATCTCCTGAACGCGTGTAACGTATGCATTTCTCAGATGATTTTGTACGGGTGGTAGTACCAGTCCTGAGGTTATTACCTGCCCTAAGGTAAATCTCCCTGAAAATCCGTCACGATGGCGTAGGTATGTTTTCGGTTGTATTGATTACTCGGATAATCAATAACTGTAATAATATACGGTATATATTCATATTTAGGTAGACGTAAATATTAAAAAAAAAAAAAAAAAAACAATGTAAAATATAAGTATGGTTATTTGTAGGATCCTGATTTCACCGCAATGCACTTTCCGCTGTTTAAAAACAGCGCGTTCCAATTACATAATTCCATTCGTTTAACAACGATAATAATTCAAAAATGACATTTTTCTTTTTTTTTTTTAACGGATTTTTTTCAGAAAATTCAAATCCAATTCCTAGTTTATTATATTATTGTTATTGATGCATTTTTTATTTGGTCCTGTATTCGTATTCATGTATTAATTTATTACGATCCTATACTGAATGCTGTCAAAATTATGTTTTCAGATTGTTTAATTTATAGGTCTGGATATTCTCGTCACATAAACGGCTACCTATATATAGATAAGGATAACGTCCGTCCAGCAACGATGAGAGCTACAAAAAAGTCTACATCGTATTGTAACAGCTGATAACTATCATAAATACAACAGGTAAGAACACAATATTACGACGTGTAACGATTGATTTTATCCGTTCGAACTGTTCGCGGTTTTAAAATACATGGTGTGTGCTTCTTTTGCTGTCTGTTGACAACTTTTCTACCAGAAATCTTGCAAAAACCAAAAAAATGACAAAAACCTTTTTAGTAGCATTTCCAATCTAGTTGACGCATTGACAGAGTGAGTTTCCGACCATTTTTCTTGATAAATGAGAAAAAACGGGGAGATTTTACGGTGTTATTGCCGCAAAATGTCTTTCGCTGCTTTACGGTTTTTTTGCGGATAAAACCGTTTCGGCCGAACATAAATGTTTGCAAATTGAACGCGATATCCGTTATAATACTCGTAATTAGCGTGGGGGAGGGCGAAGGGGAAATTAGCGTAGCGCAGTGTTTTTTTTTTATCGTTTCGAGTCCGAATTCCGTTGAAAACCGTGAAAGTTACGGCATTTCAAAATACGCATTTCGTTGCGTGTTACAATCGAACGTCGCTTGGAATCGTGTTTCGTCAGCGCCGGCCGCTATTGTTCAGTACGGATACAAACTAAATAGCGCCGTGTTTCCTGGCTTCCGAACTTTTCACCCGGGCGCGCAACAGTGGCACGTCCGCCCGGCGGTATGGGTTGTTTTATTTTTTTTTAAATTTTTTTTTTTCCCCGGTCTCGGTTTCGCCGCGTACCGATCCCGCGACCGGCGGCGAATCCTGACCGGTACGTCCGCACCGCGGCGCGACCGATTGACTCGGCAACGACGTCGTTTCGTCGGTTTGCCGCCGAACGCCGTGTCGTAGACGCCGCACTAACTGTGCGCCGGCGTTCTCGCGCGGTCCGAACGTCGAGTTTTGATCGCGCCGCGCCGTGTTACCGTTGGTGTCATTGGCGCGCGGTGGAATTTCGGGACGCGCGGTACCGAACGGTTCACGTGGACGGCGCGCGCGGCGGCCGCGGGCCGGGGCGGACTTAAACGGGACACGCGGCAGACGAACCGAACGGGTACACTACGAAGGGACACTCGAAATGTCGTTTTCGTCGAACGGAACGGGTTCGCGCGAACCGCCGGAAATTCGCCGTCGCGCGCGCCGGTCGAAATATCGTTTTTCGCAACGCGCTGCCGTGCGTTGTCACGACGCCCGTTCGGTACGCCGTCTCGCGGGATTTTCGTTTAAACACGACGCGTAATCTATTAGAAAATTACTGAACAAAATGTACACAAAAAAAAAAAAAAAAAAAAAAAAGGGCCTCCGGACGCAAAATACGGCGGCGATATTACGGTCGCCACCGGCGGGCCCCGTCTCCTTCGCACGCATTCCGCGGCGCGGTGTCCCAAAGTGGTCCGATTACTTACACACCCGCATTATGTTATTGTACGCCGGCGGCGGGCCGTCTGACAAGTTAATAGCTCCGCGCGGCGATTGTCCGCCGGAGTGATGGGCCAGAAATCGTTGTTATTATATTTAAATTGACGTCCGGCGGAAAGAGAAAAAAAAAAAAAAAAAAAAAAAAGAAAAAAACCAATTTTAATTTATCATACATGCGGCCGCCGGCAAGGTCGGAGTGAAAATTTCCCATCGAGTTTCCAGTGTCCAGATCCGAACGAGGGCGATTCTCGCTCGTCGACGCACGCCGCCGTCGCCATTCCGGTCGAACATTAATCCCGGTGAACGCGTCGGTTATCGTTTGTTACCGTACGACCGGGCGTGACAGTACAGGGTGTTCGAGGTGTGTGGTATACGGGATTTAGCGTGCCCGCCGGACGTACACTCCGCCCCCCCGGTCACTCTTATTGCGTTCGGTTTTCACCACGCGCGCGCGGTACACCAACACGTACAACCGTAAACTTTTCGTAACCCGTACGCTCGTACGGAGGAGAACATTGCCGAACGTTTTTTTTTTTTTTTTTTTTATTTTCTCCTCTCCGAACAATTCGTTTTCCCCCAGAGTGCCGCCGAGTGCCGAAGAACGCACGCGCGTACAGGTACGTTTACATTTTTAAACGATTTCGATTTTTTTTTTTTTTTTCATCTTACGCCCGGATCCTCTCGGATTATAATAACGGATGATTGTTAGGTATTGTTTTGTAATCCCGGTAATTTCATAATAGCGGTTAGAAAAAAATAATAATAATAATAATAACAACGCCGACGCGGTAACTGTGTTATAGCCATTTAACGGTGTAACCGAAACGGCTACTACGGGTACGGGCGCAGGTGCACGGTTTTATCAGTAAAAAAAAAAAAAAACGATCGGGCGGCGCAGATGTCGGACGATTAAAATCACGGGCAGTTGAGATTTTCCCGCCGCGAAATTTGCGCCGTTTTCGAATTGCCCGCGCGGTTTTTATTTGTTTTCTTCTAAATATTAGATTCCGCGAAAAACTTCTCTCCCGGAAGTACTCTGTGTTTTTTGTTTTGATTTTACGATTCACACTTTTCGTAACGTTCGCTCGGGCCAACCCGAATTGAATATTTTAAACACGACCACAACGCATTCTTTCCGCGCACGCCCGAATCTCAATATTGTCGTTTGAAAAATGTACTGTCGCAAACCCCCATCCCTCCCGCACGCAACTCGGTTGTCGACCGACATCGCTGTTTTTTTGTTTTTGGCACGCGTGCCGCCGAAACGGTCAACACTGTCCCTCCGTACACGAAACCGCGTCGTCGCACCCGTAAACTGGTTGAATTAACGCGGCCGCATTAACGACGCGGCTGTTCGATCGTTCAAAACTATTGCGGGGTGCACTCCGTTCGGGTGTATGAAAAAAAAAAAAAACGACGCGCGCGATATTCCGGACACGGCCGATAATTCACGGCACTGCGGAGTGCGACGTGCCGACCCCGTTCGTCACGGCGCGCCGGCAGTCGATCCGGACGGGTCGTGCCCGCGGTCGATTAATTTCGATTTCCGAAAAAAAAAAGGACGTCCCGCTAAACGCGCGCGTCCGGATTAAAAACGCACGGACGCAAACTGTTCGATTCGCGCGCGAATGAGCGCCGGGCCGGGACGCGCGCGTACGGGGTCGGTTTTATTTACCCCGGCGCTACGCTTACTTCCGCGCGTCTGTCCGGACGGAAATTTTTTTTTTTGTTTTTTATTGTAAAATATAAACATAAATAACATAATCACACAACAAGCCGTTTACAATAAAATGAAAATACCTACCTCCCTCGAGCGCAATGCTTGTGATGGCGGTGGAGTGTTGCATTGCGTGACAACGAAAATACGCACTAAAATAAACGGATTGAATTCAAAAGAACGAGATGGAACAAAACCAGACGTACGACGAAATGCATAAGATAATTCAAACAGTTTAACACGCTGTAACATATAGTCAATAATTATAGTTTGAATCGTTTTATACGATTGGTGAAAATAACCGTCAGTCAACACGGTTGTTTCATTGAATATTCGAGTACAACTGATATATTTGGTCGCGTACGTTATGATGTGTCCGTTATACGCGATTCGGCTGTTATTTTTTATTATTATTATTATTATTTTTTTTTTTTTTTCCCAATATACTAGTAAATAATTTCATAATTACAGGTGCGCGTTAGTCGGTAGGATTACGTAGCCGCAAGCCGCGATGGTCGTGGACGCGTTGTTTTTTTCTATTATGGGAGTTTCGGGAAAAACAGAAGAAGAAAAAAACAAACCAGAGAATCCGTTGATTGTGTAATAATGTAAATCAAATTAAAACTTCTATACGGCCGTGTTCAAATTATATGCATACAACGGTTTTTCGTAATATTTTCTTGCGGCCTTTTTTTTTTTTTTTAGCAACAAGTTATTTTTTTAGATTTTAAACGAGGAACATATTGGGTTGCTACGACGTGTGAATGCGTGTGTGAATGGTATTTTATTTATGTGTGTCTGGAAACAACAACTTTTCTATCGAAAATCTCGCTCCATGGGAAAACCTGGAAATGTTTTGCATCATTTTTGTTGATTTCTGGGTTTTCGTGACAACAAGGGAAAAATATGACTAATAATATTTTGCGATAGTAATGGTTTATCGTTGCGTAAATATACAAATTTAATTACTCTATATTATTATGTCCTCTCTTCCGACTTCCCTCCAAAAATATTGGTATGCCCATAAGCATATCAGCCTTTTTTTAAATGTAATATTTCGATTAGTTATATCATTTTTAACGGTCACTAGAAAACTAAATCGGATTTAACGTAGGCGATTCACATAGTTAATAATTTATATTAAATAAATTGTTATGAAATAAAGGCAAATGTATTACAGTAATTAATTTGGATTGTTCAACTTTCTACCGTAAGCGTTTTTTTGTTTTTTTTTTTTTTTTTTTTTTTTTTTTTATCTTTAATTAAAATATTGAAACTGGCGAATCGGTAAAGTTATTTAATTTAAAAAATGTAGGTACCTAGAGATCTGCGCGAGAAGTGTTTGAAACAGATTGACACGCGAATTTCCTTCCCCTACCGTGGCCAATTATGACCTGATTAACATCGGATTCGAGTTAATAAGATGACAATACAGTATTGCGCTAAAGGCTCAGTTTCTAATTTTCGAATATAAAAAAAAAAATAAAAACCTTATACAATATTTTGATTTTAACTTTTGTTTTAAATCGTCGCATACGGCGCTATGAGCGGTTTTTCTGAGGCCAACACACAGACCATAATATCACAGCGTGTTATTTTCATTATCGTATTATCTTGAACGGTGCTGGGGCATCTCCGGGCGATCATTCACAGACATCTTCTTCTGCTGCAGCTATACAGCCACCGTTGCCGGTTATACTCGTTTTTCAAATCAGATTATAGACCAATTGATAAATGTTACCACACTAACTCGCTTGTCGTTTTACAATATGAAAGCCCCTCTAGATTAGAAAATAAATTAACGAGTTGTCTATTCCTGTCGAAATCTCAATCATAAAATTTCGCCGAGACAATAATGTTTGCAACAGTAGAAAATTATCATAAAAGCGCATTAAACCTAACGATCAATAATACTTACGAAATATTCGAGTTGAATCGAAGCAGAACACATTTTTCTTTTTTTTTTTTTCTTTTTTTTTTTTTTGTATTAATAAACGTAAATGTATAGAAATCGAATTTGAATATTTTTCCAACATCTGTATGATATTAAAATTAGTGGGTATTTTGTTAAAGTTAACACAACGCAGATGTTAAAAAACCTACGTTCTCCGTAATTATATTTACATCATGATGTCAAACAGCATTTTCCGAATTAAACATTCTCAGTTGGAATTCTTCTTTAGTTTTTTAATACCGTTTAAAATAAATCCGTAACAAAATTGGAAAAATCTAATTAATCATAAAACTTTGATACAAATTAAGTAGAACGAGTTCCTATATTATGTATACATACGTGCCTGTCTATTTCATAAAACCAGTTTTTTAACGGATTTTGACGAAAGTCAAATACTTAGATATATTTGAAAATATTTACATGTTTTAACACGCAAACATAAACAAAAATACTAGTTCACAGTTCACAAAACTAATTCAGTTTTAGAATTAATAATAATTGAGTAATTAGATGAAGGAATTAATTATCAATAACAGTTTAGCTTTTTAGGTTTTTTTTATTTTGTTGAAAATCGATATACAAGCACATTACTTATTCAGCGTACATTTAATAAAAAAATATTAAGATAGATTACTATGTACGCGTAATCGAATACGTTTTAATCGACAGATATGTTTCTTTTATTGTATACATTTAAGAAAAATGTCGCCTGTGCGTCGCGCCATGGATAGGTGGTTAAGAGTGTAGGGTATGGTGGAATTTGTTTAACACACAAAAATCAGAAAATATCATTGCAATGAAACAATAATTCTGTTGATAAACTAGTAAGATAATTAATCAAGATTTTTCCCCCAATGTCATGATGATAACCGTGCAGAATTGAAAACAAATAAACTCGATGCATTGCCATTTTTGTGGTCAGTTTTCTTTTTACATTTATTAGAAAAACCGTTGCGAATCGAAAAAAATTGTTTCCATATAAAGCGGAAAATCCTCATCCTTTATGGGATACCATGGAAAGATTTGAGCATTTTTGAGGGATTTTCGAGTGAGAAAGGCGCGCGTTTTATGTAAAACTATTAATAACTAGATCTACTCGGAACGTAAAATAAAATCATTATTAGGTATTCGCACAGTCCTGATTAGTTAACTCATTACCATTATTCTTACACAAAATCATCATCTTTAATCTGTTATTGTTTAATAAAATTGTCTAATCGACAAAATGAACGATATTATATTATAGATAATCGTTTAATTTTTCCAAAATTTAAATACCCTCTACTCTACGAAATTAAATTACGTCTCTTAAGATTTTTTGCAAGCTCGTACATTATACTACCCGTCGTGCTAGTCACAAAAAAAAATACCCTAATATATACGACGTTATTAATTTATTATACAAAACAGGAGTAGGTAGATAGCTTCTTTTTTTTTTTTTTTTATGAGTTTTATGATAATCGTTCTGGTTCCTTGCACCGGCGGTGGCAAAGCCATTCCTTGTCTTTTTTTTCCATCAATACCCGTTTCCACCAAAATTGACCTCCCCTTTTTTTTCACCGATACACGTTTCTCCAAAAGAAATATAAATAATCGATAAAACGATATAATAATATGAGTATTTTTCGACGAATGTTTAAAAAAAAAAAAAATTAATTTTTAGTTAGAGTACCCTGTGCACGGTGCGTAGTACGCGAAATATTATTATGTTGTTTTTTCCTACCTTTAATTATAATCACGCAGGTTATTAAAAAAAAAAAAAAAAAAACCTAAAAAATTAACAATTTCCATACGAACATTTTTCGCTTCGTTTAAATTCCGTATGAACAAAAAATTGCATGGTCGAAAACTGTACGCATATTACAAACTAATAGACACGCACATATTGTAGTCATCGACATTATTAATCAAGCTTACGTATATTTTTAATTAATTAAATTGTTATTTAAAAAATGAAAATATTCCATAATCTATAGTAATGAACACGAGGGATCAGTTATTAAAAAAAAAAAAAAACCCAACTGTATAGTCATACGGGGTGATATCACGAACCAGCGATAATCTCGGAGGATTTTCAATGAATCTGATTTCTGTTTTTCTTTTCCAATCGTTATGGACGCTACGGAATCGTTTAAGCTTTGTCTCGATACTTTTTTCAATTTTTCACCCTTAATTTTTATACTTGAAATGAGTATACGCTTCATTTTCAAATATCAACCCCCATTTGAACACAGATTTAAATAGAGAACATTGTCTACAGTTTTTGACATGGTCTTTGCTATAATATCGGATTTACCGTTTATGAGTTACAATAGTTTAGAGTACACGATTAATGGCCGTCAATTACGTTTATACCCTACCCGGCCCTCGGACGTCTGTTACCGGTTGAGCTAAAGACTATACGCGCGTTGTTATTTTGGTTCGGTTTGCCTCCAATAAACGAGGCTGGAGGACGACGGTTGGACAGTAATGTGACGAGCGTTCCCTCTCGTCGCCTGCTATACGAAAAGATAAAATAAAAAAAAGGTTAGCTTAATAAATTCTATTTAAAGTATTAACGATACAATTTACAATTGCAATTTCTTGCTTTTACAATTTTTATCGCCAATCGCGATCATAATAATATCAGCGTTGAACGTAATCTGATTTTGTGAATCGCGACTATGAATTTTAATTCCCACTCCTTCCCCCCTCGTTTTTTTCGTCTAGTAGAAATATTCTTAATAAACAACCGACGTGTTATGATAAACACGATGCTATAACACTGTAACTACTAAAATAATAGTGAGGTATACCACTTTGAAAAAAATGGTCACACAAACAGTAGGGGCAGTACGATTTTGTCTGGATTCATTTCGGGAGTCTGTACATAGGGGTGTGCAAAGCCGAAGTGAAACGCAGTGAAATTGTTATATTAATCGCTTCAATCCGCCTATGTATAACAAAAAAAAAAAAACTCCGATTCCCGGACTTAAGCTTATTCGATCCGCAGAGTGCCGTTAGAATAACGGGCACTGAAACCCCTAACCCCCCGTCGGCACCCACAGTAATTTCCGCTTTGAAACAATGCCGTAGCGCGGACGTTCGCGCGAGATTTCGGACCTTCGAAAATCATAAATCCGTCAACGCAAACACTCGGAATTTTTTTCGTTTTTTATTTCTTTTCGTCGGTCGTCGCGGTCGCGCGCTGTTATAATAATGGCACGCGTAACTATTTATTTGATGTACGTCATTTTTCCGCTATGCCCACATTCGTATATGCGTCGCGATTCCGAAACGATTCTTTCGCGCGGTAACGTACTCGGCCCGGAAGATTACACACACACACACACACACACTTACAAACACACGCACACGTACAAACACACGCACACTCATCGCTCGTCGCCGTGTACTACTTATTATCGCCGATCCTCTCGGCGTGAATTCGCGTTTATCGGACATCACGTGTAACTAGTGCGGGTAAACGATACGTTTCCGGACGACGACGAATCCGGTCCGCGAGTATTTAGGTATGCAGCGCTGCTTCGACCGCGCGTGTAGACGTCGTCATCGTCGTCGTCGTCGTCGTAAACTTCCTAGTATTCTAACCGTCTCGAGTGGGGAGGGGGGAATAGTAGCAGTATAAGTAATCATAAAAAGGTCGGTCCGGCCAGCGTATAATATACTCGTAATAATAATATTCGCTGGCGCGGTAAAAAAAAAAAAAACGGTTACCCAGACGAAAAACCGGTCCGGTAAATTTGTGTCATAAGGGCAACGTCGCCGCGCGTCACGCGCAACGCGGTCCGCCGTGCGGCGTACGATAATTTCGCGTGATAACAACAACGTTTTCATTTATTTATTTATTCATTTTTTTTTTTTTTTTTTTTTTTTCCTTTCCCGCCCAATTTTTTTTTCTTTTTTTTTTTTTTTTTTTTTTTTTTTTTTTTTGTTTTCCTTTCCCGTCCAATATTATTATCGTTCTTTTTTTTATTTTTATTTTTTTTTTTTTTTCCCCGGCATTTCGTGTTATTCCGCATAAGGGCACGCGCGCGGTACCGCCCGGAATCCAACGGGAACCGATAGACGTCCGCGGATGACGTATAATATCTCCGATAATAATAATAACAACGGTAATAACATTATACGGTTCCGAAAACGGCGTTACGAGAGTGGATATTACGCGCGAGAGGCCGTGATGTACGGCCGTAATGAAACAAACGTGTACGGCGGCCACGCGTATACGCATACGAATTACACGGATTACGGCGGTCAAAACCGCAAAAAAAAATAGAAAAAAAAAAAACCGTAATCGATTTATTATTATTGTTATTATAACAACGATCGTGATAACATCGTTACGATTTCGGCGTACCGAACGAATTAATTTACGAACGAAATTATTTAACGCCCGGGCGCCGCCGCCGGTATAACCTCGTAAAATCTTTCCCGCGAAAATCTCGCGTATTCTTCCGTCCGCCGTTCGCGCAATCCGCCGACATACCCGAGACGTCCGCGTTTTATTTCAAATGAAAATCGAAATCCCCCTGTTTCAAAAGAATTTCATCGTCTTCTCCTCCTTCGTTCCAATTACTCGGGGTCAGCCCCCCCCCTCGTCCTGAGCTTCTCGTCTCGCATACGCCGAGGATGTTCTCATACGCATTCAACCACATATTTCTCGGTCTTTCTCACCCTCCACCCCTTATTTTCTTCTGCTTTTATTTCCGTTGCAATGCTTACCACTTCAGATTCTTCACTCCCCGCAGGACACGCCCAAACCATTTCGGTCTATTTTCTCTCATTTTGTCTACTATCGGAGCCACGCCTCGTACGCCATAAGCTACGTCGTATGCACTCATCGCTTATCCTATCTCCTCTCGTCACTCCGCTCGTCCACCTGATCGTTCCCATAGTCTCATTTAGAACTGCCCATACTGTTTGACAGAATTTTACATCGGCCGTCGACCTGACGCAACTCGATTTGTCACCTCTTATACGACATGTTTATAGGTACCGTGGGAGCATTCTGCTCCCCTACCGCATGGAAATGCGTATTGCCAAGTATAACGCGAATTGTTCCACCCTACAAAAATAATGTCATTTAACACAACGCGCCTCGAAAAAATTTCGAATAAAAATTCTCATTCGTCGAAAAGCTTTACTGCATATTATTATGTTGAGTCCCGAGTTTGGCTTCAAAATCGAATTATAATTCAAGTGTCACGGTGTCAGCAAAATAATTCCATTAATAATATGTTATATTGTATTCATACATTGAGATATTATAATTCAATTGAATGAAAACGAAGATACAATATGATACGAGGATAATAATAGCGATGAAATATTATAATTATGGATCAACCCTCGACATTGGTTAGTCTAAACTTTTGATTTCCTGAAAAATTGTATTTTTCGGATCGTGACCAGTTAACTCTGTTGCGCTGTCGGCGTGGATTGCAAAATGAATTGTCAGCTTTTTTCCGACGAATTTTCATATTTTCCGCGTTTTCGTCTATACCTGCGTATGCAGCAGCACGACGAGCACGTTTTCAATTTCGAAACAAAATATTAGAAAATTACCCAAAATTACCCATTCATTTCCCCCACCCCATTTCCTCTTTAACGTATTTGTACGTAGTGTTAGCTATCGTATTTGGAAAGCCTAGCCTTTCGACCCGAATATTCGTCAACCGCAAATTGCGCATAGTGCTCGTCATTTTCGGTAAAACTTTCGAACTGATATATTTATCCGAACTTTGTACCCGGCAAAATGATAATGTGTAATTAGAATTCTCGCGGAAGATTTAAACGTTTTTATTATAATTTTTGTTTCACAAAAACGTCTGCAACGAGTTATTTGTTTTTGAAAAACACCCGCTACACACCGTTTGAATATTTTCCCGGGTCCCTGCAGCGTAACTTTATACATAAAAAAAAAAAAAAATAATAATAATAATAATAAAAAACGGTTGAAAACTATCCCCTTCACTCACGCGTTTACCGTCTTTACCGCGAAAACCGTCGGATCAATGGAAAAATGCGGTGGGCCCGTTTCCGTAAAAATGACACCACATACCTAACAAACTAATTTACAGACGAAAATAACGTCCCGTGACGCGTGAGACCGTTGTATAGTATCGCGTAATCTTTAAACCAACCGAATAATATGACGTGTTTCGTGGCGGCCACCTCGTAATCATAATATTATCATCCGCTATTATTTTTTTTTCGGATCTCTCATTTTTTACGGGCGTCGCGCACGATCGTTAATATCCGAACGAGCAATGAAAAAACGAATCGTACATGTTACCGGCACAGTTTTCCAGACGAATCGTAGACGTAGTCTCGGATCCGCGCCTGAAAAGACAATATTCCGTACCGATAATGTCACGCCGACACAGATTTCGCGCGTACAATCAATAAACCCGTTGAGAAACGGGTTGGACCGTTCTCGCCAAAACACAAGTACCGATCTGTAATTGTTGTCGTCGAGACGTCCATACACCGCAATCGAGTCCGGATTAAGGGGGAGGGGAGGGTCCGGGGAGGACAACGGCTCCCGGGCCACCAGACTCTCAGAGCCTCAGTTTTTGGCCGCACGGTTGTTCTTTACGTAGCCATTTTAACCGTTAACATTGTACAGAGTGTTTCAAAATGATTCATCCGATTTCAAAAAATTGTATTTATTGTACAATTTGAACAATCAAGTTACGATAAGTTTTACAAGTCGGTCAATGACTTAGATAAACTTATAGATAGAAAAACTTAGATGTAACATTTACAAATGTTCAACGTGATCTCCCCCTTGCGCAACACACATCTAAGCGATATTCAAATAAACCTGTCGAAGCATGTCGAATAAAATCAAGTTGACGACGTCTGTAGTTATGCGACTCTTCAATTCGCTTTTTATTTAACACCAAAGAAAAAAACAATCGCATATTTTAAAGTCCGGTAAGATTCGCACTTTTCGAAACGAAGCACACAAAACGCTTTTTGTTCCTCGGTCGACCTTTAGATAACAACTATTTAAATTTCGCCACTCGGCTAAGGTGCACTTTATCGCAACTTATCGGTAATCGACAAAAACTCGATAACCCCACCATTCAGATGGTTGGTGCTTCGTTTATCACAAACTGCAGGAACAATGTTTTTTGGTCTACTAAAATCGGATGAATCATTTTGAAACACACTACATTGATATTTTAATATCTTTTCGTTGCCTCGTAACGACTTATTCGTATAATTATTAAGTAAAAACTACTAGGGCCTAACTTTGTTAAAAAATAATATAATAATAATACTTGTGGCTTTTGAATTGAGATCTGCGTGATGCCAATACTATGTATTATTTTTCTTCCGTCAAAACATAATGATTAGTAAACATTTTTAAAAATTGTGTACTATTAGCCTTTCAACGGGGGCCTCGTCGAAGAGTTCAGCCCCGGGTCCTCTTAATGTCTAAATTCGGGCTCGATCACTACAATACGGCCGAAATCCCGACAAGAAAAACTATACGAGTATTTTCAACCTCGTTAAATACCATATTAATATGGTAGTATGCACGTTGTCGTCGTAACATTTATAACTGTTATTCTAAAGTCGTATACAGAGTTGTTTTTTTTTTTTTTTTTACCGTTTCTCTCGGACGTTTCCGAAAAGTTTCGCGAAATTGAAAAACAAATATCGTTTGTCTTGAAAGTTTTGAAAAAATAAAAACAAAACTTTTGCCGTCGTAAAAAATAACCCCCGGAGATGATGCGGTATATTTATAATCCTGCGAACTCGTGCGCATATAAATAATACGCTTTTCTGTTATTATAAACATAATATTTTCTTCTGCGCCGTAATATTATACCGTATAGTTTGGCGCAGCGTTAAAATCGAATCGCGCCGCGCGTAAAACAACACCTAACCGTAATAGCGCACAAACCTACAGTTACGCCGGGGATCGGATATTGAATACGAACGGCATTTTGGGTCGGCCGATACGCGAAATCGGCGCGGTTACACCAGGCAATCCGAAAATCCAATGTTGTTACCGACAACTATGTATATTCGGTTGAAAATGTCGGCCGTAACGGGTCGGATGATGGTTTTCGAAAAAAAAAAACGAAAAAACAAAAAACTTGCGTTTTAGTTTGTCGTCGAAAATTACCTTCGGCCGCTCAAATAAATATAACTGAGATGTCGCGCTAAAAATCAAAAAAAAATAAATAAATAAATATCTAGTGAACTCGATTGAAAAGGATCGCGTTGAAAAACTGCGTCGGGAAAAAAAAAACGTTACGGGAAATTTCATTACAAATATTGAATAATCGACAAATTTTGTTTTTTTTTTTTTTTTTCTTCCGGAAAAACATTTTTTCGATCAATGTAAACGCTCCAAACTTTTCACGTCGTAGGTAACATTTTTAAAAGAGAATGAATTTTCCGGCAAGCGGTACTTCGTTCGAATCATTTTCCATAGATTTCTGATTTATTTTTTCTCGTAACTGAGGCCCGAAGTCAACAAATCGTAATGATAACTGCACGACGTTTTCTATACATGTTGGTGTATACTATCGTAACATTCGTTTCTCCGCGTACATTGCGCTCTTTGTAAAATTATTTTCAACGCGGTTTCCTCGGCGCCTACAAGGCTCGCGAGCCGCCACTGACTGTCGCGGTATCTGTGCACAATGTAAAAAACGATCGCAGTTTGTGTAACGCATTTTACGCGAATTCATTATTATTATTATTATTATTCGTCGTAGTTTACAAAATCGACTTTTAGAAAAAGGTCAAGCGCAGTTTACCGTCTCTCCTTTATACCATACAATGAATAATGGCTAGGCGTCTATAGGTGAAAATGAAATATTATACGTTTCTATTATTATTTCTAACCTATCGATGGTCGCCGTCGTACGCATCGTTCGTCCGTCTGTCAATTATTATATTATTATATTATATATACTGCTATTTTTCGACGACCTGAATGTTATTAAAAAAAATTTGCAATGGATAGGTTGCCACGCTGCTACTGCTCGCCTGTACACGAAAATAAAATACGATATGCTGGTATGTTACTGCGGCTCGTGTATAACATTATGTATTATGTATAATAATAAAACAGTCGCTAACCCGTTCGCGAAAAAAAAAAATTCATAACAAAAAGAATCAGGTCGCCCACCGGCCGGGCGCTGTCGGCCGCCGTCGTCGTCACCACCGCCGCCGCCGCCGCCCGAGAACCTGTGCTAGCCGTACCTAGAGCCGCTCCTGACCCGGAGAGCGGTCAGGAAAAACGCGTTGATTACCAATTACCCGGTACATTGTGCGGGCGCGTACTGTCCGGAGACACAATGTACGATATTATTGTTGTACTATATTGTGTTACGTTAGCGTATTAACGCCGCCGCCATACAAGGGTACGGGGAATTCGTTAATGATAATAATTCATTGTCGGACGGGGAAAAAAAAAAAAATATCACCCGCTCGCGATTAATGGCGATTTTTTTTTTTTTTATATTGATAATAATGACGGAACGGCGCGCTCAGTCGTCGTCGCCCGAATTCGTAGCCGTATTAACGTAATAACGCGGCAACAAGAGCGGCAGTGCAACAACACGTCTATTCTGCATTTGCCCGTTGTTGCACAGCCGCATTATTATTATCGTTACCATTATTATCGTTATTATCATTATTATTATTATTATTGATGTCGTTATGGGATTGTATTTTTTCACTATCACGTGGAACACCGCGAATCTCCGGGTCGGCGTTATTCACTGTCCGTCGAACGAATTTCCGTTTTCGCGCCGTCGGTCGGAAAACCTTCGGCTACCCGCGAGTCGCCGCTCCCCTCGAACCGTTTCAATAATAATAAAAAAACCGAAAACACCATATCGACGGCTGGAAGGAGCCGACAATGGTCGTCGTTCGATGTGACGTCTGACGATTTGTTTTGCCGGATTTTTCGAACACTATTATAGTATGGTATTGTAATTTTGCGGATTTTTTTTTTTTATATAAATCACACAAAAATCGTATTCGTTCGAAAAGCGGCGATTTCTTTTACCGTCGATTTTCCGGAGTTTTCTCGCGGCTATGCGATTGTTACGAAACTGACTACAACCCTCGCGGTATGTCTTTGTGTATTTTGTTTTATTATGTCGTAAGAGTCGCGGGGACGCAAATTTTCGTATTCTTTGATCTCCACCCCGCCCGCATTTGATAACCTCTCCTCTCCTCCCCCCCTCCCCCCGAAAACGTTATCAACCGGCGCATAGATGATGCTAAGTACCGGCGGGCGAGCGGGCCTACGTTATAAAGAGGTCATTTGAAATTTTTTCAGTGGAAGACACACTGGAAAACCGTGAAAACGCAACCGTATCGTTTTGAGAATAAAAACGAGACAACGAAGGCCGGGAAGGGCCTTGCACGCGGGTGTCGATATCGCGATAACGTGAAAATCTCGGATATCCCGGCCCGATCCTCGTGTAACGCGTTACGCGTCGGCGATGAGCTTTTTGAGTCTCTTCTCAAAAGTCGTCGGGCGTCACGCCACCACAACAGCCCGCGACCGACGAGAATTATTCAAATATATTTCGACGCCGGTTTTTTCACCGCCGCCGACGCACGCCCATTTATTAACAATATTATTTCTCATTATTGCTGTTCGTCATCGTTATACCGACGTCACACTCTACAATGTATAAAAAAAAAATATATAAAAACTATCGCCGCGCGTCGCCGTCGTCGTCGTCGTCGTCCCGCGTTGCTGCCGTCGCGTCGTAGCATTTCGGTCGGCCTGACACGATTCAATAATATGGGCCCGGGTGGGTGGGTGGACGCGTTGCCGTGTCGGGGCAAAAAAAAAAAAAAAATAAAACATTCCGTTCCGCGTGTCATCACAATGGTTTGCCTGTACACGGCTCGGTCTTCTCTCGTCAATATTTTCGGCGTGCACGCGCACGATCACCGGGTATCTAATAATAATAATAGTAATAATAATAATAATTTTTTATTATTATTATTATACACTTACGGCTCTGGAACCGATCACGTCGCAATGGTCTTGGTCTTGACCGCCGCCGCCGCCGCCGCGCGCCGCACACCGACACAAACTGCTATAGACACGTGTATACGCCTGTGTAATATTACTACAAGATATATCATTACACATATATACGGCGATAGCAGTGTACCCGGGTATACTATAGTATACACCGTCATTATACCGCTGCTGTAAAAAAAAAAAAGAAAAAAAAACGACGGGAGATGGCACGCGGCGGCGGCGGCGGTGACGACGACGGCCCGCCGTGCGCCACCGATATACCTGATAAATTGCCGCCGCCGGCTCTACGGCCGAGACGATAATGGAAAAATATTATTGCGCGGGTACGCCTGTGCCTACGCTGCGGTACCTGCGGCCGTCGCCGTACGATTGACGCGAAACCGTCGCCGTTGTCGCCGCGCTCGTCACGTGTACGGGGCGCGTACGTTTATCGCGACCCGGCGATTTTTAACGACGACGGTTTCGGAATCTCGGCGTCCGGTCGCCGTCACGTTACACCCGTAGTGTTGCCGGCGTCGTTCAGTTCGCCCGTCTGTAATCTTCTGCTCCTCGGTCTCCGTCCCCCGGCCGTGTCCGGAATCGGCCACCCCCGTACTTAACTCACACTTGGCCCGATCTCCCGTCTCACGTCCCGTCCGGCCATCGTTTTTTTCAGCATTTCTCACATCGCCTACCATCGAAACCGTCCGCTCGTCCGCTTAAGCGTTTTCGTCTTTGCTGTTGTCCTTATTTTATATTCTATTTTACTGTCTACCCCCCCCCCCCCCAAAAAAAAAAAAAAAAACTCTCCGAACCGTAATAACATAGGTTAGTCTCCACACACTTTAATAGAACTTAACTTTAAGTGTCCCGTCAAAATTCTTTTGTCGCGTGAAATACCTGACGGTTCCGTCTGCTTTATCCGACCACACTTAACCGTGCGTCTGTTAGGTTATAAACGTTTGTTATGTTCATAAATTCTCATACTCGCCTATTACGTCACCACCTCTCACCCGTTGTCTCCGCGCACATCGGAAATGAAACAATCCGCCAGTCGTATCTGGAACTATTTGACAGAATTCCATACCACCCGTGGATCAGACACGACCCCGTTTGTCACCACTTACGACTGGTAGATGTACCACGGGAGACTCGGGAGTATTCTGATCCCCTCCCACGGGAAGAATGATGTTACCAATTATTAAATGAATTCTTTCACCGTACAGTAACAACGTCATGTGCCTCACTGAAACCGCCCACCTGGATTTTTCACCAATAGGAGTTCGGGGCCCCGGATTCGCTAAACTCTAAGGTGTATTATTATTAACAATTTTCTTATTTACAATATTTTCGAAATTTTACCATTATCGTTTCGTATACGCAATAAACATACAACACAAAATATTGATTTTCCAATAGTATAGGTGGTAGTAACCACCACTTGATGTTTTTTTTAAAAAAAAAAACCTTGAGATATATGTAAAACGAATATTTTATTCGCCATTTTACGAGTGGTAACAGTTTAAAATTTATGCCGGATGAGTTATGAGAAAGGTTATACATTATATTATGATGACACTTCGCCCTACTCCTCTGGTCGATCAATTTGAAAACTGTTAAACTAGTAAATGGTAAATAAAATACTCGTGTTGTGCATATCAAAATTTGAAGAAAAATATTATTTAATCGGATTTCGTTTGAAAGGTGGACGGCGGTTCGCCATTTGAACATCAAACGTGAACGAATCTATTATATACGTGTACCTCATTGGAGATGTACAACAGGAGTTGGGGCGAAAGTTCGAAAATAGTGTTTAAATAACGATTGAAAGATTTTGCAATGATTGAAAAAAAAAACACATAAATCAAATCGCCATAAATCCTCCGAGAAAATCGCGAGATATTGCAAATAAAACGGTCGTCTATAATTCGGAAAAAATGTCATTATACTTCGTAAAAGTTTGTTTGTATTCGATATTACAGCGCTGTTGTGTGCGCACGTCGTATCAATATTTTTGGAAACGCGCCTTTTTTTTTTTCCGATTTTCAATACGCAAACTATACGTACCGAAATGAGATTCAAAAGTCGGTGGGCCGTTTAAAATTTCGGAAACGCCGCGGTAAATAACACGTGATGCGTCCGAGGGCGAAGAAACGCGAATTTGTATTTACGGATCGCCGGTCCGTGTGATAAAAAAAAAAAAAAAAAAAAAATCGCCCTGTATATAAAATGATACATTATCGTGTCACAATGCAAGACGGTTTTTTTTTTCTATCGCGCACACGCGCGAAAAGTGAATAGGTATTTTCCGGCGCGTGCGCGCGCGCGGTCCTACGCGTAACGCGGCGTTACACGCGCCGCGCAGCGCGGTACCGAAACTAGCCGATCGCCACTCGGTAAAAAACGTCGGCGGTCAAACTCGACGTTGTTATTGCACAACGCGGTAACGGGTCGCCAAAACCCATTACGAGATTTAAGATTTACAGACCCGGTACCCGTACGCGAACCCTTTGACGTGCGGCGACTCGTTCGTGTACAGGGTGCAATACGAAACAATATCGGACGCCTGGAACAGACTTTTCTTCCGTAGTTTAATAGTTTTTTTTTTTTTTGTTTTGTTTTGTTTTGTATCAAACGAACGAATCGTACGGCGGGTATAAGCTCTAGAAATTGTTAAAAGAAAAAAAAACTATCGCAGGAACGAAGCCGAAGCCGTACCGGGTATCGGATCTTTGCGGTGCAGCCCGTACGCGAGGGGGCGTGTGTTGTGGCGAAAACCTGATAAAAAAAAAAAAAAAAAATGAAACGCTCGTCCCCGTCACAATGCCTGTTGTGTAATGAATGCGGCGATATATTGTCATCGTAACGTCCCCGCGTACCTTTATCGGGTACAATGCACGATGCGAAAACGGGGGGGGGGGAAACGGTTTTCGCCGGCGTGCGCGCGCGGGAAAATCGCGTACGGCCTTCGCGCGACCCGCAATAGGCCGTCGAGATTTCCCCCGGCCGCCGACGGCGTCGATAGTCGGCGAGAGTCCCACCGCGACGGCCGCGGGGTTTTCGGTTTTATTAACGTCCGGGCGCGCGCGTTTCAGCGGGTGATGTTGTGTGCGTGCGTGTGCGTACGCGTACGTCAGTCGGTTTGCGTAGTTCTTTAAACGTTTAAAACCGACTGCGCAATAAAACGTCGGGTCCCGTGTGAGGTGCGCGCGCGCGCGCAATGTCCGATTGTTATTTTTATTGTTATTGCGGCCGCAGTGCGCCGTGTCCCCGGGGGATTCGCCGGGGACACGCGCAGGAACGGCGCGCGACGGGACTCACGCCCGGAATCGTAAATGTTCCCGCGGGACGTTCCGGCCGCGCGCGCGGCCACGGCAATCAATTTGCGTCCGCCGCGCTCGTGTTCCGGTCCTCCGGAACGCGGTGCGGGGTGGCTACAGCGTTTGTTGTCGCCGCGTTCCCGAACGGCGGTGCCCGAATGTTCTGGCGTGCGCGTCGTGCCGCCGATCAACGGGCGCCGCGGTCGGCGGTACTCTCGCGCCTTTGCGTACGGCGATTCCGCGCTCTTTCCGTCTTGCGGTCCCGTATTTCCCGCGATGAACCCGCGGCGGCGTTATCTCTGACCTTCCGGAAAGCCATTGAATCCGACGGTGTAATTATGAAATCCCGATGTCGTTGCCTTTCGCGCCGAAAAGAGACGGGTCGTCTTCCGTACGCGAAAAAAAAAAAAAAAATTTCAAACAGTGTTTCGGAACCGTATTTCCGTCGGGAAAATAATTCGTCGGAAAGTGTTTTCTCGGAACTGTTCACAGTAATCCCATGATACGCACTGCGCGGCTCCGTGTTACCGCCGTTCGGTAAAAATACGATTCCGGCAGAACGCGTCTCCGTGGAATTCCTTTCCCTGCAAAATACCGTTCCGATAGAAAAAATTGTCCGATACCACGCAAATATCGTCTTCAACTGCACGCGCGAATTCCCAATGTCGGCGGGATTCGCGCACGCGCGTAAATTTACCCCCGAAAATCGCGTGAGCGCGCCTAATGGATCGCCCCGTCTACGGGTACCGAACGTCGGATATCGCGAAGGAGCCGCGTGTCGGCCCGTTACAGTTGCGGCACCGACTGCTGCGCGGCGGTCGTTCAGATAACACGTCGCGGTACGCGGGAATCAATGTCACGTTATCGATAAAACCGCGCGATTGGCCCGGGAATCGGCCGTGCATTCGGCTGTGTACTACGGATACGGATATTATTTTCGATATTCCGCGGTAACCGCGACACCGGACACGGCGCGGCGGTCGAGCCGTTTGATAACGGCCGTATTACGATGTATGCCTAGCCAATAACAACTCGGACGGTAACCGCTTTTTTTTTTTTTTTTTTTTATTATTATTATTATTGTTATTGTCGCTGTTATTGCCCGCGCACGGTGATTCGCGCGAAAACTCGCCTGTCCGCCTGATATCCGGAACGGTAAAACGCCCGTTTGCACACGCCTCCAAATGTCAATTGACACCGGTAGGCGCGTTATAACGTTGCGATTTAATTTCTTTGTGAATTTCCGCAAGGGCCACGCGGACCGTTTTCGACAGACAATCGAGAAACGAACGGGGACTTTTTTTTTTCCCCCGCGCTATTTCTCTTTGACGTGTAACGGAGGGCACTTTTTGAGGTTGTGCTACAAAATGAATCAAATTGATGTGCTTTAGACGCGAACAAAATCGCGTCGATATTGTCAATAGCTGTATACATTTATAATAATTTACAAAAACGAAAAAAAATAATCAATTATCCTTCGATATTTTTATCGATTAAAACCATTATAAGTATTTGCTTGTTCACTCATTATCGTTATTTAATATTTAATATCCCGTAAAAACGTTTAATACTGACCCATCCATTTCTTATATTAAGTCTATGTCATTTTCAGATGTACAGAGTAATTTTTTGTTTTGTTTTTTTCTTTTTTTTTAATCGCAGACCAGCAGCGATTAATAATCACGAAAGTTTCATGTACATTTCCGTTTAATACGAATTATTATTGAGTCATTTAGATAACGGTTTATAAACGCACATTTCGTATTCGATATTTTACCGTCATTCCGTGGTTAATAAATAATATCAACAACCAACGTTTTTCAACAACTCGAATTCGAAAAAACAATGGCTTTCTGAAAATTCTAAAACTTTTGTAAAAATTGCAAATATTCAATTAGGTAAAAATACGTATAACACGTACTGTACAGGTTTGTATAATAACAATCACGAAACACAGGAAGGCGCATGCCAAAATTTTAAAATGTTTCAAACACAACTAACAAAAATTTCAAAACAAATCGCACGTTAATGACTAACAAACAGTGTTAGATATTCATCTTAAAGTTTCTACAGTAATTTGATTGCAATTTACAAAACTCCGGGGGGTGCTTAATGGGTTGTGTTTTTTTTTAATTTTTTTTTTATCATTTTTGAAAAACGTTAGAATTCGGACATGTACACTTTCTGCGTCACACACACTCAACATCAAGATAACCCGTTAACCCCGATAACCCATTTAACCCGTGTACAATATAATTACACCCGTTATTAAAACCGAGCCAATTTAAAATCAAAACACATTCAAACGATGGATTCAAATCTTCAAATTTTGAAAGAATGCCGTCGTTTGTTTACGGGCGCTCGATCATAATATATTAGAATCGGTTTTGAATTCTTCGGCTTTCTTTTGATAAAAAAAAAAAAAAAAAAACACCAATATTATTGAATCGAAAAACGCCAGTAATACGCATAATTCGCGTTTTAAACATACAGATGCGCGTTTCTCGCACTTAATACTACCTATAAACGTTGACCGCCGAATCGACGTAGAAAAGATGCGATAGTTGCAATTTGTTTTCGGTAACGGACTGCGCGGGACACGGGGCTCGTCAAATGAAATATACGTATATTTACGCGAGTGTCCGCCACCGCCGCGTGGAGGATTTCTCGACGCGATTGCGCTACACGGTAATAACGGTAAAAAAAAAAAAATCGTAATTCCTTTTCGGCAAATAACATTATAATACTGTATTTTATTGCGAAATAAACGCATCACGAAAAATTATAGACAAATTCTTTAATGGGTGTATATAATAAATAAAATAACGTACGCGCATATATATATATATATATCTGTATGTATCGTTAAGTACCGACCATATTTAAAATCGTCCAAAACCAGTTAACGGTAAAAAAAAAAAAAATATAATATGCAAACTGCGCGCATTATTAGGAACACATACTCGTATAATACTGTTGACTATGCACGCGAGTTATTAATTAAATTCGAAAAAAAAAAATGTGTATTTTTACCATTTCAAACGAATACGTGTTGTTTTTTTTTTTTTTTAAGTAGACCTCAATAGTTACTATACAAGTATCCGGGACACGAGTTTGCGGGCATTAGTACCGGGAATCGCAACAAAATACGTACATAGTTTTATGTCTGTTGACAAGGCTGCATCCGAGTTCCCTCCCAACAACCTTTTTTTCTATGTCAATCCGGTCCCGGGTGAAAAAAAGGATACGCCGATTCCGTTCCGGTTAAAAAGTGCGTGTACCAATAATTTCGTCCCTAGAATAAAAAAAAAAAAAAGGAGGTTAACTAAAAAATTACACCATTACTATAGTAGTATAATGAAAAATAATAAATCTAGAGACGCAGACGCTCAAATAATGACTGGAAAGTTTAAAAGTTAAATAGTATCATCTTTATTTGTGAATAATATAAAATTGTTATCGAAGTCATAAATTTCATAGTGTATACATATAGTGTGTACAATTTGCTAAAAGAGACGGAACTCGTGTAATTAAATAAATCACATGGAACGGAACTAGTATATCTTTAAATTCAAATTTTACGTTCAGGACAACTGTTCCTAAACCAGATCTGTCCCGTTCCAATCTGAAAAATGTTTGGAAACGCGGTTAACCGAACTTCGCCTCAAAACGGTTTTTCGTATCGGTTTGTGTCAATAATTTAATCGTTGCGTGTGGATATTATAATTAAATTGCCACTCTGTACACGTGTATGCGAGTCTTACAATCCCGTATTCCCACCCATCGTAATGTGCTCTCTTCTTTTCTTTTTTTTTTTCTGTTTAATCAACAGCTGTAGAAAACCGCCGTTTCATCGACCGAGTCGAAAATATCGTATTATTCGTCGACGAGACGTTTAAAATCGGGACAGCGCGTGTTCGATCGTCATCGTCACAAGATGATTTTTTTTTTTTTAATCTCATACATTTGTACAACATCACGTTTATTAGTGAGTATATAGTCGGCCGCATAAACACTGCGCACCGGATGGTTTCCCGTCGCCCGCCGCTTAATAATACTTATGGCGAAAAATCCGCCGAGAGACGAATCGCGAGAGCGGAAATTCCGGACGACCCGCTAAACTGATTCTGCGCACACCGTCATTTGTATCGAGTCTTGTATGTATTTATTTTTTTCCCGACGCTTTTAATTGGACCAGCGCGTATAACGGTTTTAAATTGACGGTTCGTTAATAGTAATGATAATTGCATAGTAAATGACCGATTATAAAATTCTTAACTGCCGGTCAGCTGGGTTAGGCGGCTATACATTTGTTTTTTTCGTCCGTCCGGACCGGGGGAACCGGAGAAATCGAACACCGCAAAAAGTCCGAAATTCGAACGCGAGCTTGTATTTAAAAATCGCAATTCAAAACGCCGGCTTCGGTTGGATGACGACGTTGTCGGACGACCCAGTAATTTTGATGTTTTCGTACCGACCGCGGCGAACCTGCGAAATTTGCTCGTTCGTCGCCTGGCAGCCGTCACGATGTTATAGGTTTTTCAAATGTCCGTGCTCGCAAAGAAATTAATATACGTTACGTATTGCGTATTACTATTCCGTTTTGTTTGAATCGTGTACGCACTGCAGTGGCGGTTATACGCGATGTCCAGGGGGAGGGAGACGAAATTAAAGCCAACCGTCCATCGCCCCGTCACATTGTATACGTACAACGTGAAATATGCATACGGATTATTGGTATAATAATGTTTTGTACATTAATAGCGCGCTTTAAATATACTAATGTATATTAAAAGAATGATATACGTAATTTGTGTGTAAAATGACTCGTCCCCTGACTGATTCGCCATCGCCCAGCCCAAAACCGCTGGACGGATCGGGCTGAAATTTGGCACGCAGACGGCTATTGTGACGCGGGCGTCGGCTAAGAGAGGATTTTTGAAAATTCAACCTCTAAGTGGGTAAAATAGGGGTTTTTAGGTATACTCGGTATGAATATCTAATTGCGCATTAATTTATTTATTTTTGTTTGTTCAAGGGTTACCTTGGTTATACGGATGATGATTTGGTTGTCACGGATAGGAAAACTATTAAGATTATTTTTATTACTATTATTAACACTGTTAAAATTTCACGATAAAACACTTTTAGTCCAGTCGAAGGTGGACCGACCCGCTTTCCACCGAAATGCTTTCATTCAATTTTGACACGGTCAAAACCGAAAACTAATATGAATATTTTCTTTTTTTACTCAAACCTATATAAATTGGCACGGAACAGCTACAGTGTACTATAAACGTGTTGACTTATAGTTCGTTCGTTATCATATAATAATTATAATAAAAGCATGTGTGCCTTTTTTTTTTTTTTTTGCTTACAAAAGCGTATAATAATATTATCAATATTAATATTTAAGTCCTTATGGATATCGATCTTCGCTAATTGTTGACCTAAATCGTGTCTACGATCTAAATAAATAAAGTAAATCACATGCATAGTAGCAATATATAGCGTTGAAACATTACCCGAGATGACAGCAGTCTCTATCATTTGATAGCAAATATTGTGGATCGCACTATCGCCACGGCCCACGGTAATAGATAAACTATTTATTGAACTGTATTGTTTACCCATCTCCGTGTGTATCCACTGATTTCTATACCGCGTTAGTATAGAAGTCTGTGTGCTTATTGCATATACTAATCACAGTACATAGACAACAGAAAAAACCCACGGCCCGCAGATACGCAGAACACATTTTTCTACTTAATATCTGTGCCACGGAATTAATATAACATACTGTCCGTGATTAAAAGGTAAAACACGATCAAGGAAATTGTAAATATTTTTCCGTCGAATGATTAAAATCGAAAATTTACAGATAGGTATTGTCGGGCCAGCGATACACTAAATTTAAAAAAATCAAATCCCAAAGGGGGAGCGATCCACCTATCGCCCTCCTCCCCCTCCATTATAACCGCCACTGACACTAGTGTGGTCTTTGAACTTTGGAAATTTGTTGATTATACAACCTAGATTTGTTTGAATACACTTAAAAGTGAAGTACTTGAACAAAGTTATAGAATAAAAATTACGCAAAATGTTCTTTCAAACGAGTTTTATACTCTTATAGTTTTTCGATGAAATTGTTGTTACTCGCGTTGTGCTTGAAAAACGCATAAAATTATGTCGTTTTCTACAATTCTATACAACTTCTGCCCTAAAAGACGGCGGCATTAATAACCGTACCTTAGAGACGACTAAAACCTCGCGTGCGCCGTCTTGAAAGTCGGAAATCCGTCGGCGGACTGCTCAATCACGCGCGTGACGGCGGACACGCGGACGTACGGACGCGGAGAGTGCATCACGAAACGCAATAATAATTCTGTCGCTACGCGTTTCCGCGCGACAATCGTTTTCCTCGAGACGCCCGGCGCCGGAGACGGTAAGGCTGAAGTCGGCGCCGGGCGACTGCGGCACCGCTCCGTCGTCGGGTCCCGCGATTTCCCGTCCGTCGCCGCCCGGGGCCCGTCAATAATAACGTCGAACGCCGCGACCGCGGTACGTACGGTAACGACGTTAACGGCGTTCGGTCGGGCAACGATAACGTCTCCCAGTTCCCGAACGATACGGCGTTGCCGCGATGGCAACGGCGCCGGTGCCCGCAGTCGGCCGGTCGGGCCGACGTCGCGTAGCCCGCAGCCGTTTGAACGTTCCGCGATGTAAAAACCGCGTTCGAGTATACCGGTAATAGTTGTACGACGGGTACGCGCGGGAGTTAATCGTTATCGTCTCGTTCCGTAGTCCGCGTAAAGCACAGGCGTACGGGCCCGTGGCCGTCGTGCGGGGTGTGCCCGGACGCGCGACGGCTATACGGCATCCGACTATCGTCGCACGCCGCACGATAAATTGCCGAGCGAAGCTGCGCGCGGCATCGCGGGTTTTGCCGGTTCCCGGCGTCCGCCGTTACAACAATTGCAGTTGTCCGTCGCACCCTTACCGCCCTCGGCTTTTCGAGACCGAAATTTGACGCGACGCGACCGCAACAGTTTTCGAACGCAAACGAATCGAAAATCGCCGAGGAACCGCCGTCGCGAACAACCGTTCTGAATGATTCGACCGTTATTGCGACGAAACGAAAAACGCCGGACGTTTCGGCAAATCAAGTCCATCGCGTATTACAGTGACTCGGACGTTTCGACGTTCCGGCGTACGACTCGCGTCCGAATATTTATGCGAGCGCTACTAGTACGAGCCGCCGAGAGTCGGCGGTCGCAAATTGCCGGTAAACCGTTTTGGTACGGTTGCGATATTCATGGCGACCGGTGACCGTTTGACTCGCACGGATGGCATACCCCCTCATTATTGTCGCGAAACAATGACGAGAAATAACAAGGAGAGACTCGTACCGTACGACCGACGGCGACTCGAACGGCTGCGGTAATAATGACAACGCGCGTCCCAGACGCCGCGCCGCCGGTTCCGGTTTTCGCAGGGAACCGATAGTCACCGGTTGCGCTATCGACGGATTCGTGGTGTAAGCGTGTTGTATTATGCGCGGCCGCCGTGTCGTTCGGACCGAAAAACAAAGGGGAGACGGCGATGGGATAGATGGGATAGATGGGAAACGTCGAAAATCCGCTCGAGCCCCTCTCCGCCCGGGGACCGAAGCGACATTAACAGAAACGCGCTGTGCACAACGGTGGCGGTACGCGCGTACGGCCGCCGCGATAATATAATTATTTATCTCACGTATATCATTGCAGCAGCCGCCGTAACGACGACGACGACGACGACGTCGGACGTACCCGGACTGCTAAAATTCGTTTTGGCCCGGTTTCGCGGGTAATTTGTCCTTGTCAATTATCAGAGAGAGAGAGAGAGAGAGAGAGAGAGAGACGGTATTTCGAATTTAATAATAATTATTTTTATATTCGATTAACTGCGCCGGTCGGACCGTATACTACTAACGGCCGGCCGGCAACACCGGGTACCGCAGTCGTCGCGCGTTGCGATGCCCGCAACGTCGTGTTATTATTGTCAATGTCGTACGGTCGAACGTTACACATATTGTACAGGGTGCGCCTGTCCGCGGGATGCGAGATAATTATCGCCCGTTGCGCGCATACACGGAAAAGCGATCGTCGGGCGGCCCCGCCGGCGCAATATTGCAGAGCGACGGCTGGCCGAAGGGCCGAAAGTCCGTCTGGTTTTGACGGTTTGCCGTCGTAAATAATTTTATCCGGGCCCGCGAATGCGCCAAAAACCGTCGGCGCACGTGGCGCGCTGAATAGCGAAGAAAATTTAAAAAGTACCGGGTATAACCTGTCGGTGAAACTTCCCCGGGATGGGTTTATTAACTTCAACCGAACTTTTAACGACGATAACATCGCGTTTTCGCGTGAATATTCCCGTTTCCCGAAGTTTTTTTCGCAATTCGCAAGAAAACTACGAGGAAAAAAAAATAAACGACCTCGTCAGTGATGACTTTCGCTGTCGATAACCATCCCTGAAGTTCGCACTGTGATCAGAACAAGATTTCTGGTATTACGGTGGTGTACACGCAAAACAAAAATCGCACGTTATAACGAAACCCGATATTTTACAGGAGTCGGAATGTTGTCAATAATGTCACAATATACTCTTGTGAATCATTTTTTTTTTTTTTCCTACTTTTTTGACGTTTCGATACACGGATCTTCGTGTCTAATAACTTATCCGTTTCCCGTTACAGGAATGAAAAACTTGGGGAAATCGTCTTTGTGGACCGCGTTGTTACTGTTGATGTGGATCGAGAACGCCAATGTTACCGGTGCTGACGACGGACACCCCAAAGACGGCCGCGCCGACGACGGCTCGTCGAGCGTGCCGCACTCCCGGCAAAAACGTCTGCTGTGGATCACCACTGACGGCCGGCTGGCCCTGCCGCCCGGCACCAGGCTGACCATAACGCCGTCGCTGTCCCTGCCGTTCGTCAGGTACCCCCCGGACGGGTTCCTGTCCAACATGTCCATCAGCTTGCCATTCACGAGTGAGTGTAGACAATTTTTACAATTTATAAAAAAAAAAAAAATTTGAAAATTACCTCGAAAAACACTTTATATTTTTAAAGTAAAAATACGCTTCAGATCGCACCTCGAAATTTTTCGTGACGACGGACCGGGTGCTTCAGAATTTCACCGAGATTACTCGTCGTGTTTCAATTTCGGACTCTCGATAAGAGATGAAATTGTCTATTGAATAAATTCTCTGCAATGACGGTCCGCGTGAAACGTCCAAAACATTATAACAACGCAACGAGATTTTTTTTTTTTTACGTTTTTACTGCTGCACTAGAAGCACGGATGTACTAAACCCGCTATTGTTATTATATACAGGGAGATTATGTTTTCACGATCCATTATTGCATTTATCGTGATCAATTATTTGATTCGCTTCGCCGTACGTTCTCTCGGTCTAAACGCTATACTCCAATATAAATATTTTTAAAAAGCAAGCAGAACTCATATAGTTACCTGATAATAGAACCTCTCGAGAAAATCACTGGACATCGACAAAATGATCGCTCTGTATACAGCTAACTGAACTTAATTAAATCTTACCATTCTTATACCTTTATAATAATATTGGCTAGTGTACCCAGTGCCCGCGCATTGAAACCCAATGAAAACGCATTCACGCCGCCTGGAAAATTACATACGCACGTAGGTACCGTGAATTATGTGCAATTTTATAATAAATGTATACACACACTGCGGGTACTATTACTACACACGCGGTCGAAAAATCCAATTATTATAGAAATGCTTACGCCGTTCCTTTATAACAAATGCGCGTCTATAAACGATGGGAGAGGCATGATGATGTACACACGCCAATACGCCATCATCGTTAAACCGAGACGGAACGCTTATTTTTTAATATAATAAAAAGTCTAACATGATATTATTATGATACCACGTGCGCGCACGCGGTCTGCGTGTATACTTCAGTGGTTCCAAACCGCTGCAGAAATGCTCGAAATTGATGTTTAATACATTTTTACGGAAATTTTACATTCCTAGCGCTTCTATTCATAGTGTATCGTCGTGACTAATCCATAAGAACGATTCCCTTTACGAGCAAAAGATTGTTTGCAAAATTTCCACTAGCTGTGCTCTAGATCTGTACATTCGGGTGTAGCATTTCCTGTAAAAACCCGAAGCATAAGGGGCGAATAATCTTTAATACGAACGCAATACGCGTTCAAAATTGCAGCATCCCGCTAAATTCATTCGGGACGCGCTATTTTGGGGCGAGCTATACTTCAAAAAGCCACCTTTCCAGCGGCGCAACTAGAGTTCAAATCTTTGGAGTAAGATTTTTTGGGGTACTAAAATCGTGAAACTCGCATAGCCGTGAGAGGCTCCGCCCCCACACACCCCAGCATAATGCGTTCAATAATTTCAACACGTTCATTGTGTATTATTAAATTCGTCTAAATAATTTTCATGTCGGTGGAAGCAAAATTGTTCAATATTTCTTCGGGATTAATTTCATTCGTTAAGTCTAATTCAACGATAATGATACTCGAGTTGGTAAACCATTGTTATATTACGCTACTTCTCGGCCAATTATTTTAATTTCCGTACGTTGCTGAACTGACCGGAATGGTCTGACGCAGACCGTATTAGTTTGTAGAGATTTGAAAAAAAAAAAAAAAAAAAACGTTGCTTAATATCTGATACTCTGATCATAAATTCTCGAAAATAAAACTACGTAGTAAAAACTATAGGTTTTCGAAACTACAACGACATGGAATCCATGGGGGTGATTGATTAAAAAAAAAATCGTCTGCCGCCCCCCTGTCGTCTAGTACTCTAGTGCAATATGTAATATCATAAGTTTTAAAAACGTTTTTCGCCAGTTTTATTCGAAAATATTTTACTCAGAGCATCTGAAATTCCGGCTCCGCCACGTAGGTATAAATCGATTTATATCAGTGTATACATATATTGATATTGTTAGTGTTTAGTGCATTCGTTTTATACACTTGCGTTCGTGTATGCGCCACGCGGCAACACACGTTCTCCTCGTTGAATTAAGCCGTGTTAGCCGCGCGGCCACGGGGGAGGCGAGTCTAATTACCGTACACGTGCGGTTCGCATTGCGTCTATTCGGACTCGGGACAATAAAAATAATAATAACGTAATCGCGCGCACAATACGCCTAATACGATTTGCATTAAAAAATATGATTTTTAGTTTTTACTTTTGACATTTCGCCGTTTCCGCGTGTTTGCTCGCTCGTCTTCTATACGAGACAACGGGCCAATGAGAAAAAAAATAATAATAATAATAATAAGAAAAAAAAAAACGATTTCCGAGAGAGATAATTTTTCGGCGCGTTCAAAGACAATACCCGCCGCACGTACTTAATAGAATCGTCGTGCCCGCGATGTTTTCTAGGCCAATATTATTTCATTAGGGACTTTTACGGCGCGCACGCCACACCTGTTTCTGTGCCCACTTACGTGCGTATAGTACGTATATAGGCGAACGTAATAAATCAACCGCGCGGATTTATTAGACGTTTAAAAAGTTCGCCGAACCTCCCGAATTGGAACGATCGCGAACCGCGTACACGTGGCGAAATTTACGGGGCCGTGAAATGTGCGCTTTTATCGCCCGACATGTATAATATTATTTGTGATGCAGAACAATACAGCATGATAGTAATCGTTCGACAAATTCGAATTCGGCGCTAACAATGTGCCGAGCAGCGGCCAAATATGCCAGGCGTGACAGCGTTACGACGTGTTTCGGTTGTAAACTGCGCACACAGGGACGTGGCAAGAGGTTAGGGGAGCGGCGCCTACGTCCCGGGCGGGATACGCGGATAGGCGCGAAAATACCCTTAAAACATAAACCTAAACATTTTTTTTTTTCACGTAAAAAGAAATCAATAAACAAAATATTTGCAATTTAGGACATCCGATATAATCTAGTGTGTTGCGGAGGATAATCAAAACACTCGTTCGATTGTAGTCCGTGAAAATCGTTTGACGTTTGACTAAATAGAGTTCGCAAAAGCGCATTTCAAATTTCGCACCCGGTGCAGTATTCGATTTTAATATTAATATTTAACCTACGGAATAATTGAAATTTCGCGGACAAAGAACTGAACTCAACTGATTGTATCGGTTAAAATAAAATCACTGTCAGCGGGTGGCCATTGAACCTGCGTTTCATAAATTCGCCATCAAATACCTAATACTTATTTTAGCCATGGTAGTGACAATTTTATTTTTTTTTTAGCTCTTCATAAATCGCAGCAATCTTGTTAGTATCAATAGAATAAATTACCTACGTTGTATAATTACTATATAAATAAAAATACTCGTAATTTGTATATATATATATGTATTTGGTCAACCATGGCTGAAATCGGATTTTAGAATTTTCTTTTTTTTTAATAATTTTGTTTATGTAATTTTTCTCCTAATTCGTTTGGTCTAAATGGCATAAGTACCTATACATATAAAAATATCCTGAGTCACTATGATATACTTTTATTTTGCCAAAAAATCATCTAACCATAAAAACATATAATTATGTCCTTTTTAATGCATTTATGGTATTTTCAACAATTGATGAGTTTTTGCCTGTGACTTTTGGCAAATTTTCTATTTTATGAAAATAAACGTAGAAGGAAAGAGAGAGAGAGAGAGAAAAAGATCGAAAAAGTAATGATTTGATGCGACTAAGAATGATATGAAGACGGCCGTTTTATACGAGACGGGAGATCGGGTTAAGTGAAAGTTTAGAACTAAGGTGGCCCCTACTCCAAGTGATTGAAACGAAGGCGAAGAAGAAGAAGATCTATTACATATAAGATATATATTTTATTTGTTTTGCCCATTTATCGGTGATTTAAATGTTGTTTTATGGATTGTTGATAACAATTTGTAAAAAGAGAAAAAATTGCTCACGCGTTTTGTTTTTGTTTTCTATACGTGCAGTCGACTTTGACGCTCTGGGACTGACCGACAATCAGAATCCATTTGGAGCCTTCCCGCCAATATTGGCCCGGAGTATGGGCAATCAGATGGGCTCGATGCTCGCCAACTACGTGGCTCAGCTAATCGGCGGCCGGAGATCGACCAGGTCCGTGCCCACGTTACCCAAACCGATACACTCATACTTCCAAGGAGGCGAAAGGTAATTTTTTTTTTTTATTGTCCCTTATAATAATTATTATAATTTTGTAAACTACTAACTAGCTGTTCGGCACGTGAGCAGTATTGAACGTGTATCCCCGTGAATTTTCGTTGTTTCCACCCGGTACCTACGGCAGTAATTGACCGTTGTTTACCAGCACTCAATTTATTATTTGTTTTTTTTTTTTTTATCCGTGTCGCCAAAGTAAATCAATAACAATTATTCGATTTTCGTACCGAAAATACCGATAACCCCCTGTTAGCCTCCAATCAAACCAAAAACACGTTTAATACGGAGGGGAAAATTAGCCTAAATACCATTCCTGATTTCCAACTATATCTATGCAAAGTTCTCGCTCAATCCGTTCAACAGTTCTGGCACATGAAACGGTAACATTGAACATTCGTCCGCCCAAACAAAATTTGGCATTCATAATCTATTGATACGATACGAATACGAATTTTTGCTATTCCGCGTGACGTCGTTTTTATATCGCTAAAACGATTCGAAACTACAATTTTCTGTGTTCGATGTGTTAGTCGTAATATTACATATAAGTAGCCCGGCTGCCAGATAGGTAATGTGTAAATAACTGTCTGAAATCGAAATTATTATTAATTTTTTATTAACTTATAATGTCGCGGCTACAATAATATCAATGTAACGCTAAATTTGATATTTATTAAATTTTTTCAAACGTGCTAGAACCCCTGATATTCTGCACTGTTTTTTTAATATCCAACTGCGAATCACGGGAGAAATTACGCGATTTACATAAAAAAAAAAAAAAAACTTTATAAATTCGGTTCGGTGCACGTACGTATTTTGTTGGGATGATTTGTTGCGATAATTCGCATACAAAGTCGCGGGTTGGTTTACAGTGAATTTTAAAACGATATACTTAACGAAAACTTAACGAGTTTTCGCCGCTGCCACGGCAATAGTCTGAAACTGATGAAACTTTTGATTTATATACCGGAAACGGAATATTAATAATAATAAGGTTACGCGCGACTTAGCAATTTCTTATCAGTTTTGACTCACGATTTATACGCGTAAACGTTTAATAATATTGTAACGATACAGGGCTCGCGTCTGCGGTTCGTGGCCGCGGAATATTTGCCCCCACGGCCGCCCCCGAAATCCTGAGACTTGCAAAACTTAACTACGTGAACACTGTGCACGATCAGTGGCGTAGCAAACCGTCGTTTTCGGAAGCGGCTGCAGGACGGTTACAGACGGGACGCATTGCCAAACGTATAACGACATTACGACGTAGCTATTGCGTGACAGCTATATGGGTATTGTGAAAATTGCAGCTGGATCGGGGCGGGCAGTGGTTGGAAAAAACAAAAAAAAAACAAAAACAAGAACGATCCGATTCTCCATACCTAATTCATATTTGGCGACGCCACTGCGCACGATCATCAATAAATTTCCCATCGGTGTAAAATAACACGCGCGTAATACAATATGACGTATTTTAATGTTAAGAAAACGCGCGTAAAAAAAAAAAAAAAAAAAAAAAAAAAAACAAGAAAAATCATTAAGTAAAAATATGTAAAACGACGGGGCGTGCGCGACGCGAGGTAACGTGTAAGTTTCGCAGTCGGTGCGAATTTTATCGGACTTGCCGCGAGGCGGTTCGCAAATCACAATTTTACTTTGAAACTTGTGAAATTACTACGGTACCGGAGTTTCGCCCGCGCGTATACATGCGCACGTTTTTTTTTTTTATATTTTAGAACTTCAATGGGCGGTCGATGTAAAATTACGTAATACGATAACATTTCAAGTAGACTTAACGCCGAGGAGGAATAATTATTCCCCGATATCATACCGCATTGCGTTGTGCGTTTGTATAGTAATAAAACGACGGGCACACCCCGGCAAACGGTAAATCATATTATTCGAACTCCAAAACGGATGTTGCGTTCTAATCGGATGTCCGGCCAACGAGCGCCGATAATACGGCGAAATTACTGTGTACTCGTTCGTACGCGAATCGTCACGGGGTTCGCGGGTACAACCAGTGGATAGAGGAGGGCGGGGGGGTGGGGGGGGGGGTTTCGCTCGGGGAACTTTAGCAGTCCCGAGTTTGAAATTCGCCCTTTTGCGAAAACCCCCGATAAGCCGTTTTGCGGTGTACACCGATATGGATATGTTGTCCGCAACGTATTAATAAGCGGAACAAAATGCGGATCGCCTGCGGACTGTGCAACGCGTGCGGTGCGTTTAAAATATTAAATTAAAAAAGTTATAGTACACGATGGCGCGGCGCGTTTCAGATACACGTATTATAATTCGGTTCGCGAAACAATTGCGGCCAAAGCGAAACTATCATTTTACGTTTTTAATTTTTACCGTTTTTTTTAAATTTTTTTTTTTTTTTTTTAGTCGTTTCGAGAGTAAACTCGAGTAGAGAGATTGTCACAACGATAATATCGACTCGAAAAATTTCGTTTCCGTACCGAATAATATTCGCCTGAATGGTTTCGGTTATTTTCCGTCCTCACTCAGTGGTGGCGTGTCGAAGTAGGTTTTTTTCGAGGCGATTGTCTCGCGACTAAAGTGGACGGGTGGACGGATGACCAAACATGTTGAACGAGGATCAAGCCTGACTGGTTCAGGGATCAGAGACACCTTTCAGTCGTGCGTATTACAACGCTATTGATATATATACTTACTTGCGAATATGTTAGCCTGGTATATTGCGCGGTCAACGTGGCTAAATAAAATGTGCGCTTTAATTGTCGCTCGTAGGACATATAAAAAAAACCATTTTTTGAGTGAGCGTGCGCTAATTTTTTTTGTGTTGCCCCCCCCCGAGTACGGAGAACGTTGAACACGCTGTGCTGTCCTAGCCGACGTTAATAGCCGACCGTGTTTTTTTTTTTTTTTTCGTTTGTTTGGGTTTCGAGAAAAACGTTACGGGACGGGTGCAGGACATAACACGCGAAATCACGGCCGCAGCGAGCCCGAGAACAACGCGATACCGTTCCGTACGTGCCCGCGCGCCGGACAAATCGACATTCCGGTTGGATTTCCGACGGCGCGGTGACTCGGAGGGGAAAAATTCGCTCGGAACAGTATGGGTGACAAATTGCGTGATGATCGCGCGGACGACTTTTCGCCGTTGTCGTGCCACTTTTTCGGCCGCCGTGCCGTTGTTACGACGACGAAACGTCGTGTTTCCGCGACGACGTTTCTCACGGCCGCACGCGTAAGCGCACACGAAATAATAATAACAAAAACCGCGGCCCAACCTAACGATTCGGTTGACCGACATTGTAACACGCTCGACGGCGCGATCGTACCGCAATGCGGCGGATCGCGTTGAATTGATATTCCGAGACGGTCGCGGCGCCGCGGCTCTCCTCCGCGGCGACGGGTCCGTTCAAGTTCACGAGCGCGAAACGGACGGCCGCTGAACGGAACGGTTGCGATCGCGGCCGCGCGGGCGTTGGTAAACACGGCGCGAGACCCGTTCGCCGGGCGACCGCGGGTGACGGGGGCCGGCGCGCCGCTGGCGAAGGGGCCCGGGGGAAACGAGGAGCGGCCGATGAGAAACGAAAACGCGGAACGGAATGACCCGAACGAGAACTCGACGCGCCGAGTATCGTTTTCGGACGGTAACGGCCGTCAACGACAACTCGACAATCGCGCGCGTCGTTATTATTGTTGTTATTATTAATAGGCGCGCGGCCAACGGCGGACGTTGTGCGCTCGCGTCCGCCGTCCGCCGGCGGTAACACGCGAAAACAACGTGAGCGCGGAACGAGTAACGCGCCCGGCGCAATTTCGATTCTACAATCGCAGTTTACCCGTTATGGAATCTGCAGAGAACACCGTTTCGGGGTGGGGCGACGTCACAGGGTTCTCGTGCTGTTTTCGAATAGTGACCGTACATTTCGTTCGACGTACAGCTCGATATTATAATAGATGCAGAAAACCGTTTTTTTTTTTTTTTTTTTTTTTTTTCAAATAACCGTCACTTTTTCAACGGTTCATAATTCAAAAAAACACACACACGACCATCGCGCCGAAATATTTTCCTCCGTAAATTTCTGTAATAGGTACTTTGTTTACGCTAAAATCAAAAACGAGATGGTTTTACTCGTGTTCCGCGCGAGCGCCGTTTCTGCGCGTCACCCGGTAGTCGGACCGAGACGCAGTAGAAGCGTCCCTCTTAAGAAAGAAAAAAAAAAATGTCGAGCGCGGATTTTTTTTTTTCGCGCGATAATTACAATTTTTATTGAAACGCGAAAACATCGTACGCGGTGTTGTATAGGTACACCGGTTTCGAGTGTCGGTGGTGCCGTCCCCCGTGAATGGATTTTCAATCGGACTGTATAAGAATCGCGAAACCGTTTTCTCTACACAACCCGACCGCGCGGGTAGTTCGTAGTTTAACAGGCCGGATCTGAACAAAAGCCAATTTCTAATCGATACATCGACATTTTACTCGGGATTTTTGCCGAATACACGCGTTTCGACATTAGTTTACACGCGTACGTTTTTTTTTTTTTTTTTTTTTTAAAAGCCAATCAGGAGGGGGGTATATATACGTTAACCACCCCCACCCCCCACCCCTTGCGTAAGTAAGTCATCGGGTATATAGGCGGCGTTCAAAAGTACAATAAAATTATAACTATATATACACTGGCGTTCGCCACCGATATTTATAAAACGATTACGGCGCGACGCGTTTCATAGAAGTTTAGATTGCGTTTAGACACGTGTGCGGTGCTTTTTTCGCCCCGCCTGTCTGTGAACACGTTCGCGGTCGGAACGACTGGTAATTTGTTCCGGTCCGAGATGCGAACACTATTAGCAAATCCGCCCGGCCAACAAATTTTCACGCCGAATAAACCGGGCGCCTCCTGTAATACGGGTTCAAGAACGAGGGCGATTAAATAAATAGCGCGCTCGGTTTACCTACGCGGCCAAAAGTCACGCGTGCTCGCGAAACGTGGTCTACGTGTCGAGAAGACAAGGAAAAACCGCTCGTCTTTGAGAGAACGGCGCATGGGAAAATGCACGGGCCCGTCGGAGAAATCGCCGTAGAACACGAGAAGGGACGCAAAACGTAGGAATTCGGAAGCGCTGCGAAGAACCCGAAGTTATCGCAGAGTTTTAAACTCCGAGTGGCTACGGGACGGAGCGACCGTGTACGGCGAGCCGAGAGAAGTTTGACATTCGAAATGCACGGGTCGATAAGCAAACCGGTAAACGCCCGGGGATTTTTTCCCGGGAACGACGGCCGAGACGTAATAAAAATGGCGAACAACAATATTGATCCTGGTCGGCTCAATGAATCGCGTTATGGGTGTAGAGGATCGGTGGAATCTGCGGTACCTAAATGGCCAGCGAAATATTAAAAAAAAACAAACAGCAGGCTACATCAATGTTACGCGGCGGAATTGTCACGAAAGAAAAATCTCCGCTCCATTCGAAATTGCATAGCGTAACCAGTCTGACATCGCGTGAAAGTTCGAATGGCTTGCGAACAGCACAGTGGTCGTAATAATGGCCATCCGCGGAGGAAAAAAAAACAAAATCAAAAACTTGCTTTTTGAAACCGCTGACAGTTTCAAAACCATTTTGCAGTAACCGATTAACAATCAATACAATTTCCAATGGGAATTTGTCAAAAAAAAAAATAATAATAATAATATGTTTAACCGAACTACAATAATAATCGTATTCCGTTTTCAAATCATTTCGCGTTCAGAATTTACACCCGATATCCCGTTGCATTGTACGAACAGAATAATAAAACCATTTTTTTTTTTCAGAGCTCTATTGTACACTGTCGTCGAAGACCTGTTAACAAACTTCGGAATGGACGGCAAAGCGTGCCTGCTGCGAGCCATATGCGAAGTACACGGACACAAAGCCATTCATAAATTCGGTTTTATCGGCGAATTTCTGCAGTTGTTCCTGACGTAAGTACCCAATGCCCATTCGCGGGCATTGCGTGTTTTCGATATTTCAATTTGTACACAAACAATCGTCGGACCGCGCGTATACCATCATGGGGACCTCGATACGTGCGTGGGCACTTGAAAATCGCGTCGGTTTATCGCCGCGGCGAATACGTACCACGAGTGAAACGGTTCGCCGCGGTACTCTTGTATTACGGCGAATTTCCGGTCGGACGGCCCCCGACCTCTCACATCGGTGCAACGCGTTATTCTCGCGTTACGCAAGAGTTTTTTTTTTTTTTTTTTGTAAAAAGTCGAAACGTCCCGCAGGACGTACAGGACGTAACAGTTTCGTTATCAATTGTTATTCTCGTATACAATGTGCGCACCGGGCGGGGAAACCCGTCGGTCCGCCGCCGTCGTCGCGCCGAAACTGTTTGGACAGACGGAACGAGATCGGAATATTCCAATAAAATATTTTGTTTCGTTATTGTTTTGATTAAATTCGACGCGATTAGAGGCCGTCGCGTAAAATGTAAACCGATTCGTAGGTTTTTCTCGTTTTTTTATTATATATGTATTTTAATCGCTTTTTACAATCGCTAGGTATACGTAGTATCAAACGAAATCGTGTGCCAAACCGGAAATGCCGTCCGTGGCCTGCAACTATACGATAACTACACACACGCGCGCGCATAATACCTACACGGCGAGTATTATACACACAACATACGCGCTCGGCTACAAACGTCCGGTATTATTACGGACGCTAAACGGACTAAATAACTGCTGTTACCTATAATACTTACCGAAAGTGTGTCAAATCGTATGCGTACGATTAATATTATTGCAAGTCCGACTCTGTTATAGCCGCGAAAAACGAAAAAAAAAAAAAAAAACTCCGGGTAGGTGCATATTTTAAACTCTGCTGCAGTGTGTGTTACCCGAGTAATATTATGCACGTCGCCTGCAAACGGTCGAATGATGTTATGTTTCTACGCGCGGGTGTGTGTGTGTGTGTGTGTGTGTGTGTGTGTGTGTGCGTGTGTGTGTACGTTATTGTCGAAAGAGAAGAGAAAAATAACAAGCCAAACAGGACACGAGTACACAGCAGTTTGGCTGCTGTACTGCGGCGGAGAGACCACGCGACGGGGACGACGTTCGGTTCATTTCGCCCGTGTCGTACTGCGCACTCCGTATTATCACTATGAGAATATTCAATGCGAATTGCAATGATAAAACATTACGTTCTGAAAAACGAATCTCGCGCCGGAATATCATTTATATTATTACGGTTACGGGGGAAGGGGGTTGTTGTTTTTCTTTTCTTTTGTCCACCGTCACAAACGAAACCGTGCAAATAAAAAAAAAACGCATTACGAGTAAAGATGTCCGCGATATCCCGCGATTGCGTTGCGACGTTTCGTCGATTTGTGTCGTTCATTTATTTATGTTCAGCGTTCGGTGTTTTTTTTTACCCACGAATTTTCTACATGAAAATATTTTCGAAAACTTTATTTTACTCGTGTACGTATTCGATTAGTTTCTGAATTAGTATTACATTAAATACCAATCGATCATAATGGATTTTGTAAAAATTCTACACTAATGTTTCGTCACAATTGCAACTATTATCATTTATTTGAAACATTTTTCTAGATACACGACAATTTTTCTAAAAATTAAAAACACAATGATTTATTTTTGTTGATTTCCTGACTATATACAATAAGCTGTTTTGATTTTTAACATTTTTTTTTTTTTTTTTTTTTTTCGACTCAAGGCTAGAAATTGCTTCTTTATGGTCTCAAAGTTACCCCCAAAAATAATTTTAGAACTTGTTCACCGCATATTTAATTTTTCCATTTAAATAACAAAGGAAAGTAACTATACTTTCAACTAAATCTCATTTACTCACCAAGTTCGAAAGTTACGAGTTTATTTTTAGTTTTTTCTTAAAAATCACAAAAAAAAATCATAAGATTCACGTGGAATCAAGTTGAATTTGACTATTATAAGAATAGCTTATTTGTATAAATATATACAAATTTGGTTTTTAAAACTACTTTTTTATTCATATTATAAAGTTGTATAACTCAGTGGCTGTATTTTAGAACAAAAATATTCAAATAAGGGTCAGTTATGAAAAGACCTTGTTATCGGTTCTTGGTTATAGATCATCTTCATAGACTATAAGTTAAAAATTTAAAAAAAATCTGAAATTTTTTAATTTTTTAATTGAAAATATCGTTACTTTCTTACTCGTGTTATTTAATTGGAAAAATTAAATACGCGTTGAACAAATTCTAAAAAATGTTTCTTTTTCGAGCAAATTTGATACCACAAGGAAGCAATTTCCAGTCTTAGTTCAAAAAGAAAAAAAAAATTAAAAATCAAAACTGCCTAATATATACAATAAAAAAAATACGCATAGGTAATACTCCTTACCAGTTTCCCGAGTTTCTCTCAGAATCGTTTTCCGATTGACCCTATATCCTATACATTTCTCGATTTCCTACAACAATGGATTATACATGGCTCGAAATATGTCCGGATTTTTCGCTCCCGGTTTATACTTCAATTTAGATATTGGTACCTGTACTGATTTAATGATATATCGGTCAATAAATGAATTATAGTTTTACGGAAAACAGGCCTGCAGTGAATTTAAAATGCGACAATATTGTGCGAAATCAAATGTTTGTACACCGACAAATTAGGGTCAGATCCGAACGCGCGTCTTGCCTAGCTACTGCTTGATACAAACTAATAAATAAAAATATGCAAATGCACATAAATCCGGGCCCCGGATTTATTATATTGTTTCGTTTGAAACTATTTGCGGTTGGTGCGCGCTGAAGACGGCGGAAAATATACGGCGACGAGGCGTATGTAATATGTGTAATAAATTACCGCATTACCATAAGCTGTCCGTGATCCTGTTGAACGGTTGTTTATAATATTATATTGGTACAGAAGTGCGCGGGAAATAACGATCGACGGGGCGTCGATAAATTAGCAGGTTTATACGGTCCATAAAAAAAAAAAAAAAATAAATAAAAAAAAAATCGACACCGTTAAACCGCAGTTACGAGTTACGAGTATATTAAGTCGAACGGCTCGGCGGCGTATCTAAATTACACACGGATTCCGAACGATTAGAATGTGTATTGAATTCATCATTCACGTCATTATAGACGCAAACATGTTTTTTGTCCGTACAGTCTTGACACGCGTGTATTCCTAGAGAGGTTTACAAGTCGACGTTAAAATATCATGTCAATAATTAATTACGTTACGGCGGCGGCGGCGTGGGAATGAAAAAGAAAAAAAAAATGTAAAATAACCGGACGTACTCCGCCCTATGGGTACGCCACTCTTGCGGTGTGCGGGAAGTTTGTGTGGTACATGGCATGGGGTAATTTTTACACCGAAAGCCACTGTAAATCGTTGCAATCAAATAATTAATTCTGAACGTTCGGAATTGGTTGTTTTAGTGTTAGTCGTGTAAATTTCCCATTGCGTGTAGCCACGTAGTATAACTACCAGAAATTAAATAAAACCGTCGAACAGTCGTCTTGTCGTCGGTTTTTTTTAATTTTATAGAAAAACTGTTGGAACTCCAGACATTTGGTTGAAATCAACTACCGTCGCGGTACGCTGGACGAAAAATCTGCGTGTTTTAAAACGAGACGCGAAAAATTTGTAGCATTTTTACTATCCAGCCGAAGAAGTGTTTTCCGAGAAAAAATTCTGTGTTTTTCTTACATAGACATTTGCACGGTAGTGCTGATCGTGTACAGCCCAGTGTTTATACGTTCAAATTTGTTGTGACACAATAATTTTGTACATGACTTTGCAGAAATAAAATGATCGTCGGTTGCTGAGGCGATGGTATTTTGATAACGATAACCTACAGCAATTTTATTCATGCGCTGCGCAAGAAGATTTCGAGTAAATCTGATTTTGGTTATCGTTCGGTACCGCGCAGATCAATAATGATTTTGTTAAAATAATTTCACTTATTTTACATTATGATTTATGTTACTTAGAAATAATGACTCGTCGCCGTCCGCCTGTAATAATTATTAAATAAGTACATAATAACGTTTAATAATTTAATTGACAAGGAAATATAAATTATTCGCGGTATCGTTATTTATTCAAATATGAGTATTAAATATAAAAAAAATCGAATACTGCGCTGGATAGGCGTGCCACTTTTTTATAGGAGGATAGTTAGAAAGGAGGGCGTGCAGAGTAATTTCAATTATACGCAGCGGTAAACCATTGCTAACGAAAAATTGTCCACAAAGTAACCCGGAAATCGACAAAAATTTGCCAGTTTTCAAATTTATTATAGGAAAACTACAAGAAAATGAAAAAGATGACTTCCTGTAAATGCACACTCCGATTATCGAGTGCAGCACCTTTTCCGAAAGGAAAACATGTTCTCCGAGTGGAACTTTAGAGAGGCAATTTTTTTGAAATTCTCGTTAAAATTCGACGTAATGAAGAGAACCCGGTTCTTTAAGTTAAAAAAAGATCGAAAGATTGAAAATAAGGTCGTCATTGGCAACCGTTTTTATTTAGTTTTTGTCATTATTAAGTTTCTGTTAAAAAAACCATTGTGGTAATCCATTTTACCATAATATTGCATACACACATATATGTATACGTATTGTTGACAAAGCGTCACTATCGACGGAACTCCACTCAGAATCGTTTTTAGCAAGCACTGGTTTATCGTCGCTGGCAGATGCAATAGACAATTTTCCCTGTGTGTCCCGTGTGTTCCAAACGTCTCGCCAACAATGGCGGCTGCACGACCCATCGCGCGCACCCAAGTGTCGTCCGTCTCTTTGTTTGATTTCCGTTTTTCGGTTTTACTGCGGCGCGGACGTGTGACGACGTACCGAAGCGAATAGATTACCGCAAGCGATCCGCGGGGAAACCGTACAGCGCCGGGCTCGCCGGGGCCACGCCGTCGTCGTCCCGGTCGCCCGGTCGATATTGCGAACGGCGATCGGCGGCGGCGGCGGCGGTTTATTGTCTCGCCGCGAACACGGGAAACCCTCGGCGGACGTTACGCATTCTGTACGGGCGGTCGCGCGATATTAGCCGAATGATTTCCGAACCATATAACCCCGGGGACGTGTCGAAACGCGGGCGCGCGCCGCGACGATACATCACGCGTCGCCACAGCGCGTACGGGCGCGGGAGACCCGCCGTGTGGCGTCGCGGGAGATTCCGTCGCGGAATGCGCGCCCGACGACGCCTAATTTAAAACGGCTTTCGACCCGCGCGGCGCAGTAATTTCTGCCGCGCGCGCCCCGGCGAGTCCGGGCCGGCCACCGCGACGGTTATAATCGTTTTACGCGACCGCGCCGCGGCGTCGTTGTGTCGCGTTCCGCGCGGACGTATTTGCGACACGGCGAAACGCGATCAATCCGCCCCCGCGAGGCATTCCGTGTTATTATTGTAATCGTTAAACTGTACGATTTGCAATATTGTCAGGTGCGGTCATTCGATCGCTGTACTATTATTATTATTGTTACAACGGAGAAGGAAATTAGTTCGATTCGTATACGGGTAGGAGGAGGTACGCGCGGTGTATTGAAACGGCAACGCCAAACCGAATCGACCGACCTTTCGGACGCTGCACGGAGCGACGGATCGGAATGCGTTTGTTATAATACAGGGGCGTCTCCGGACCTTGACTATGAGGGAAGGGGGGGGGAGGGAGAGTGCGCGCGAAATAACACACCGGTTTTTTTTTTATTATTAATGATTGATAAGAAAAAAAAACTGGCACACTTCGCGCGACGTGCGGACCACTGTAGTGGATGAGTAGTTGGGAACGTAGGATATAGAAGGCAATTTATTGTACATCTGTAAGCAAAGGTTAATCGTTGCTAACGAAAAACGATTCTGAGTGGAGCTCGGTTAATTGTATTGCTTTTTCAACGATAATCGTGTATGCAACTTCTATACAATAATGTTTATTTTTTTTTCTGTGGACGATTTTTCTACTTTTATTGTAGGAAAATTTGACTGAAATGGTAATTTACAGAGGTCGTGTTTTTTTGATTTACTCAGAATTTTTCAAAATAAATGGGAAAAACATAAAAAAAAACTTATTATTTTTAAAACGCTAATATCACGACCTTTCCAAACACATGTAACCGAACTTCGATATGAATGGTTTTTCAATAACAAAAATTGACCTTTACGAACAGATGTACATTAAATTTCCCCTCTTCATTCCCAACTCCAACACACACAACAGTGGCTCACCCATCGTGCGAAGTATGTCCGTTTGTTTTTTCTCTATGTTATTATGGCAGTATTGCGGACGAATTTGTTCAGGCCAATATTATAGTATAACAGTTGCGGACAAAGGTTTCGTTATCAGACTACTAATTGCGGATATCAATAGTTAATAAAAACCATGTCAATCACGAACACAAATATATTTCCTTATACCGATTTTTTAGGATTTAGGACAAGCTATCGAAAAAAATTGGTGAGTTAGGTTAGATAGGTGAGGTTAAAAATATTTAAAACAATTTTTACAAAAAATATTTGTGTCTTACAAAAAGAGAAATCATTTTTCTTAAATTAATTTTTTTTTTATATATATATATAAAATATCTTATTACGATATTAAAATCCGATTTACAATAGTTTTTGACAGTAATCTCAAAAGCATCTGCGGCACAATCTCAATGCTCGTAAATAATCAATCCCATAACGTCAATCCTCGATATCAAAAATAATGGTCGGAAATTTGTCCACGGGGGTTAGCGCGCATGTTCTAGCCGTGTCCGCAATTCGTACGTTACTTTTTTAGATTGCAACTCGCGTGGCTTTTATTACTTTGTCCGCAATTAGGAAACGCCGTTGCAGTATAGCACGCGAAACCCTTATTTTGAAGTGCGGAAGCAAGCGCCCTCGACGATAAGTTAAAAAAAAACAAATGTGACCCACGTGGGTATAACAATACTAAAAAGGTTTTCGGCACACAATTACTATTGTACTTAAATCTGTGTGCGGAATGTTTTCGTCAAACTTTGGCTTGTTCACAGGCACTGTACATAATATGCGATCTACTTCGGTTCGTATGCGCTCTAACTATATCGTAACAGCGCCTACTTTGTCATTCGCGCGTTTCTCGTACCTCTCAAAAGCCGTCATAATACGTATGTTTGAACTTTTCACTTGCCTTTGGTTTCCCAAAGGACCCGTACTCATAGGGACGACGGTACCGGGTCACAACACTTGCGGTATCACCTGAAAAAAGTGATGACGCAGAGACGTATATACTTCAAAGGTGAAATTATTATTTTCTGCGCATTTTTAGCTCGTTTTCCGTTTTTATTTCGTTTTGCCGTTTTGTAAGTTTTTCGCGCGTTCGTAACATTTAGGGTTTTACCGCGTTCAATTTTCGGCAATCCTAAATTATTTTATTGCATCGGTTATCGAGACATTTTTTTTTTTTTTTTTGTTTTCGTTATAATATTCGTTTTATATTAATAGATTTCGGATTTTCTTCGTCGTCCGTACACTTGCGGCGCATTTTCAATCGTTCTATTTATGATTTGCATATCTTCGGGGTTTTCGGGCTGGTATTATGAAAACGCATTCGGGAATACACATTTGCAATATTCCATTCGTGTAATTGACACTTCGAGAGTGTAACTTTTTCGCGGCAAAACCGTTGGCCGCGGTTTCTCATTTTAGTTAAATTTTTTGTGCAAACGTTTACGGCCGCATATATTTTTATGGAACGTATAAATCCGGACCCCTTTTGTGCAAAATAAAAAACGCGTATAAAAATGTATAAACTGCCGTTTACACTGATCTGCCTGCGCACATCACGCAGCGACGCGCAACACTTTCGATTTCGTAACTGCGCCGCTATCTAGCCGAAATTATAATTTAATAATACAATATAATATAACAAAAAAAAAAAAATAGATATTATTGTTGTTGTTGTTATTATTATTGTTATTGTTATTTGGGTCGCCGTCGTGACGTCGATTATTATCAATGTGCCGCGCGCGTCGGAAAACTGTGTCTAATACGATGTACTAGGTAATACTGATAAAATAACAACGAATAGATAATAACATAATAGTAATAAATAACAATAATGATAATAATAATAATAATCGATATAAAATTTGTATTATTTTTCGCAGGGCCAGCAGATCGACGTACGCCGATCTGTTGAAGGACTACGTGACCGCCGAGACCGTCGGCAAACACAGCAAAGAATGTTACCCGTACTTTAAGGAATGCCCAAAGTCGTTGTTCACCAACAACCATAACTATTCGTAAGTGAAATAACGTCTACTGCTATTTCAATGTCCAACCGAAAAATCCGATTTGACCGTAAATGCATCCCGCAAAAGATCCCCCCCCCCCGCTTCTATGTGGCGTTTCTCTCGTACGTTTCGGTGCAGCCCGTTCGCGGGTCGACTCGGCCAGGCAGGCATGCGTAAAAGCTCGAGTACAACTATCGGAAATAAAAGCGACGCTTTCCGTTTTGAAATCGCCGAACAATCGGCGTTGATAAATGATCATAACAGGAGAACGCCGACGAAAGTGTCCGTATTTTCGGTACCTATAATATGGATTTAATGCGATTGTCCGTTACGCGGTGTAATGTTGTAATCCTACGCTGCGGGAAGCGGAATCTCTTCCATGTCGGTCAATAGGAAAAACCGACCAATTATTAGACGCCTACCGCAAAACCAGGACATTGAGGGCACGATCGGAAACTGTTTTTACTTTTCTCTTTTTTTTCCTCTTCTCCCTACCTCCCCACCCGCCCCTCGCTAAACGACGAAATTAAATCAGATTCCACTTGTGTACGAACCGCCGAAAATAATAAACGAAACGAGTATAGACGAACGAAATCCGGTTATCTGCTCTATAATAAAAAAAAAAAAAAAACACGTTGTACCTATAACGATGTCTATACCGCGCGCGTACAGGTACAACTTCACACTTTTCGTCATACGGCTGCAGTATAGCTGTTTACCGGACTAGCGCAACGCAATTACGACTATGAACGTAACGTGACGCGTCGTCGTAGCGATTTTTCGGGTGTTTTTTTTTTTTTTTCTTTAATATATCGGAACGTATTTAATAATTTATTGTCCGTACACCGTTCTTTTACTTTACTCTCTACCGCCGATTCGTCGTCGACATTATACCGATGATATTACAACTGTGGACGATCGAGTCCTCAATAAAATGCTTGTACAGTAATCTCTTCACTCTACCGTACGAAACGACCGTACGGGGGAAAAATTCGATTCCGGTGACACAGCTCTGCGGCGAGTGCTGCTCGCTGCAGTTTTATTATTTATTATTGTTTAATGGGGAAAAAGAAGTTTTTTTTTTTTTTTTTAAACGAAATTACGATATTTCATTTTTCTGTTCTTATCTCGCGCCACGGTGAATTACGTATTTCGCAGAGTTTTTTTATTAAAATATTATTGTGTACATAAAAAAAAAAAAAAAAAAAAATAGTTTAAGTTTACTCGCAGATTTAATTACATTAGAGGTAGGTTGGTAAAACAAGGCCGGGAAAAAAAAACACAACAAAATAATGAAACTATTTCAATTAATCGATATATTGTGTATTATTTCCTTTGGCGAACGGGAACAATAAGCATTTTACGCCTTTGCGTTCTACGCTGTTCAGAATGAAAATATTGATGAACAATCGCTTTACTCGTTTAGTCAAACGTATACACATATTTTTTTTTTCCGGTAAAACGCACGAAAAACCACATAAACGCGAAAAATTAATAGTTTTTTTTTTTTTTAAATCAGGCCAATCAGGCCGTTCCGAAACCTCGAGATCTGCAATAACTGTAACAGTAGAGAGTAAAGACTGCTTACAAAACGTTTTCCGGCGGGAGAATAGAGCTATACACATTTATTAATATAATATCGCCTTTGTGGTTTTTCGCTTGCAGATTGTCCGCGAAATCGCATTTACCGTTTTAGCTGTGCAATCGCACCCCTGAAAGAATACGGCGACACGAATCAAAATATGAAAACGTTGGACGTCGGACTCTTGATGTGTCCCGCTAATTCTTCGGAATGTTTCTATAGTTTTACGCCCGCGCGAAACCGTCACTGCCGGGATACGACGGCGTTATGGCGGCTAGCCGAATACCGTCTAAGAACGTAATAAAACATTATACTCGGATCGGAATAGAGCCGAGATTTCGTTTATATTTTTTTCGTTTTTCAAACGTTTAACGCCCGGACAACACTATGTTTTCATTTTACATTTTATCGTCGCAGCCACTTGTTTGGTAATTTTAGGTGCCTGTAATAGATTGGCGTATACTTTTCGACTTAAAATGTACACTGTATTGTCGTGCATTTTTTAATAACGCGGCATTTCGCGCGTCTCGCAGAACGATTTTTTTCGTATGCTTGCATAATGAAAATTTGCATAATTTAAACTTTCGAAAAAAAAAAAAAAAACGATACCATTATACCTGCGTCTTTTTACGCCGCGACAGGCGACATTATATCGAACTATTGACAGTTTCCAGACGTGTCTAGCGTGTTTAAAAAAAAATATATATATATGTATATTATAATTATATGATTTTTTTTTTTTTTTTGAATATTTGGAATATTTTTTAAAACGATAACGATTTACGCCCGAACGTCGCAGTTTTCACCCGAGTATAATGTTATTGCGGAGAAATCGAACGACCGCATCAATAACCGCTTCCGCTGCAGTTTCGAAAACTTGCAGGTCGAAAAAACCGCCGGAACGTAATGCTCGCAATAATAATATTAATACCCGCCGCTGCAATGTGCGGCCGTAAATTTACAGACGGACGTATCGATCAAAGATTTTTTTTTTTATTTTTAAGCGTTTTTGTCTGCACGACGGATTTCCCGAACGTTCGGCGAAGGTTTCGCCGGTTAACGATGACCCTCCGCTGTGTACAACTCGTTTGCGCGCACATTTACCTTTTTTACGGCTCTTTGGTGGCGAGTCCAATTTTCTTTTATTTAAGTCAAACAATAAATAGTTTCGTTTTTATGTTCTTTCCGAACATTTTCCAATTGTACTCCCTGATGTATCGCCCCTTATTTATATTCAAATCGATGATTTTTATTACGTTTATCGAATCAATCTTCAAATCGGTTTCATTTAGAATTTTGATAATTATGTCGATTACTTGCGGTGTATGTGTGAATCAGTAATGCGAAATTGACTAACACTCGTGTTCTGTTTGTGAAAGACAGACGATTTCCATTTACCACTTAGTGTACCGCGTACAATATGAAATAAATTTTAATTGAACATTTTTATTTCGCATGTGCTCAAACGAATCGCACCGCCTCCGCTTCCGGTAAACGCGGTCGTTCGTCCGTATGCGAACTGATAGAATACGATGATATTGCAATATTATTATTATGCGGGTGCAAGGGCGCCCACAAGGGAGACAGAGGTATAACTCCCCTCTAACTTTCCAGCGAGTTAAAATAATTTCATCCAAATTCAATATCTCAAAATCCCAAAATGCATTATTGGTACCGGTGTACCATGATGCATTGACGTTTAGATTAGTCGGTAGGCATACCCCGTGCTAGTAAAATTCCTCTAATTATTATCACAATATACAATGGTTTATACCCAATGATTTCAAACCGGTACCAACCACCACACCCGATCATTTGTGGATATTTCTCGTGGACAGCCGACTAGCGGCTGTCTAATGTGTGAGAACCGTTTATCCGGATCCCGTATGTTAGGTTTACACAGGGAAAAAGTCGAAGGACTTAGTTTAATGGAAAAAGTCACTGATGAATTTGGGAAAAATAAAAGAACATTGCGAGTTCGTAGTCGCTATACAATTGTGTGATTATTGAACATTTTCATATATTTTAACGCTTTTGAACATTCTTGCGAAACACGCGTAACGCGCTGATAAAACTGTTAACTGATTGTTAACGAAAACGACGGCGGTCCGCCGCCGCCCTCCCCCTCCCCCCTCCCCTCCCCTCCCCTCCCTTAATTATCAACTCCGAGCACCGTTGCGCAAATGTATTCATTGTGTATTAACGGCGGGATTTTTCGCAGGAAAAACGATTTGTCGCCTGAAGACGAGGACGACGATGGCGAGTCGGTGTCGGCCGACGACGACTTGAACGACGACGCCGACCGTAACGGCGGCAGTGGCGTCGGCGGCGGCGGCGGCAGCAACGGAATCGACAGTCCGGGCGGCGAGTCGAGCGGCGGATCAAAAGTGATGGTGAATCCGTCGCCGTTGGCCATGTGACGGGTACGAGTCATCGACGGCCGCGCTCCGTAAATGCGCCGCGCCGGTGCCGTCGTCGCACACAGCCGGTTATAATGACGATATCGTCGAAAAATCGGTCTCTCGGTTGAAAATCGCTAGAAAAATTGTCGTTATCATTATTGTTATTATCGTTATTATCGTTATTATTATTATTATTATTATTATTATTATTATTATTATTGCGTACGCCGTTCCCGCCGCGGGAAAAGAAAAGGGGGAAAAAAAAAGACAAAAAAAAAATCTTCGGTTTTTTTCTCCGGTCTTTTTTCCGCTTACCCCCCCCCCTCCCTCCACCCACCGGCCACCACCGCCGCCTCACCGACCTCCCGCCGACCGAGCGCCGTCCGTGCGTGTCCGCGGCCCGTCGTCTCGCGTCACACCGTCGCTTCGCGGAAGCGACAGACAAATAATACACTCTGTGTACGTTTTTATTACGTTTCCGCACGGTTTTGACGAGTTTAACGGGTCCGATAAATAATACGATACGCGCAATAACGATTCCCAAAACGATCCATCACCGCTATACCGATCGTTAAAAAAAATAAAAGGTTTTCAAAAATATATATTGTACGTTTTTCTTTTTTTCCTACGCTTTTCGGATACGCCCGTCGCTGCCGGTATCGCGAGATTAAACAATGTATCTAATTTCGTTTTTTTTTTTTTTTTCTTCTTAGTCCAAACATATTTACTCGAAATTCGGATTTATAGCATATAAATCTCGGACAATTATTTTGTTGTAGGTTGAACAAAAAAAAAAAAACACTTCGGTATCACTTTAACATTTGAAGAAAATAAAACAATTTAAAACCGTAAATATCCCAATAAAAACGTTATAAAAAAAAAAAAACAAAACACATAAGCGCTACGATAATTATCTAAACGAAGATAAATGATACGGAACAATTAAATTAAATAAAGATAAAACAATATTTACCTATCGTAAAATGTAAACGTTAAAAATAGTATAGTAAAAGTTTCGCGTTTCGATTTTAAAAATTCTGTGTAACGTGATAATTAGAGATAGATGTTTATGCACTAGAAATCCACAAAAAGAGTCAAAATAGATAATTTAAAAAGTATTTAAAAGAGCAAAAATTATAGAGGCGATAAAAATCCCTCTCCTCTAATGATTCTAACGTGTTAAAAATAATTTTTCAACTACAAAAATGGTTATTGAAAAGTGAACTGAAACCCCTCCACCACTTTTGGTTTTTGAATTTTTTCAAGCGTTTTGATTCGGATTTTAACTGCACGCGCATCCTAACCCTAGGCCAATAATAACATCAATTCGCTAGACCATATCCGTATATAATCGAAACACAATGTATAAATCGAACGAATTAAAAAGCGTATAGGACAAATGACAGAAAAAAATACGTATAATTATGCTCAATGAACGGACGAACCGTGTGGACCAAACACTGTTCCCCTCGTCCCGGTATCGTACATAATATTATGTGGCACAAATATCGTTTTACGTGTGCGGAGTGCCGCGGGGATCGGTCGGTAACACAATAAAGTTCAAGTTTAGGTGCGTGTACAGTACGGTCGGTCGGGCTGGACGGCTTACGCGAAAAGCCACAGAGGATAACGCCGCAGGACCGCAATAATAATAATAATAACAATAATAATACTTACCTAAACGCGAAAAACGTAACCGTATACGGGAATTCGATTAAACTTATACGTCCGTACGTAGTATACGTACATTTATACAGGAATATATGGGCAAAGAGGGTGGAATCGTTTGTGAACTATAAATTTTGAATTGAGGGGGGGGAGGGGTGGGAAACCGTCCGATATATAAACGTGTACGTTTATCCGTTACGGGGGATAGTGAGAGACATCCCCGGACGTGGGGGCCCGCGGTAAATATAGCCCGGGAAATGTACACCGAGGCGGTACTTACATTATACAGGGTCGGTCCAGCCGTATTTTCCCGGCGTCTCTGTCGGGTATTCCGTTCCGTGCGAACGGATCCGTACGTTCGCACGTGAAATTAATATTTTCTTTTTTGTTTCCGCTGCTCAAGCCCCGTATTCAAGACCGGCGGTTCCCGATTACTTTTATTCCACGTCCTCTGTCGGTTTTTATAAAAATCTCTCGACCCTCTTCAGGAAAAAAAGTAAAAACCCGATCATCAACACGGCGTCGACGAACAAACGAATCTCATCGAAAATGTCCCCCCGTCGCCTATACCGATAAATGCGGCCCGTGTATTCGTCGATACCCAATCACCGGTTGTTATTACATTTTTAGAGAAACGGTACAATATTACCTTTCGTTACAGCGCCGCGATTATTTTGCACGTGCCGTGATTACCCATTGAATGTCGTTATTTTTTTGTTTCCCGTGCCCTCCATCCGTAAATTCAAACGGCCGTTACAAACTTGGGAACTGTTGGTCGGACGCGTTCCAGGTCCAAATGTCTTGAGCATGTCCGTTACGGAGTGTTCGTTCTGAAATTTCGTAAAACTGAATGTCAACAAAGATATTAGCGCCGGAAAACCGTGTACACATATACCGTTAAAGCCCATCGCACTCGGGAAAGAACGGCTTTCGGAGAAGAAACCACCCCCCACTCCCAAAAAAAAAACCTCATTTTTTTTTTCCGTTAATTATTTCCATTCGCGTTTTTATGATAACGATTAATATTGCTTACGGCGGAGTGTATTTTTTTAAAAACAATTTTTTTTTTTTTTGTTTCCCCGGAAATTCGGGAGACCCTTTGACACCGTAACGACGATACCGCCGGCGCCCGGTGCGCATCATCATTCGTTTTAACTTTTAACCGTATAATTATACTGCACGATAAAATATAATTTATGCTATATATATATATACTTTATAATTATTTATTTATTCTTATATTTTTAATTTTATTTATTTATTTATTTTTTTTTTTTTTTTTTTTTTTTTTTTTTTTTTTTTTTTTTTTTTAATTGTACGTAATATTTATTTACAAATCGAAACGTAACAAAAAGAGGACTGTTTCCGAAACGAAAAACAAAAGGAAAATTTCTCTTTTTGTTTCGTTTCGGATCACATTACACTTAAGGTTAAACAATTTATATTTATTTACGCGAACGCATGTACATAGTATAGTATACAGGTAGCTTAGATTAGCTGTAGATTAGTATTGTAGACGTACGTAGCGCAGTGATAGCAATAAGTTGTAGAAATATTATTGCTCTGCTGTTTGGTAATACAGTGACGCAGTGGGTATTTCGGTACCGTAACCGGCAAAAAAAAAAACAAAAAAGCAAACGTCGGGAGAGGAGACGCTAATCATTTTTCTTTAACCGTACCTACTATTTTTCGAAAACGTTACAATACGCCGAGACGATCCGAACGATCAGTTTAAACCAGCGTACATTTTTCGGGCATGCATTTGCTCGCAGCGCTCCTCCCCCCGATTACGGCACCGATAGTGTTTTAATTGTGAATATTAGTCTATACCGGTGCGGTTGTACAACAACAAATTATTATTCTCGGTTAGAGATCCGCGATGGATTTTCCGCACCGAGAAAATGTCGAAAAGAGTCGGATTGACAGCCGGCACGCTAGACAATGACTGATAAGAAGGCTGTAGCTCGGGGTTACGAAAAAAAAAAAAAAAAAATTACCCGAAAATAGAAAAAACAGCGAAAACGTGGAATTTCGGTATGGAGAAAAAGAAAAAACATCCGAAATCTATTCGCAAAACAATCGAGCATACGAAATTAACAATTTCACCGCGTTTGTTTAACCTGAAAATAATATTATCTTGTTGCAACGCACGTGCATTTTTCGTTTCGCCTATTAATCCGGCTCTTGTTTGATTTAAATTTATACGAGAAAAAAAAAAAAAAATTTCAAACACGCCTCACCCACTGTTCTGTACGACCACCGAACAATATTTTAGCGTGCATTAACTACTAAACGAGTAGTGACATAGAATAATCGATAATTGTAAACGTAGTCTCGATATAATGTGTAGATATTCGTAACAGTATTTTTAGAACATAATAATATTATTAGGTTGTGCCATCGTCCGTTTTTTAGTGTGTATTATTATTATTATTATTATTATTATTATTATTATTATTATTTATTTCAATTGTATTTGCGTTATTTCCGTTGTACTATCAAACCCCGTGCGTACAAAATTGTCATAATACGCGATCACGTCCAAGTGCGACAATTACAATTATTGCCCGCTCAGACCGCTCGCGGTTTATTCGATTGCAATCGGATAAATCCAAAATTGTCCGTTTGTGCGCGGACACTAAAGGCCGAAACGGAACGAGCGTTTCGTAATGCACGCGCGCACAGATGGGTTTCGTTCAACGACGTTTCCCGGTGCATTTCCGCGCGTTATTGTGTAACCGTCGTATTGTGTACGGCCTGTCGTTCATACGACGCGCCCGACGAGATGTTGTAGTTTATTGTTTTACACGTATCCCCGCGTGCGACGACGATAATGATATCGTGACATTGTGTTCGCGTACGTTGCGTGTAATAAACGAAAAAATTTCAAAAAAAAAATTAAAAACATTGCGTTTTCTTCCTGTTTTATTTCATTGTAACACTGCGTTTTTGTCCATTACTTATTATTGATGTGCGTATGTTTGCCGGTCGTAACGCCGCCACTGTTCGGTACTGCGCGACGGGACCGAAGCGATCGCGGTTTTCACCGGGAGAACCGATTTCGCGGACGCGCGTTTCGAACAGGGTAACCCCCCTACCCCCCGCGCGCTCATCGTTCGGCCACCCCGACGATCGATCGGATTACTATTGAGTTCGCCGGCGTCCCTCGAAAATCGTACCCGTACGATGCCGCGGTCGCCCGTCGGTACGCAGTGCCCTGTGGAAATCACCGAACGCACACACGCGGGCCGGCGATGCCCGGGGCCGGTGCGACCGATTGTCGTCAATGCAAATTGTGTTCAATACGAAAAAAAATACCGCACGGATGGTCGGGCCGAACGAACAACAATATTGTCCGTTCCACACGCGTATTTTTAAAACGCGCGAATTGCACGTGCAACAGCTAGACGGGGCCTGGCCCGGCGTTTTATCCCCGGCGTTCCCCGCCTTCTCCTTAACCCGCCCTTTCGATGATAAAAAAAAAAAAAAGAAGAAAAAGCCACGGCCCGCTCTTGCCCATCGTCTCGTTCCGAGACAATTGCATGGGTGTTATTATAGTATATTAATCGTTAATAAATACACACGATATGCGACAGTAAAAGTGGCAATCCGCTCGCGTCCCAGACTGTTGGCGAATAACAACTTGTCCGCTGGGACCAAAATGCAATTGAAAATACCGTCTACCGTGCACGTCCGTGTGGGAGGGGGGCAGCCGGACGGGGACGCTTCTACGTGGTATTGCAATAGAAGCGAAAATATAAACGGCAATAGACACCGACGACGACCAAGAACATCGTGTATTGAGATAACTTCTGACGTTCGACTAACAATACCCGCGAACATTCGAAGTCGCGTGACGGCGATAGAGATGAACGGAGACAGAATAACATTATTAGAAATTGCGTTACCGACGTTTTCACCGGAAAAAAGAATCGACGATATCGATAACCGAGTGACCGGTTTGCTATTGTAGTAGATGAATTTTCCGAATTCGGTCACCGTTTCGACAAAGAGGCCGTGAGCTATAAAAAAAAAAAAACGAATCAATCCCGTCGGTAACGCGATAGTTCAGTGGATCTTGGAAAATCGTTATTATTATTTTATTGCACACTAACAACACGTGCGGTACGTGCAATATTTTATGTTGGTTGTTTTTATTTTATTTTTTCTCACTTGTCGGAATAGGTACTGCTCGAAAACCCGAACATAATAACGGAATATTTCTCGGCCGAATATTGTATCGATGGAAATTTTCGATCGCACATCCGTGCACATAATTGTAATAGTTCGGCGGTTTTTTTTTTTTTTTGTTTCGATTATTTTTTCACCGTTTTTTTGCGCTATTATATTAGCTATACGTGCCTACAATTACGTTGTGATGAGTGTCGTACCAATGGAGCGGCATGGCGGGCAATGAGCCGCCGGCCCATGGAAACGGGGGACCCCAAATCAGGACCCAAGACATTAATGTAAGCGGACAGACGGGTGAATAAAAAGCAGGCGATGACCCTTTTTTTTAGCGCCGATCTGTGTAAATCGGGTACCAACTCGGATTGTGCACTGGACGGCACTCGATTTGGTTGTACTAGAATATTTTACCACGGGCATTAGAAGTTCTAGTTACAACGCCGTGTGTGATAACCGATAACTGATAATGTACGAATACAAGCAATGGTATACACAAGATAATTCGCTGGTCGTGGAGGAGACGGTTGAACATTGATAAAATATGAAGGCTATATAGAATGATTCAAGCAAAATACATTTAAATCTATAACGGAGCCCTACAATTTCGATTAGATAACATCGACTCGAATTGACAAACTAGAGTTTTAATGGTTTTAGATTTAGAATATACGGGCAATAATTAACTTCAGAAAACTGATGATAATATTACCCACACGCAAACCACAAATCACTATAAAGACGACGCACGTACCGTCGGCAAGGGAACACAGACACTGTCGGTTATCTGCATGGGCACCCGGAGGGAGAGGCAATACGGGGCCATCTGTCCCACCTGGACTTCAAAATTTCAATAATAATTTTAGTAAATAGATCGTGTATACAATTTTATTATAATTTTTTTGATGTTTGATTTTATTGTGCCACTCCCTATGTCGGCCTGGTCATCGAAGAACCAGGGTTCTTATTTAGGGTCATACGTAGAGAGAGAAAAAAGGTCATTCGTAACTTTACTGAGACACTGCCCCTCCCTGATAAATTCCCTACGGCCACCTATACGGTTACCCGTATGTACTAATATAATAATCAACAGCGTATAATGTATTAAATATATTTTGAAATCGTAGATATTTATACAATGTATAAGTACCGTAAGGTTACGGTGCGTGTGAAATGTCTGGCCGTTTTTCATTGTCGAGTAAACGCGCGAAAGGTAAAGAACGCGTCTCAGAAACGCCAAATTACACTTGGACGGCAGAAGAAAAAAAAATGCAAAAGGTACTGTAGCGTAAAGAATCAATCATTGCGACGCAATGTTTTACCATTATAATATATTAGAGATGTCTGTACGAAAACGAGATCTCTGGCGGCGAAATTGTGTTTGCTATATAGGTACACTTTCGCAGTATTTAAAATTACACTGTCCCAAATAATATCTGGGTACAGATTTCGCTGTCGAAATTATCGATTATACTCGATTACGAAAAATCGCCGCTTCCGTCAACTAAACCGCACTGTTATTAATATTGTAAATTCGGGTTTTGTAGACATATTTTTTTTTTTTATCAATTTTAATTCAATTTATATTGCGCTGTATTATTATTACTGGCAGCCACGACAGCTATAATAGTGTCTGATGTTAATTTGAGTGGCTGCAATCGATGGCGGCGCGAACGGAGTTTGTTGGACTCGTGTGATTTACAGGGAAAAATAAAAAAAAAACGGAGGGTGGATCGTGGGTGCCCGGAAGTATAACAATGTACAAAATTCGTATGTTTGTACGTGACAAATCGTTGAGTGATTTTAAACTGCGAAAATTCGACGCATTTCATTAAAAAGACCGCCTGAGAAAACTGCGGAAAACTGTAGACAACGGACAAGCTGCGGTAGGGTGGGGGTATTTTCGGTGGGTATGGGGGATAGGGAAATTAAATGTGATATCACAGACAAACAAAAATTCTACGATAATTTCACGAGATTACACGAAAGGCGTTTTTGGCGGCCATTGCAACAATAAGCGACAATTGGCAACAGGACGTGTCGATTGACGATCAATACAGTCGGTATTTGAAAAACAGTAAATTCGCTATTCCTAGCGGTCGACAGGTGGTGACTCGAGAGTGGCGACGGCTGCGCAAACAATTCAGCCGGTTTTTCCGTATTGAGTATTGATTTGTTGTTATAAATAAATCAACACGCGGCGCGATGGACGGATTTTATTTGTACTGGCCACGAGGCGGCGCGACGGTGTACTCGCGCGGTATTATTGGCTCCGCGAAATTAAAAACGAGCGGAAAACCGCTTTCGCAAAAACACTCCGCGGCTCTGGTCGCCGTTCCCGGTCCCCCCGAACCTTGTACCTTGTAATGGAATCAAGAATGAACGAAATGAGTTGTGCGACGTGAACGAGTAGATGCGCCGGTCCGTTATCCCCTGGTGAAATTAAATTGTTCAGCAACACGGTTTTTACAAACCAAACAGCATTTCGATTCGTCGAAATCTGTTTGATGAACGAAAACCGCCCCCGGAGCTTAAGATCGAATTTTAACGGAAAAATCGTAAGAAATAAAAAAAACCGCGGCATTTCAAAACGCGCGCGGCCAAAAAACGTCGTCCGAAATCGTATTTTCGTTAACGACAAAAGGTCTACGGTCGGTCACCGCCGCAAATCGTATAACTCCGCGTATCCCGTCCTGCCCTGCTGCAACTCCGCACAACTAATTGCGACAGTGGCGCGCCCGTCGGTGTGCGTCGCCCGTCTTAACGCTCGGCGAAATAACGGTGCAACCGGCACCGTTCGGAAACCGTTGTCGATTCAGAAACGACGGCCGTTTGAAAAACCTGTGGGCGCGCGTCGCCGTACCACCGATAACGCGTACGCCGAACGAACGATACCCGAACCGGGGGTGGGGGGGGGGTGCGGTGCGGGTGGCCTGACGACCGCACAAGAGCGCCGGCGACGCGCCCGTCTCTTGTTAAACGCCGCGTTCGGTTCGCGCGCAGAGAAAATTGCAATTTTGACACCTTTGGCCGCGCCTCGGCTACGCCGTTGTACACGCCTACACCCATTCGAAACGTTCGTTGCGCACCGGCCGGCGTTTTGTCGAAAAAACGCGTCCATAAAATGTCACTTTTTTTTTTTTCAAAAAAAACCAAAACCGTTTTTAACGACGTTTACCGCGGAAAACAATAAAACTCACTCCTTGTAATCCTCGGCCTCCGACACCCAGAGTCTACGCGTGCATCGCATGCGGTATACGCCGTTTCAACGAATCGGTGTCGATTTCAATTATGTTTTTAAAAGAGCGCCCGGATGATGTGTTTTGGTCGACATTACCCGCTTAATTTTCCTGTATTTAAACCATAGACAATCAAGAAAATGATAGGCGGCTACTGCTATAACAGTTTTAAGTTAGAAGATGTTCCCGGGGGGGAGGGGGGGGGCGGTAAACCGAGGCGATTTATCGTTCATCATTTTATACAGATAAAACGCCCCCCATTCGACAAAACACCGTCGATATAAACGTCAATGGGTTTTTATCCCGTTTAATGTTTTACAAAAAGACCTAAAGACGAACCATCTCAGTTTATTTTCTCTCATTTCGTCGATTGCCGAAGCCCCGTCTAGAAAACATATTTGTTCAGACTAATTTGTTTAAACGAAAACCCATAGGGGTCGCATAAAATCAGAATACCAATCGGCGGAATTGCATTTCTTACTCCCGATATTAACTGCTTGAAATTCCACGCATAATTAGTAAATGCCATCTTCATTGGGTATTGCAAGGTGTTCGTCGGTGAGCCGGGATCCGCGCGTATTTGTTTTTCGTATACTGAATTTGTTGAAAAGCACACACAGCGGTACTCGAAGCCGAACACCGTGTGGTACACATTACACATATTTACTTTCAATAATTACCATGGCGAGTATTAATTATTTTCAAATACGTATTTTAACCGAAGAGTCACAATCGGTTTTCAAATACTTTTCGTTTGAACGTCACAATGAAATCCAACTGCCTAACGTTTGGTTATTTTTTTTTTTTTTTTTTTTTTTTTATTTACAGCGGTCTTTCAGCCAACACTACACAATCGCATTAACTACATTACAATATAATGCCGGCAAAATTAAAATACGACTTCCGTGATTTAATTAATTATGTATAGTACCTATACATAATTGTTTAATGTTTATCAGGAGCGAATATAGGATTTTTTTTTTTGGGGGGGGGGGGCTCAACCTTTTTTCGATTACTTTTTAACAATGAACAAATATGAAATACAGATAAGATTATAATTCACAATCAAGTATCAACTGTCGTAATAATTGTTCTAACCGCAATTCGAACGACGATTTATAATTATTATTAACTCGTATTATAACAACTACAATTAGTGTAATGTAACTGTTAAGGGGGGGGGGAGACAAGCCCTCTCAGCCCCCCTTGAATCCACCACTGACGTTTATTGACTCTAGATATAGAAACGTTAAAATGTTATTCGTAAGACAGGAAACATAAGACATTATAACAGTTAACAAAACGAGCTGGTCTTAAAGAAAAAAATGTTATTATAATTTTTAATTATTTTATAATGATGGAATGATCGTACCGTTCGCAGCTTTTGAATGCAGGTAAAAAAAAAAACTGAAAATCTGCATTTCTAGATTCATACGACTGCTGGGTATTTGTACAACGTTAAATTAAAAAAACCGTAGTGCTTGCCAAAACACAGCTTTTAAACTATTTAAAAATAAAAAGTTAGGTACGTAATTAAATAAGGTTAAAACAAAAAAAATCGGGCGAGTTAGACGAATTTTTAAATTTGATGGAATTTAAAATAAATTATTTCTAAGTTAATTCGATTACTAGATGATTGTACAACGATAACGGCCGGTTAAATTTGTAGTGCTGGGTAAAAGCTATACATTTGAAAAAAAAAATAATAAAAAAACAATGTTAGGCAGTTGGATTTCATTGCGACATAATAAAATAGATTTGCTTGACGAGTTTTTAAGTTCGTTGGAATTTAAATCAACTTCTGACGGTTTTTTTTAACCGTATATTATTGCGTGTGCTGAATGTGTGGGCTAGGCGCACGGCACTATAAAGTCAAATGTTTCCGAAACGTTTGTCTAAATTTTAAATTCTAACAAATGTCTAACAGTACCGAGCACAGGCCCGCGGATATTTTTCGACATTGTTTGTTTCTCTTGTCCCGTATTTAATGCAGCGCGGAACACGTACTACTTGCCACTAGAAATCTTTAAAATGTTCAATGTAACTTTTTACATTTTTTCCAAACAAATACCAACGGTTGTCTGACAGTTCCGACAGCGGGGTTAGTGTTGGAGTGGTTCCGTAAAGTTGCGCTGTGTTTGTAAGTGTACAGCATCGCGCGGGCGGTCGGTTTCGGTTCGGTTTTTTCCGTACGTTTCGGCTCGTACGGCTAATGCCGTGCCGCTCACGGAACTTACGGAAATTTCAGTTTCGTCTCGTCGGCAACACAAATAACCGACGTCCGTCTACGAACGAATGGGAACAATGACGGGAAGAAGAAAAAAACCACTGGCCCGGCCGCAAAATATCGTCCGCCGAAAGCGACGCGGACGGAACGAAATCGGTGTGCCGACGGCGACGCACGCACGCACGCGCCGCCGCGGTTATCGCAGCGACCGGAGAACGCGTCGACCTGTTGCGCCTGATAAAAAAAAAAAAAAAAAAACTGATAACGTCTCGAGATAAGCCGTATTGTTGTTACGCGGACGTCGGTTTCTGTCGTCGTTGACGTCTGGACGCGCCTCTACGCGTTTACGCGCGTGCGGAAAAATCGCTGGACAATGTTCGGGAACGTGGTGAAACTGGACTGGCAGAGCACCGCCGAGGGCGAAACCGTCATGCAACACTTTTACAATCCGCAGACGAACGGCAGACGGTTTTTCGGTGAGTTGTGGCGGGCGACCGCGCGCAAAACGCAAAACGGCGCAGCCGCTGTCCGGGTTTCGGACGCCGACAATTTAATAAACGGCGGAATCGCGAACGGCGGCGTGGCGGTGTCGGGAACGCGTCTCGAAGGTTAGGTGTGCCTCGCCGTTGTTCTCGTTTCGGTACGGCCGGGTGAACGCGTCACGCGGTACGAGACAACGGCAACACGGTACCGATACACGGCGTCCGACGGGTATGCGGATTCGTGCGGTTTGCGATTGCCACGCCGTGGACACGCGCCGCGAACGGGCTCGGAGCGTAGTCGCAGCATGCCCGGTGACAGCGGGCCGGGGAAACGGATGGAGTTTACGCCGGGGTTTGTGCGCGAAAACCGGAAAACTCGCGATTGGGTTTTGTTTTTTTTTTTCCAACTTAACCGATTGGACGGAGCGTCGGCACGTAACGCGAACGTTACTATTTTTAACGCGCGTCGCTGTCGGCGGCTTGCTCGATGGTCGAACCACCGATCCGATTGCGCGGCGTTTTCGGGTGCGTCATGCGCGTTCGGAACATTTTCGGGAGACTGTTACGATTGGGTTTCGGGGTGCCCTCCGCCTCCTCCTCCCCCCCCCCTTCTAATACTCCGAAAGTCCGTGTGCGGCTTTAGGAACAAACGGAAACTAATTATAATTTCGTGATATTTCGGGAATGACTGGCCGGTCGCTTTTCGCGCTGGACGAAATCGGCGCGCGCGCGCGCGTCTCTGATCGACAAAGCGGGGCGAATCTGCAACACCGCGTCCCGATTTCGGACGTGTTCTGCTATCGGTACCCGTTCGAAATCGGGTGTTTTTTTTAAACCGAACGCTTAACCAAACAAACAAAACACGCGTTCGCGGTTGACGCGGTAAACAGGCTTAATACATTTTGCGATCGCGTTCGCAGGTTTATTGGAACGGCCCGTACTGCCGAACGTCGAGGAAGTGTCGTACAAATTGTTTTTCGTCGGCAAGAGCGGGGCCGGCAAATCGGCGACGATCGCCCGGTTGGCGGGCGCGGCGCCTAACTCGGACGGCGGCGGCGGCGGCGAGTACGTGGAAACCCGGGGCATGCGCAAGAGCAACATCTATTGGCCCGTCAAAGTCTGGGACCGGATCATACTGTTCCGGCTCCAGTGCTGGGACGCGGGCGATCGGGACGTCAAAAAGTTCGGTTACATGTTGCCGGTGAGTGTCTGGACCGCGATGCGTACCGTTTGCGGCGTGCCGAGTACTCTTACTCACCGATGCTCTACGGACTTTCTGCAGGTGTGCAAGGACGAAGCGGACGCCGTCGTGTTCGTGTTTTCGTTCGCGGATCCGGGCGGACTGACCGACGTATCGACCAACCTGCCCGCGTACATGGACGACAAGAGCAAACCGGCCCCGATCGTCATCGGCACCAAGTAATAATGTCGCGACACGCTCCCCACGCGCGCGCGCGCGCGACCCCCACAGTTTTCCCCGGTCCAAACGGACGTGCAGCCGGGCGTTATCGTTGTATTTGGGTGTTTCAGATACTGTCCCGGCGACTTCACCGCCAAGATCACGGTCGACGATATCGACGAGTTCGAAAAAACGCAAAACATCACCGTACTCAAGATGAACAAACGGACCGCGGGCGCCGCAGACGACGATCCGGGTTTGGAAAACCACCAGACCGCCTACACGTTGAACGTGATCTGCGAACAGTTGTGGATCAGAGACCAAAACTATATACTGAACCAAGAGATCGGGTCGTCGTCCCAGACGGTATGAACGGCGAATTCACTGTCCGCGGTGCAAATCCGACGCTTTTGTCGGAACAGACGGAAAAACGATTTCGACGGTCTTCAAAGTACCAAAAATTATCAGTTTCGTTACTCGCGGAAACGGAAACAATCGATTTCCTATCGGAAAATTTACAAACGTGGTATACTAGAGAGTATGCCGCGTCTGTGGTAGAGTTTTAAACCGGTCACGAAATCGTTACCACATGGTTGCAATTTTTTTCAATTTACGCTTCACAAAAATTATTCACCGTTCTGGCGGAGACCACGAAATAGCAGAACGTTCAAAGGCGCGTGATAACAATAATAATTATTATTATTCTTATATTTTGTTGAGATATTTTTGGGAAAAAAACTCAAGTTACTCGAATAAAAATGTCTGTATTCTAACTGTGTGATTTTTCACATTAAACGGTGTCTGATGAACAGCAGACTTCAAACGACAAACCGTGTGCAGACACAAACAATTTATACGTTTTAAAAAAAAAAAAATAATAGCGCAATGTATTTAATAATATTTCTTGTTCATAAAAACAATAATAATAGATAATACTAAATGAAATTAACAAAATACTGATAATACTTATTATCTAATAAAATGTGTTCTCGATGTTTCCAAAAAAAAAAAAAAATTGTATTAAATATTAGGTAATTTTATAGCTACACAAAATGTGTTTAATGTTTAAATATAATATTATTAGATAAATAAATAAATATAAGAAAATATAAAAATAACGTAATAATTTATAACAGTGAGTTATTATAAGTTTTATGAGTATTATTACAGGATGCTAGTCTCATCATCACTCATGCAAGGCACTAAAAAACACATGAGCTGTAAATGCATTCGAGCCTTAAATTGCTCAAAACATTTTGTAATGTATCTGTGAAAATAAAAGGATAAAAATACATAATTTTGTTATGAGCATAATTTCTTCCATTCCTTTCTGTTTATAAACATTTGTTGCTTATTGTTATATTCTAATTACGGATTGAAAATATATTTTTATCAAAATAAAAAAAATAATTACTTTTCATTATCTTCGGTTTTAAATGGCGGCACTGCATCAGTAGCATCACAAAAAAAATCTCTGCAATATTGGTATGGAGTTTTATTTAGAACTAATTTACTATCCAAAAATGTGTATTAATTATAATATTTAACAATACTTTGAATTTGGTGTAAAGTAATTGGACAGCGCATAAGTCAATGCCATCAAATCCAGTCTGGCTTGCATTGCTCCATTTTCACTGAAATGGGTGACGCAATTCATAAGACGCGACATCTCTTCCGATATGGTGATAATTACCGCAGATAATACGGCATACATTAAATCCGGCATAATGGTTTGAACCTACAGACACAAACAATAAAATAATTGTAATCAAAATTGTATAAACAAAAAATTAAACTGTAGAGTTCAACCTCAGAGTGTAAAGAAATCAAATTGGTGATAATTTCTTTGGCGTACGGTCTAACATCTTTCGGCGGTACTAGCGAAGACGAATCCCATTCAAAACTGCCCACGTACATCGAAGGTTCTATAGTTCCGACTAAAGGATCACTTTTAGTTTCTATATAAGTTTCGAGTAGTTTGCTTTCGGTGTTTTCCAGTAGTTCGATTGCCCGAATAACAACCGTATCAATAGTGGGAAAACCGTTGTCTTCAAATTCCTTTTTGAATTTTGGCAATATCAGATTTCTTGTGTACCGACTATTACTTACTGTTACTAAAAGCTTTTGTTCCCAAGTCTAAAACACATTTCAACACTCTTTGATGTACATTGTCAATAAACTATAACAATGGTCAAGATTAAAAAAATTATATATTCTGTCTTAAAACTCACCAATTCGTTTTGTAATTTAAATCCAGTAACTGTAGATCCACCCAAAGACATGATTGTGGTCGATGAACAATTTGTGTCTGCGTTTAGGCCCACTTGTTCCAATACCTTTGATATGGAAATTAATGTTATTATATCTAAAATGTTTTTTGAAGCATAACAACTTAGACCTGTGAAATATTCCAGAAACATTTGTGGACGAGTAATTGTAATTCACTTTTGGCAGTTTCGTTGTTTACAAGTGCGGTTTCTCTGCTTTCGTCGCGAATAACATACTCTTTCGCTAAATTCATGGCTTCTGTCAGGATTTTGTAGAATTCGTTGGGCTATAGATACATATTAATATTATAGTACAAAGCATTTACACAACCTTCAATTATTAGGTATTCAATTGAATTGCTTAAATTACCATTTGTGATATGGTTCCTTGTTTCGAATGATATTCTAATTTCCATTTTTCAGTGGTTTTCAACAGTACAATTTGTTCCGATGCTTGTTTGAATAAAATATTCAAGCAGTGTAATCTAATTGAGATGATAAAATGACCAGTTATATAATGAAGTGTTAGATAATTATATAAAACTTTTTTGTATGTTTTAACCTTAAATCAAATATAACATTGGAAATCTTATTTAAAGCTTCATTGGGAAGATCTAAAGCCATTAATACGGTAAATACAGAACGTATTTGTTTTAGGCAATGCGGCAACCATATAATTGGCACAGGTGAAAACGAACTGGTTGTAGTGGTAGGCAACATAATCGTTCTGTATATATCAGACACAGTTACAATTATGTCCAAGATCATTTCCTAGAAAAATTTGTATACACAATGGCAATAACTACGTATGTTTCGAGTATTTTTTAGAACATACTTTAAAATCCGTTTCGTGGCTGCAATCTGGCTTCACTGCTAAATCACCAACAAAGTAATTCTGTCCAAGTTTCCATAAATCTGGAAAGTAATCGGATATGACAGTGGCTATTTCATCAATACACAACACTTTTTTCGGTTCAATGTTCTGAAAAACATTTTTTATTTTTTTTTTTAATAAAATAAAGTCGTGGTATTCATCATCGAATCAAAGTCTGTACTTGGGGTTCGATTTGCTGTGACAAACTAATATTCCTTTTGTGTTTGTTGTGCGGATGTCTATTATTCTTGTCTGAAAAAAAAAAAATGTTTCAAGTTAAACGTGTTTAATATTCAAATTAAAATAAATAAATACTCACTAGGAACTTCGTTTACTTGTTCTTCGGTTATGTACTGTTGATAACTTGATTTTATCTTGTCAATAATAAATTGTTTCATGTAAATAATCGCTTCCCAACCGGGATCGCTGTTATCATTGAGACTAACTAAATTTCTGCAATAAACAATGAAATTGTTTCAATCGATTGTAACAAATTGACTATTATTATTGTCAATACGACACAAATTTTTTGATAATCGTGTTTATTAAAATGTATTCAACTTATAAATTAAAACATAAAGAATATTATAAAAAAAATCTGTTAAACCAAATACCTAGAATCTAGTGCTTAAGCTGTATATTTGAAATTATTGCTTCAATGGCACATAAATAATTGATATTTTTTGTTTACCACAAGAAACCCTAAAATTAACAAATCAGAATTTTTTTTTTTTTTTTTGAGTTAAAGCTAAAGAAAATTATCATTAAAATGAACAGTAACCGAAAATTCAAGCACTCACACTTCTAGTATCAAAAACAAAATACATTGTTTGTTATTACCAATAATATTACCTAATTATTTTTTTTTGTTGTTTCAGCGTCGTAGGCATTTCATGGAGCTTTGCCTTCAGACTAATTCTTAAATTTTGTATCTTGGTTTCTACTTCTTCTAAAATTTTTTTGAAAACCTTTTATCGGAACACACATGATTAATATGCGCCATATCATTAGTGTCGCGGTTGTCAATAATATTAGAGTAAATCTCTAATTTGTTATTTGTAAGATTTTACTTACAGAAACTTCAGTTTTCCCGAACAAAAGCAAAGCCCTCGCATAGTCGTTAATAATTACGTCTACGTCTTCGTTTTTAATGTTCCGATCGATGTTGATGGGCAGCTGAAATAAAAATTTATATCTCGTCATAACGGCCAGTGCATTTCTAGTGGCCTCGGCTTTTTCTCTCCGCGTGAGTACTCCGTGAAATAAATTTGTCGCCTCTTTTAACGATTCTACAACAGTGAAAAATAAATTAACAACGCGAACCCTGCGACTAGGTTACCCATGTAACAGTAACAATAATCACGGTTAATCGCTTCTTCGACTCTGAGGAGGGTTTCGTTATTTTTCTCGAAATCGGCCTCGTAACTTTGTTTCAACAGAAAAAGAGTGTCCAACTGTTCCATAACCGATCCGACATTGTCCTAGTGCGGGATCAGGGGCGAATGTAAATTACAAATCGTTTACGATATTGTTTATAACCAAACGTACGTTGGTGGGCGATTTAAATAAATGGGTAACGGCGACGTACTTTCAGAAAAGACAGTTGCCCTTCGTTTTGCGAATCGACTTTTCTCTTCAAATACGACAGTCCCACTCGCAGGTCGTCGAACGACGTGCCGTGATGGTGTTCCAGTAAAAACCACGCGGGCTCGAAGTTTTCCGACAACAGGTCTCCGGAGCCGTCCGGGAACAGTTCGCTCAGTTCGTTCTCGGGAAATTTGCTGCGTTCGGGCACAACGGAAACAGAACGAATAATTTTACGGTAAATGTAACGGGCCCGTCGCCGGTCCGGCGAACACGTAGGCCGGGTATACGTACTCGTCTCCTTCGACGGACAATCCCAGGGGATCGTCCAACTGGAATATGGTGACCGCGCTGTTTTGTCGGCCCCAGTTGAGCGGCGCTTCTTCCACCCAAACCGCGCTCTCCTTCAGCGGCCCGATCGTCTCGTGGTAACCGCGAAACTGCACCGTGCACGTGCCGACGCCGCCGGATCTGGTGGCCACGATTATCTCGCCGCGGCCCTTTCCCGGGCCCGACCGGGCGATAATCTTGTTGGGCGATTTCCATTCGGCCGAGAGCATACACTCGCAGTCGCATATTTTCAAACCTGCACAAAAACCCAGTGTGAAAATATATTTCCGCGGCGTTTCATCGAGACCTCAACGATGAAGACCGACGGGGTCCTACGGATCGTACTCGACAAATCGTTAGGGTTGAAGCCCAAATGTTCCCCTCTGATGGTCACTCTCGTTCCGGGCGGCCCTTCTTTTGGAGAGATCCCCGTGACGACGGGACTTTTGGCCATAGGTACGCGAATATCACGGCTGCTGTACTGGTGCGATTGAAATCTACGGGATAATGTGCAAAACGAGTTCGGATAATTTTCAAACTATTACCGTAATATCCGTAAATACTTGACGACGACACCGAGGATCAAACTCGACAATTTCTTACTATTTATCACAGAGTACAGTATTTCTTATTGCAAAAGATAACAAATCGGATATTTATCGCGGGTTCTTATCGTTCGATATCGCTTATCAACGGAGGCATACGGTTGTACGAACCGCATTTCAACCGAAACGCCCGGAACTCCACGGATTATCGACTTGTACGTTTCTCATCGTTGTTTTTAATCAAAACTGGTCGTGTTAGAAGACTTCGACGTCCGAATGTCGATATTTTGAACAAAATTTGAAAGAACGCGCGAATTTCGAGTTACGATTTCCGACGCGATTTTAAACAAACGAAAAATAATTGCACGCCAACCTGTTGAATATTTTCTACGATAAAAATACATAATATTTTCAACGAGTTCTGAATTATTATTATGTATATTACGTTGACATTGAATAGGTATTGTTGTAATTAAGTACCTGCACAATTGATATTTAAGTACACGATTATCTGTATTATTCCTACGTTTTTTTTTTTTCCATTTTATTACGAAAACTGCTTAAAAAATCAAAAATTCGTTCGGCCAAAATATTTTTCTGCTTTAATACGGTTTGGCCAAAATATTTTTCGGCTGATTTATGTTTCTGGTTTTTTTTTTTTACGCGCTCCCCTTATCAACGATTTACACCATGTGCATGATAAAGTCCCGGGTTTGAGTTTTTAGTTGATTTTTTTACGTTTTACAAAGTCGAAATTTCGAAGTTTATAGACGAAATCGTATAGCGTTTATTTAAGTGTTTCTGTTGGTTATACTTGAGTTGAGAATTATTCTTGTTGGAATGTTAAAAATTAAATCCTCTTTGATTGGGTTACGAAACATAACAACATGTTTTCCTGCAACTCAGTGAGCATAATATTATTAACTATATTGACCGTAGCTGTATTTTTTAAATTCGTATTAATCATTTTAGTTTAAGAAGGAATACGAAATTAACATATCCACAATATTCTACCGTTCACGATGAATCAAAAATTACGGACGAAGGTAAATTTCTAAAGTTGTTTAATTTTTAAATATTACTATCTCTCTGGCTATTTTTTGTGCGTGTATATATTCAAACAAGGTCAGTTAATCATAAATATATCTATACACATGGGCGCCCAGAGGGGTAATTTGCCCCTCCTAGACTTCAAAATTTAAAATATAATTTTAGTAATTAATTAATATTATTTTATTTTAAGTAAATTTTGCACCGCCCTGATAAATTTCTTGCAGACGCTCATGTATATATATACATTTTAGTAGAAATGGAAGAGAATAATTATTTTAGGTGTAAAATAAATATATATGTTTTTTCCCTATAGATTTTATAAAATTGAAAAGGAAATTCGTTTCTCCCCGTAATATTATTTCAAACTTTTACAACCAAGTTGAACGGACGCAAGATATTAAGACAGGTTTGCATTTCGGATTTGTCAAAAACCAAAAAAATCTATGGAACTGCAAATTAAGTGTTCAATGGCCCAATCCCATTATATTCTCTGGTGCGGCTACGACCAAAGTCAAAGCATCAGATATTGCGTCTTTGAACGCTATTCGATGGTTACAGGTAAAATAATGAATATTTTATCACTTATTATGTTATAAAGGTAGTCAATGGTATTACTGTTATACACATTTTTATTATTTATTTCACAAGACCAGTATTTTTTTTTTTTTTTTTATTATTATTAACCATCCGATTTTATAGGATATGGATAAACTTGACAATACGGGAAAACCGTTAATATCAAGTAAACAGCGCATTGATATAGCAGCAACACCAACCACTTCAATAGATTTGAAAGAAAAAGATATAAAGCTCATTTCTAGTTTTATTGAAAAATACAACCAAGTAAGTAAATTTCATACTTCTATGTTTTTATCGCATCAAGTTATCAATTAAAGTTGATTAAATAATTTGTATTGTATTAGGCATTTGTTGCAAATATTTATAAACATTAATAATATACTAATTGTAGGAAATTCATCCATTAATAAATAAAGAAAAGTGTGTAACCAGTGAAGATGACAATTCTAATGATGGTAAAATCCCCACATTAAAATTGTATAAATAAGTGTAAATAATATATACTCATAATTAATTTTGTATTTTAGATCAATTTGATTTTACCTTACCTAAGTTCTCACATTTTGACCTTTCGAAACGGAACGATTACCTGTATAATAAATTGAAAAAATTATCATCAGCTAAATTAGTTCAATTGCCCATAGACAACTATGAGTATGCAAACCAAAATATTATATAATTTAAAACCACATAATGTGACTATTTAAATTTAATTTGCAGAAAAAACATACTTGAAATAATTGAAAATAATCAAGTGACCATTATAAAAGGAGAACCTGGTTGTGGTAAAAGTACGAGAGTGCCTAATTTCATTATGAAAAAATGGATTCAAGATAAATTGGGAACTGAGTGTAATGTATACATTACTCAGCCTAGGCGAATTAGTGCAATAACACTTGCTAACCGAATTGCTAAAGAACGCGATGAAGAAGTATGTAAACCTGCAATTAATTTGGGTATCTATATTAAATTATTGTTTAGTGAATGATAATTATATTTTTAATTGATTTTATAGTTAGGCGATGTGGTCGGTTATCAAGTGCGATTAAAACAAATTTTACCTAAAAAACTTGGCTCTATAGTATTTGCATCTAGTGGCATATTACTTCAGAAGTTACAAGTGGATCCTGAACTCAAAGCATTTTCGCATGTTATTATTGATGAAGCTCACGAACAAGATTTAAACACTGAACTGTTACTGATGCTTACGAAAAATGCATTGAAGTTAAACAAAAACTTAAAATTAATTATAATGAGCGCAACATTAGATGCTGAACATTTTCAGAATTATTATGGTCAATCAGCAGCTTCCATATCCATACCGGGTTTCACACATCCTGTGGAAACTCATTTTTTATCGGTACATTTTAATAATAAATCTACCTACCTAAAGTAACCATTTTTTTAAATTTCAAAACAGACAATTAACGTTAAATATTTGTAGAACAAATTGGCAAGAGAATGGGGTGCTTATAGCCAAACAGTGGAACTAAATGATAAACCTTTATGGAATCCACAACTAGTCGCAAGTGTAATTAAATGGATAAACAACAAAAAACCGCCTGGAGCTATATTATGCTTTGTATCTGGTTGGCAAGATATAATGGATGTAAAAATAAAATTTAATTTTTAAACTTTTGACTTATGTGAGATTCATATAAAATTTAATGTATGTTCACACACAGGTGAATAAACTCCTACAGCAAAGAATGAATAATTTTGATATAATGTTTGCCCATTCTAAGTTGACACCTGAAAAGCAAATTGAAATCATGGAACCCGCACGGGATGGAAGACGAAAAGTAGTGTTAGCCACAAATATCGCAGAAACCAGTATCACAATTAACGATGTCGTGTATGTAATTGACACTGGTATGCAAAATATATCTAGGTAAGCTGTGTTATGATTTCAAGTGTACAATTATTAATTTTGTTATTTGCTATGTTAGAAACAGTGAACCTTTGGATACCCATGTGCTAAATAAAAATATTTGGTTTGATTTAACTTGCCCAGTGTGTGAACAAATTTGTTGATCTTTTTAGATTTGGAGATTCGTAAATTTATTTTAATATAATATTTTTTTTTTATAAAAGAATTTTAATATAAAATTTTAACTAAAATCTTAAATATTATGGCCATTCAAACTATGTGTAACTGAACTTCACTTCTAATTGTTTTTCTTTAGTAATTGCTTATCATTGATTAAGGATATAAATTTAATAACTTTATGTAACCCATTTTCCCAACTTCCCACCTACAACAGTTGCACACCCAATCCCAATATCAACTTTTTTTTCTTTTTCTTTTAATTATCTAAATTATTGAAACAATTTAAGGATATTGATTTATGATTTTTAACCCTTTTTATTAGTATTGATCAGTTTAAGCTATTGTTAATGTAAATTAATTTTATAGTTGGAACGCAGAAAAAGGTATTAAGTTATTAGATCGTTGTTGGGTTTCTCAAGCAAATGCAAAACAAAGACGAGGTCGTGCTGGAAGAACTCAACCGGGAGAATGTTACCATCTGTATACGTTGGACCGTTTTAAAAAGTGTTCAGAATATTCTATTCCAGAAATTCATTTAACTCCTCTCGAACATACTATCCTCAATCTTAAAGTAATTATATATTACCTAAGTATTTTATAATATTGAATTGTTTGATAAATGTTTTATCATATACTGTATACAAAATTAATGGATTATGTGTTTACAGATACATAGTCAAGACAAAGCAAAGGTTGTGTTGTCCAAACTCCTGAACCCACCCAATATACAAAATATCAACATAGCGGTTTCAGAATTGCAACTTCTTGGGGCGTTGGACAAAGAAGAAAACCTCACAGCTTTGGGCAAACGAATAGCGGCGTTTCCGTTTGACCCTTGTCTTGCAAAAGCTCTAGTTCATTCAGTATTTTTCAAGTACATATAACTTTACTTGATATTTATCTATAATTTATTTTAGTTGAGGCCTATGCCTGCCCGGTTTCTTTTTAACTAAAACCATGTTTTACTGGAAAAATTACCTCATAGAATGGTTCGATTTTAATGATTATTTTTCTATTGCAAAAATGAAGTCTTCCTACATCTAGCATTGAACTCCGTTCAATGTTTTTATCACAAACAACAAAAAGGTCAATTTTTAACTTCTTTTTGCTAACTTTTTCATTCCATTATTTTAATCAAATTAATTATCAATGCGAGCTGTATTATGCTAAAAATAATAACAAACAGTTTATCATTTAAAAACAAAATGTTTGAAAAATATTATGTTAACAATAAGTTATTTTTGTCATTAAAAACGACCCTACCTCTTCCCCCTAAATGAGTATTGGGTGAAAAATTTTATCTTTATGGTAGTAATTGAAATGTTCAAAATCATTTTAAAATTTTTCAAAATTGGAGAAAATTTAAAAACTGGCACCGGGCCTCCTAATTGTAATAATATTAATTTGTAATTTTTAGGTGCCTAGATTCTACACTAACGATTATAACCTACCTGTCGAGTAATATGAACATATTTAAAGAAACTACCCCTTACGATTCCCGACGAATGAAATCTGAATATTCATCATGTAGTGATCATTTAGCTGTTGCAAATATATTTTCCGAATGGAACAATACCCAAAATGCATTACAATCAAATGATACCTATGACAATAGAAACACTACAAACTATTCACTTTCTAAAAATAGTTTAATAATGACTTATAGTAAGTATCTGTATATTTTTTGATTTTCATTAAATTAAATTGAAAATTGCTAAAAATTCATCTGTGGAATATATTTAAATTGTATTTTTTTAACATTTTTCACAGGATTAAAAAATTTATTCGCGCAACATTTGTACAACAGTATGCTTATTGAAGATAAAGATGTAGATGATATAAATTTAATATCGCAAAAATCATTAAATCAACTTTTACCAGCTGTATTAGTCTCTGGATTTGGGAATTTAGTGTTTAGAAAATCATTTTTACGACGAAACGGTCGTAAAGACTATGTTTATATTAACGAGTACGAATGTTTCTTTATGTTTAGTATATTTTATATTTATTGAAATTAAAATTTTTGGTTTTAGTGCCGGAATAAAAGTAATTTTACATTCGGAAAGTGTTAATTACAATAAGGGAAAAGAAACCGAACTCTTAACTTATTTTAGAGAAGGTAGATCACTCAATAACGATATAGTTATGCTTAACACGTCATCATATGTTCCTCCTATATTAGCTATTCTATTTTTTAATGGCCAAGCATCATTTAAACATGTAAGTTCAATAATATTTGAATATTTAATACAATCCGTATATCATTTTGAATAATTAATTTTTCAGGACGGACGTGACAATTGTATGATATACTTAAAAAATGGACAGCGTGTAAACATTTCTTGTTCCAAAGGGTAAGCCATATTAATAATTGTATATTATTTATTTAAAGCTGTGATACGTGTTAAATATATGTGTGTGTGTATATATTAATTGCATGTTATACATATATAAAATTTTCATTGGACATTTTAATTGGTTTTATTTTATCGGGATATACTAATTTTCTTGTGTATAATTTATATATCATCTTTATGTTTGGTGTAATTACATACTGTAGTTGCTGATTTAAACCAATAGCATTGATTGTTTAACAAATCTAAAATATTTTGAATAATCATTTCTTGTTGATATAATCTAAAGACCTTTGAGCTATCGTGATTAAGAAACAATAATTATTACGAGTTGCATTTTTTTTTTCTTAACATCAATATATCATTTGAAATTAATATTATACCATTCTCCAAATAATATATTAACCTTATTTGTATTTTTGTGTTTCAGTGATTGGCAACAGCTACTGTCGCTGAGAAACGTTTTAAGGAATTTCATTAATTTTCTAATGGAAACCTACGGACACAATGAAATCGACGAACAATCTTATAACGAAATAATGAGGTTCCGAGATTATATGTGTTCTGTTTTATGTAAACTCGTTGAAAAATAAATATCACATTTGTTGTTAGATCATAGTTCCCCTATTTGTAGATCAAACAAAATAATATATTACATTATATAACATGTATATATATTTTTGTATTATACTATGTTTATGTTTAAAAGTTATTTTTTTATTATACTTTAAAAAAAAACAAAACAAAATCTTGTATTTATGTTAAAGTTGCAGTTTCGAATAGAGTCTAGAAAAATGTATAGACAAATTTGAAATGAATCTGGTTGAAAATTAATTTGTGTTTATTATTCATTTATATGGTCCAAAATTTAATTTAGTCCAAAACTTTTTGTGCAAAAATAACCGTATATGTATATTTAATTATTAGAACAGATTTTCAAGTTAATAGAAGACTGAAGACACTCTTCCGAAATTCTAAAGAAAATCAAAGAACCTAAATAATTAATTATTAATTATCGTTGCTGATATGTCAGTTTTGGTAGTAAATCGAGCTCATTGGTACGAATAGAAGGACTTGGCAATGTTTAAACCACCCCGAAACTCAGCCCCTCCAAAGTCTCTCCAAAATCAAATAAGTTCCAAGTATACAAATCCGATCATTCATCAATGTAGTCCCCCATCCTTCTTCAAATATACGTATTATTTACAGCTATTGCGCGAATTTCGGGGACGGAAATTTTGAATTTCATATTATCGACGAACACACGACAAATGAATAACAATATTGGCTTTTGGATTTCCCGTCCAACGTGTAGACTTAAAGATAATTTCGGCGAACAAAATGTCGCTTGAAAATAAACCGACAATAATATTTTTCTGGGTCATAAAGTGTCAATTTGGGGAAATTAAGAATAAAACATATTTCTGGGCCGTTTTGATTTTGCAATAGTAATTTTTCTAACAACATTGGCCTTCTCAAATCTCACAATAATGGTTATTGAGATACGCCCTTTTACCGCCAGAAAAAAACATGTACATATTTCATATGATTGGCCCTATAACTCGTTTTCATCAAAAAGTGACATTGGCCCTTTTGGCCCTAGCCTCAGATTTTATTATTCTTGTGCTGCGCGGTTGATGGATTGCCTATACGCGACTCCGGAAAATCAATGTCTAACGTACTAAAAAAAAATAATATTATACTCTTAGATAATAATTAACGGTGCTAGTCCCGAAAATCATGACAAAAAAAGGGAATCCAAATTTGCGTATTTAAGGGGGTTGCAATCCTCGATCCGAAGTTTCGGTTGGTTTTTTATTAAAGCGGATTCTGGAGTTTCTCTAAACGGCAGATGATACGTAACCAGGATTTTTTCTACGGGGATTTGCTTTTCGCCCACGATTCCGATAAACTTTAAAACGATGTCTCCCCGTGAACGAGTGGGTTTCGGACGTCCCGGATATTCGACTAAATCGCCGTTAAACTTATTTTATGATTTACCTGATCCCGTGCTTCTCGCGGTTCGAGTAAATTACAATTTTCTACCCACCCCCTCATTCGTGAATTCCCCGGCGTATTTTACCGTTATCACTTTCGGTAAAATATTATGGCGGGGTATCTTAAGCAACAAATTACTCGGGTATACGGAGTGAGCCAAAAGTCAGTTCCCGCTTTTTCGAAACACTAATTTTGTAAAAATGCACCTGCGCAATGTCGGTTTGCCGCCACTCTTATGCCTTCCGTCGATCATGAAGTCGCACGTCGAAATAAAGAGTGATACATGGCCGATCGTTTACGTACTAGAGACGGGTAATATAATGCCTTAAGGCCAGTGGGTAACACTATTTATCATACCCAGCAACGCGTGTTAACTTTTAGCCCTTTTCCCCCTTACAACCCGTGATTTTCAAGGAAGCAGCATCTCTAAACTACACAGCATTGTTCGTTACGGCTCGTTGTCATTGTTTTCACATATAATTTACAATTATTTTCATATCGATAACGGACGAACGCGTATTCATCTTAAAAACGTACTGCCGGGAGGACAGAAAGAAAGTCGTGGATTTGCGGCCCGTTGTTTCCAGTAGAAAAAAAAAAAAAACCGCCCAGTCCTCATCGTCAAATAAACAAATTGCTTTTGAAATTCGAATAAAAAATCGAAACGATACATTTTGCGCACGGGAATTGACTTTTAACCCGCCCTGTATAACCTAACGAATCATACTCGCGGATTTCTAGTAGACGTACATAAGTTTAGAATGCCCGTCCGTCCGTTCTTACAGTTTCGTCATAGTGCCTAATAATATCATAATGACGGTTGTTGAATTGGTCGACAACGAAATAGTATTCGCGACATTATATCATTGTTAATTTAAATAGAAATTCTCGACGTTATTATTATCAATATTAATTCGAATGCGAGTAGGTAGGTGTTAAACGTAAATTCTAAAACCGACGAGCGTTCGAATAATACACACGTATCATATTCGTGTATTGAAAAAAAAAAAACAAACAAATACGTACCGAAATATTATAAGTAACGGAAATATAATGTGGACTTGGAGAATTTTAAAAACGTACCGTCATCCATTGAGATAATCAATCAATAATTTAACTGTCTACGCGTGTGCGATGAGCATAATATCATACTAAATTGCCGAATTCGTTCGAAATTTTACATGCAATAAATGCGAAATATAGTTTATCGTTCAAAACACGTTTATAGAAGCCGGGGACGCTGGCAGCAGTGTGGCGGGCGTTCCTAATTTGTCCGTTTGGTCGCGGTAAAAACCGTTTCACCGCGCGGGTGTTTGAAAATCAATGATTCCACCTAAACAAATTCCGAATAGATCAACGAGAAATAATTCTTCTATTTTTTTTTATTTTTTTTTTTTTCTACGGTTTCTTCCAAAACGTTTCCGCAAAATCATCCGCACACGGAACCGAACCCGAGCCGGGGCTGTCACCGTACACGTTGTTTTCACGTAACCGGGACCCTCCCCCACCTCCCGGTCCCGGCGTCCCTGATGTTGTCGTACGCGCCCCCGTGTATTAACGGGCGAAAAAGCGATCGGCCGTCGCCGGGAAAAATGTCCGGTCGCCCGTCCGTTTCGTTTGATTTCGCAACGCGTCCGTATTTAGCAGACAAAAAAAAAAAAAAAACAACGATAACGCGCGCGCGACTGATTTTTTTCCGCGGTTAACCTCAAACGGCTCGTTTACGCCGTAGACCGGGCCATGGCCGCGTTATTGTGTACGTGCGACGTTATAAAAATCGTACAGTTTCGGTCCGTGCACCGCAACAACGCCAATCGCCGCTGCGGCGGTCCGCTGAAACCCGGACTCGTCCGCCGCAATCGACGGCCGCAATCGACGGCCGCGACGACGGCCACGCGCGTGTGTGCGCTCGTCAACGGGACACAATAAAACTCGGCCGTCGCCACGGAATGACGACGTCACAGTCGCCTACGTTTTGCGGGAACGACGTGAGATTATTTAACGTTCCGCCGACCCAAATGTCCCGGAATGGCGACGAAAACAACCGTTCCGGGGGTAATTGCGACGACGACGCCGAATGTGTGAATTAATGTTGTTGGCCCCGCGTGCGAAACGCACCGCGATAATTTTACGTATTATTATTGGTCACTGTTATTGTCGTATCGATCTGCTCGACCCGTTCCCGAACGCTCGGCGGCGCGTAAATCGTTCGGTCGCGTTGTCGTCGCGTCGTACGAATTGTAATTGTTGACCGGCGTAATCCCCCCGGAGCGAGTTCGATTTTCCGCGGCGGGGCCAGTGGCGTATCGACAGGGCCGCGTGACGGGCGACGAGCCGACTACGAGCCACTACGGACGTTTGGGGGCCCCGGATCAGGGCCTGAGATAATATTTTGAGTGGTGGACAGACAGGGGCACACGGGGAAAAAAAAGGCGACGGTTTTTTCGTTCGCCTATTGAATAATATGGCAGGTGTGCGGAAAAGTGGCGAGTTACCCGTTTCCGCCGAAATCGTGCCTTTCCCTTCTCCGCCGAATGAACAATTTTTTCCATTCTAATATTCGAATATTAATGGACGATTACGTCACAGATATCGTACGACAGAAAAATAATAATAGAAATACGTTTGAACTTATACGGTCTATAGTAGAAACAGTGATTATATTTTTTGAATAAAAAAAATCGTGGTGAGAACATTCGTTATGAGTATTGACAATTATTTCTCACTTGTGTTCAATACATAATAAACAACATTTTTTTCATTATATTTTTTTTTTTTTTTTTTTTGCAAATTCAGCAATAACGCATAAAATCGACGTTAATCGACCGGTAATATCGTGATTGATTGCCGGTAACCATAATACAAATTCAGTTCGTCTACCAAAAACATCTCGAATGTGCGTATAATTGTATTTTTGTTTTTCACGGAGCGGGAAGGGGTCCTCGGAATCCGGGTGCTCTTTGCTCGTTCATGCGTGCACGGCGTAAATCCGGGCCCGACCGTAGGGCTGGGCAAAATTTTATCTAGATAATTGTTCGAATAACTATAAAAACCTATTGTTAAAATGAAAATGTATTCGAATAATTTTCGTTTATTTTATTTGGTTAAACGTTGGTTGACAATTTAAAACGCGTAAATATCGAAACCAATAGTTGGCCTTGTAATACAATATTATGCATCCTCTTTAGCCCCAACAATATTTTTGTATAAAGCTCGATGTTATGGAAATTGTCCGGATAAAATTTCATTCGAATATAATAATTTATTCAAAATTATAATGCCCAACTCTGCCCGACTGTAACCACACTATCGGGCATACGAAACCGCGTAATATCCGGCGTTATATTATTGCCCGTTGGACTCAAAAAAAACCCCCTCTCTCGTGGATGTCGCATACGAGGCGAAATATCACGTTAACGTGTTTGTACATGCCCGACGAGATGAGAGGGGGGGGGGGGTAGGAGGCGGCCGGAACCGTGGCCCTATGGTCCGGGCCTACCAACCGGGTCCTATATTTACCTAATTTTTACATTAACACGAATCCATAAATCCATAAATAAACTACACGTTTTGTTGTATAAATTCATAATACTTTTACTTGAAAAAAACCAATGTAGACACTATGCTAAACATTTAATGTTAATAATATTTTATTACTAATTTATCATTATTATAATGTTAATAACAATTATTTTCATAAGACTTTTAAAATCAAATTTTGACGAAAATCGTAATTTTATTACGGCCTCTTGATGCCTTGTACGACCGGACTTCGCTCCGAATCATTTTTCGTTATCGACGGTTTATCGTTGGTTACAGTGTTATAAATTAAAAAAAACTTTGGGCATTCCGCAGGTTCACCACTACAGTGGGAACTACACCCACCTACAACGGTGGCCGTCCCCGGTATCAGCTATTTTATTGTTTTTTTTTTTTTTTTCCGTTTTGAAGTCTAGGTACGTATTCATACGATATTTCAAAATTCAATAGCTCCCTCCTTGGCGACACCCTAAATACGCCACTGCCGTGAGCTGCGGCGGCGTTCGGACGCCTTCGACGAGGACATTAGACAAGCGGACGATTACAGTTTTGTTTGCATCATCGGCACGCGAGCAGTGCACATCATCATTATTGCGTCGCGCCCGTACAATGTACTCGATCTACATAGAAAAAAAAAAAAATAAAAAATAAAGAAAAACACGTTAAAACGCAATAGTTATTATTTTTTGCGCGATAAATTTCGCCTCGTGTGTGTTATTATAATAATAACGTTCGAGATACCGTTTGTGTTTTCGCTGTACGGCGGCATAGGTATACCAGCTTGGAGAATATTATACAGAACGCGTTATGTACAGAGAAATCTGACACTCGCCTAATCTAGCCATTTTTTTTTTTTTGTTTTTTATCGTTTTTTCTCGGTCTGTTTCCGAACGTCAGATTCGGTCGGTACTGCGGCGTAATAATATCATTACAGTCGAATTATCTGTACTTCCACATTTGAGAAAAAAAAAAAAGCCGTCTTAGAATAATGGAGACGGGTGCAACCACTGTTAGGTATAGGTAATTTAGTGTAAGCATCCATAAACCATTGCTAACGAAAAAACGATTCTTAGCGGAGTTCAGTTGTTAGTGATGCTTTTTCGGCAATTTAATTTTTGCCGGGATTTATTTTCTACAATATTTAAGAAACAAGCTGCTCTCAAATCATTATACGCGCGCCGTACTGCCACACAAAATTATTCTCCATTACTCTGCTCCAACCCAAACTTAAAAGTGGAACATCTCGTCGATGGACAGACGGAAATCAAAAATGTCAACACTTAAATTTATTTTAAATAATGGTCCATCTATTTATGGAATTTTTAAGTAGGTTGCCATTTGAAAATCAAAAGTAGGTAGTGGTTTTATCCCAAAAATTTAGGGTGACGAAAAATAACGTACATATAAAATTGTAGAACAGCTTGTTTCTGAAATATATTAGAAAGCAAATTCCGGAAAAAGTAAATACTTTCCGAAATAACGAGTGTCTTACGATAGATTAATCACCCTGTACATGTCATATTATGGTAAAAATAATTAAATAGGCTTTTTATATTTTCTTTGATAATATTTGTTTAATGTTGTACCGATTTTCCCGTTATTTCTACATTTTTCTCGGTTTCCCATGTTTTTTCCTGATTTTTCACATCTGCTGGGAAAAATCTTAGGAAAATCGAAAAACGACCGCCTTAAAGTACCTCCTCACACTGATGTCCTTTCAGAAAAGGTGTTACACTTAAAAACCGGAGCAAAATTTCTGGGGTAGAAAAGTTGTGCGCAGATAAAAAAAAAAAAAAAAAACCATCTTTGTAAAATCATAACATTCTTCGCTCCATTCAGAACTTAAAAAAACACCGGAAATATTACCGACAAAGTATCGAAAATTATTGTAGTCGTAGTAAGTCACACACCTATCGTATTCAAGAAACGGTAAACATAAAAGGAAACGCCTTTAATAGTTCCGCATTTCTTGTCAGGTCGATGTTTTAAAGACGGTGCATGCTGTGCACGAGCACAGAGCCCCGCACTTTTAAGAGTCCCTCGTTGCGCCACAACCAAGCGGTTCATAATTTAACGCGATTATTCAGAAAAATTTACATTAAAAATAACGGGACGAAGAGAAATCGTAAAGATTTACTTAGAAGTCGAAAAAGCAAAAAAGAAAATGTGTGGGGCGGAGGTTAAATCAGCAAATCAAAGCCCCGACAAATTAACCGCACAGAGTCTCGATATTTTTCAAGCCTGGCCTGTAGAATTTCGTTTAGTTTTCGACACGAGCAAAATTAAATTCTGAAAATAAATAACCCTTGTAAGTATACATAAATTATGTTACTTCTAATGTTGAAAATTGGATGGTGTTAACTTTTCGTCTAATAAAACCGAGTTTGTGCTGTTATTTTTAATATTGGAGTGATTCGGCCTATTATCAAACTTAAAGTTAAATACAATTTCGGTGTTTTTTTTTATTACGAAAAATGTAGAAAAAATTTCGTACGACCTTTGTTTGGAAGTCATACGGGAACAACTCCGTAAAGTTTCCTCGGCGTACATTCCTTAAAAATAACGCGTAGAATTTGATGTTTTCAAACAAAGTGTTTTCCATAAAACGTGCGGTTTTTTGTAGGTAATTAATCCGTCGATAAAATCAAAACTCACCTCTCACACTTAGTTAGTTTTCGAGTTTTTGAGCGTTCACTCGCAAAATAGAGACGATCGAACAAGATTTAGGTTTACCCACACTAGAGGCACTAATTTCTGGACCATAGATAATAAAGAAATGGACAGGCTAATTTTCGGTTCTTGAATGATGATAAGAACCCGAAGCCGTTTTTACGTCCACGAAGATCACGTACGCTATACAGTCGGTTGGATATAATTCACCTCGGGCGGCCGCCATTACGGTGACTATGCCCTTTTTGAGATAAGCGTGAACCGCGGAGAATAATTTCTTGATGATAATAATAATAATTAATTCTTCATGGTATGGACATCTCTTATTATTATCCAGGACCCTCAGGTGACAAGTCGGTGCGACCGAACAAAAGCGGAGAGAATCGCGCGACGACAATCCAGCGGGTGAGAGGAGCCGGGAAGCTGAATGAAGAAATGAGTGATGGTAACCACACACGAATGGGATTTTGCGATTTTAAGCGGTTTTGCTGGATTTGAAGTACTTTGAAAATATGAAATAGGCATGTGTCGATTTTACACCGCCGAGAATCACGCGTATTTTGGATAAAACAAATTTTGTCGAAAATATTAAAACTAATCATTTTTTTTTTTTTTTTTTTGTAAATGCGCGTCGGAAAAAATACCCCGAAAATGTTAAAAGTTTTTTCCCGCGCACTATCCCGAACGGAGTTTTTGTCCATACGGAAACAAACGCGTTGGGGGAAAAAAAAAACAAATCGATACTTCGCTAATACACAATCGTTCAGCAACGTTTAACGTCGAAAAAAAAAAAGAAAAAGAATTAAGAAATGATCGGGCCACTGTTGTAGGTGGTGAAGTTGGGAAGGCGCGGGGGAAATTTAACGCACGTCTGTACGCGACAATTAGACATCGCTAACGAAAATCGATTTTGAGCGGAGTTCGGTCAATAGTGTTGCTTTGACAACAACGCACACATATATAAATACGTAATATTATGGTAAAGTAATTACATTATTGTACTATTACAACGCATCAGGTACCGCAAAGTGCGCCGTGCAATTAAAGGGTTTACAAACAACTCGAAACTGGGCTACGTTTTGAAAACGTCATCGCGTCTAGAAGACAAAGCAGACATAGATTTTCTCTTCGAACTTCAAGTCTACAAATATTCGTATACGAATCAAAATGAAAGAAAAAAAAAAAAAAAAAAAAATTGAAAAACGCCGTACGTTCCGTGATCCGCGTCCGCCGTATTGCCAAAAACGGCGGAAAATCGAAAAAAACGACCGGGCCGGTCGGATTTCCGTCCGGGAATAAGCGCCGCGCCGAAAAAAATTGTTGTAATCAAATAAATAAACGTCGTTGCGGCGACTCCGGCACGGGCGCGCCCGGCACGTTCCGGAACTTTCGTTACCGTCGTTTTCGCTTCCGAACCCGCCGCCATATTGTCGCCGGCCCCCTCTCCGCGCGCGGTTATCGAGAACCGGAGAATTTTTACGGCTCTGCGAAACGGCAGCGCGACACCGTAATAATAATAATAATAACACTAACAATAATAACGCCGCCGCCGCCGTTTATTACCGCGTCTGAAACGCTCGACGGGCGAATGACAATTATCGTTATTATCGACAGGTCGCAAGCCGTGGACGGCGGGTAGGGGGCTAGCGCCTACGCCGATAAACCGCCGGGTTCGCGTCGGGCCGACCTCGGCGGGCGCGAACGTAACGGAGATAAGAGACGAAAAAAAAAAAAGAACATAAAGTAGACGGTCGCGCGACGGAAAAACGAAGGGAACAAAAAAAAAACAAAAAAAAAAACAATTCGGGTATATTTTCGTTATCGGTTATCGATATACCCGCGTATTTATCGTTATTAATGTCGTTACCGTTTTCCACGCCGCACCAGCTGACGACGGGCGGTAGTGGGGTGCGGCGGCGGCGGCGGCGGCGATGGAAATAACATATGTTTAGATAACAAAGAGATAATGATGTTATTGTTGTAGAATGGAGATTATTTTCAGCGTACGCGTTTACAACTCGCAGGCCGCGGCGCACGACCAATTCGCAGCAACAACCCGCCGTCGATAAAATAACCGTCGCAAAAGTATCGAGCGCGCGCCCGGGTCTTCCGTGCGTCCCCGCGGCTTCGTTTTCGCGTTCACCCGGCGGACGGACGTCGAAAAAATCACCGCCGTCTCGTTGCCGTCCGTCGCCTCGCCGCTCCCCGTGCGTGCGTGCGCCCAGTCCCCCAAACGTCCCGGTTATGCGCCACGGCCGACGACCGTCACCGCTGAAGCTGCACAATATTGCTCCACGGCCGGAGTGACCGACTCGTAGGCAAAAACCCGCCGCGCGCTAAGCCATGTCCAAGCCGTCCGGTCCGGCCGCGTCCGGCTCTTCGGGCCAATCGTCGTCCGGTCAAAGTTCCGCGTTGCCGCCGTCGGCCGAAGACAATTTCGACTTTCTGTTCAAAATCGTGTTGATCGGCGACTGCGGCACCGGCAAAACGTGCGTCGTGCAACGGTTCAAGAGCGGCACGTACGCCGAGAACCAGGGCAACACCATCGGCGTCGACTTTTCCATGAAGACCATCAAGATCGACGGCAAGAAAGTCAAGGTAACCGTGCTCGGCTTGTTTTTCGCATAGCTCTCATAAAGCCCTTCGTTGTTTTGTCGGTTACAGCTCCAGATATGGGACACGGCCGGTCACGAGAGGTTTCGCACAATCACTCAGAGTTACTATCGTTCGGCCAACGGGGTTCTGTTAGGTAAAAGACGCGGCACCCTGTTCCGCTCACATTATGTTACGAAATCGCATTGTTTGTTTGTTTAGTGTACGACATCACCAAACGCGCCACTTTCCTGAATCTACAGAGATGGGTCGAAGAAGTGCGCAGATACACCTCGTCGAACGTACTGCTTGTACTGATCGGTAAAAACAATTGTATTAGGTACCACAATAATTAGTGGGTAGTTAGGTGGTCGTGGAAACTTTTCAAGTATATAAGTTCCTCCATTTAATTCACTGTTTCCCGGGAAAGTAAGTGCAATTAAGTTTGCTGTAGGACAAGACTCGGCAAGTGTTCTATTTAGTAAATTTAGATTTTTTTTTCCACAACGTACCTAATAATAAATAAATTAGGAAATTAATGGACAATAAACTTGGTAGAAATATAATACAGTAATACATAAGTATCGTTTTGTAATTTAAATTTAAGTGCTTAACTATTATTTCGGTTGCGTAAGCATATTATTAAGTAGTAGTAGAAAAAAACTTTGGTGTTTGATGCCAATGATTTTATAACGCGTTCTAAATGTTCTCCGTTTCATTATGTTTTGTGCAGGTAACAAATGCGATCTAGAGGAAAACCGCCAGGTAGAATTGTCAGAAGCTGATGCCATGTGTGAATATTTCCCCGAATTATTGTCCGTACTAGAGACATCAGCCAAAGAAAATAAAAATATCGAAGAAGCATTCGTTACGATCGCTTCGGAGCTTAAAGTAATTTTTTTATAAACTCATCAGGTGTAATATTTAATTTTTAAACATTTTTTTTTAGAGACGTCACGATCAGAGCGCTCATATTGAAGACGAACCCAATCCCGTTATCAACTTAAGCGAAGGCGAGAATGTCCAAAAGTGTAAAGGCTGTATTCTGTTATAAAAAATAGGTGTCGCACCGTCGGTGACAAATAATAATTGGTACGGTAGAACAAATTGAGAATTTAATCGTTTATATTCTAAAATAGGATCGTGAACATATATATATATATATAAATTATATTCAGTTATATGTGTTCATAATCGTATAAAAAAAACAACACATAACATACAATCTTTAACGTTTTCTTTGAATTGTTAAAAAAGAAGAAAGGTTACAAAGTCCTACAATTTATACATGCTCTAATTTATTATCAGTGATTTGTATTTAAATTGGTCTTTGTTATACTTGCAATAATCATTTGTGTACCTTCTTTATTTTAAACAGTAATACCTAATAATAATATTATTATGTTCTGTTAAGTTAATCTTTATATTTTATTAAGCTTCTCAATAATTATAGTTTATTATTATTACGTCGAGGTTAAGTTCCTCTCGTGTGCGGTCCATTAAATTATAACACTTTATGATCTATTGTTTCAAAATTATTTTTATCGTGATAGACAAAAAAGAAAACAAATTATACAATCTGATAATATTAATATGTGTATATAGATACACGTCCATATCAAGAAATTTTATTTTTTTTAAATATTTAAGTAGGTATGCCTTTTAATAATGTTCATAATTTAATTTTATTGAATATAAATCTATAAACAAATTTTTAATCAAATACATTTTCTACTACTGTATAGTATAATGTAATAATGTGTATAAAATACAGAGTCTTTCAAATACAACAGTAGATTCCACTAATAATTTAAAACCCTTCTATTTGAAAACTGTTTTGGTTCGTTTTATAAAACATTTAAATACCATAAAAATATGTTTTATTAAAATCATTAAAAAGTAACTTTTGTAACTTAAATCGGGACATAAAAATATTTAAATATTTTATAGTTTATATTATATTATAATTATTGTAGTGTCTAATTTGGAAGATTCTGTATAATATACAAACATATAAGATTATTACCATTTATATATAAAAAAAAAAAAAAATAAGCACCTCTAATAATATCGGGGAAGGTTTTTTTTTTTTTTTTTTAATTATTATTATTATGCATAGAAAGTTAGGGGAAAGATTAATAATTTTGTCTTAATACTTAATACTAATTAACTAGTCACATAATAAGATTTTATTTTATAATGAAAATGGTGTATTGTAGAAGTTCCTCTCGTCAGTAAACGAGTGTCACAGAAAAAAAAAAATTGGAAATAACATAATATTGTTACAATTGTCTCATTTCCCCTCTCACTCTTTTCAAACTCAAATTTGTGATTTTTTAAAAAATATTTATATATTATACGTTTAAAAATTGTACGTACATAGAGTGTATCAAAATTGATTGTTTTCAACTTTATATAGATGTTTTATTATTGGTAGCTATTTTTGAATCCTATAAATATTTTATGTTTTAAAAATGAATACTTATTTGTTTTTTGATTTTATATATTGTCTGTTTATATTTTATTTAAATAATAATAACAATAATATTATTATATTGTCTCTGCGCCAGGCTTTGTCCATTGTCTAATTGTCATAGTGTTATCAGTCATGCGTATTCTATTGCTGCTCACTTGTTTATTTATACAAAATATAATTGATAATATTATTGTAAATTGTGATTGAAACAAGTGTTCAAAAATCAAGAAACTGAAAATCACAAATCATGAACAAAGAAGAAGACTACAGTTTCTATAGGCGCTTGGAAATCACAAAATATTTATATATATATATATAGTGTAATGTTACATTATATAATATTTATCTCATAAGCAATTATTATTATTTGTTGTTTTCCAGTTTCACGAATAACTAACGCAAATCTAATATATGATGTTTAATTATGTTATTAAATAAGCAATATTGAACAGAACACTTAATAACTTTTAATAGTTTACGTACCAGAAAAATGAATAGTATTTATCTAATTTTTTTATGTTATACAATTCAGTTGAAAAAAAAAAAAACTACAGGATTTTTCATCATAATCCACTGATTATCTATGAAAATCAATATTTTTATATTTAATGAAAATTAATTTTCGTTTTTTCACTTTTCGATTCTTTTAATAATTTTTTATCAACTAATGCTACTATAATTTTTTTTTTAAATTTTAGGTACCTTTATTCCATAAACAATACAGGTATGAAATTAAATGCAATACTAAAAGAATATATATGAAAATTGTATTCAATTTGTGTATATTACCACAATTAGACTTGTATTGCTGTGAATGGTAAAACATTACACATGCTTGAAAATCACCAGTTTACGGCTCTAGAATTGGATCTTCTGAAGAAGTTGATAACATTAAAAACGAATTAGATAATATGATTTTCTAAATTACATTGCTGCTAAATCATATACTGTTTAAATTCAGAACATTTTGATTTTATTGGTGAATGAAGTCATACACATACTTCATTTAACATTAATTATAATCAATCGGACAAACATCTGAAGGAGGGAGCAATTCATTTTTTTGTTGTTTTATAAATAGTCCAATATCCTTCCATAATATGTTGTACCTATATCCCATTTTGTATGTACCACGTCTAATATAGGTATCGCCTTAAAATTAGTAACTATTTTAGCTTATGTATGGGCAGTCAAACTCATTTTTTTTTAAATAGCTATTCTATTTCTAAGGTATTCTAAAGACTATTAAGGTCCATCACTGCAACAATAAATTCCTTTCATTTATTCCTGTCTTTTGACGCTTCCTTCGTGTTCTTCGCCCCAATCACCTTGACGCCTTCCTTGATTCTAACAAACCACTGTTGTTTGGATCGTTTTCTGGGGTGTTTTGTGCTTAGTCAGTCGGTCCATTTTGTTATGTTCCCTTTTGCCTATTACTCCATCAGATCACCAAATATGACCGGCCCATCTTATTCTAATACTTTTCATGATTTCTATAATATTGGCTTCTTTAAATAATCTCCTCAACTTTTCATTTGTCCAAGCTTCAAATTCACCTTCATTCTGTTTTGGTACAACAATTTTCTGAAGCACTTATTTTCCTTTCAAAAACACCCAATTTGTTGTCATCCGTTTTTAGTGGTTGTCCACGTCAGGCATGTATATGTATAATACTATGTGTCTAATAATTGGCATAACTAGGGAGTTGACCACTTCCCCCAAAATATGTTTGTGAGTTTTTTTTGGAATTCTACATAGTGCGTAGTTATACGATTTATATACTAATTTGAAACATAATGTAACATTGTCTATAAATAAGTGATAACAGCTACAGCATGGCATGGTTACGGTTATTACTATAAGTCAAGTAGCTACAATTATAATAAAAATAATACAATACCTATTTATTTCATTTATTGACAATTTCTTGGACCAAATGAACAGTCGATTTTTTGGAACACCAAACTGCACTTTTATTTGTCTAGTAACAAACCCAGGAGTAAAAGTTGTTAGTCAAGAAATTCAACTTGAATTTAAAGAAATTTTAAATTTGTTTGCAGACATATTAAATAATTGTTGTGATTCTGTTTTAAGTGACCAAATGAGTTTTGGAGAATTAGACTTATGATATCAAAGTCGTAATAACCAGGAATCAGTCAAACATAATAAAAAAAATCTGTAATAGATAAGTACTTTCAGATTTTGAAATTTAATATGTATGATAATTTTTTAATTAAAAATTGTATCGATCAAAAGGTTGCTTGAAAAAATATGACTCTTGGAATGTAAAGTTAAAAATAGATTTTTTTATTTGGAAAAAATCGAGCAACTTCGCATGTGGGTGCAGCTACTGTTGTAGGTGAAGATTTGAGAAGGTAGTAGAGGGTATAATTAATGTATATTTACAATCAACGATAAATCATTACTAACGAAATAACGATTCTGAACAGAGTTTAAATGTTAGTGTAGTTGCTTTGTCAACAATATATATGCCATATTATGGTAAAATAATTACATAGGTATGTATTTTCATTAATAATATTTGTTTAATATTGTAATGGTCATTGGATATTTTAAAATATCGGAATTTTTTGGGGGTTTTATGAAGATAAAAGTTTGTAGGTCTATAAATATACTCAATCATTTGATACAAGATTGTATTTAGTGATAAAAATACAACTGTTATTTACATAACCAATTTAGAAAATTATTTTTCTAGGAAAATTTGGCGAATCGATTGGTATTGTATTGTTTATAAAAACAGCTGAACAAATCAAAAAATGACCTCCCTAAAGTACCACCCCAGTCAGATTTCCTTTCAGAAAAAGTGTTACACTTGAAAATTGGAGCAAACTTGCTGGTAGAAAATTTGTTTACAGATAAGAATAAAAAAAATAAACATTAATGTAGAGCCAATGCATTCCTCACTATGCTCAGAGTCTAAAAACATACATTTCTTGGAATCTATATGATTCAAAACAATTTTCGCGACCCACGAAAAATTGACTCGGGACTCACTAGTGAGAACCCACAGTTTGAGAAATGCTGGTATTGTGAATTAATAATATATTATACAGGTGATTCAAAATTTATGTTATACTTAGTCATTTTATCAAGTAAATATTCAGTACAGATAAAAATATATAATACTAATATTGTTCGATTTGTAAACATCTAAAATCATTTGTACTTTTTTTTTTCCATCTTTTTTTATGGGGTTTTGGGAGTCAACTTTTGAAATCCAAATGGGAACCTATAATTAAATTTCAATAAATAGATGGAGTATTAGTTTGAATACATTTTGGTGTTGACATTTTTGACATCACAATTCTCTCCCGACCCTAACTTAAATGTAGAATCAATATTCATCAATATTGCGGCTTAAGGTTTGATAGGCTTAATAGGCCGAACATGCCTATTTGTGTCCATAAATGGTTAGGTTAGTTACGGCATCAATTTTCACATTTTAACAATATTATTGTTATTTTTGTTTTGTTTACACAAAGACAAAAAACCGTTCTCGTAGGTCTCACCCGAGGACACGATCCTCTGTGTATGAAAAGGAGATAATAAAAAGAAAACACAAACTCGACAAGAAACTATAATTTTGCACGCGTGTGACAATTTGACGTATAATAATATTGATTAATTTTAATATAATATAATAATTTTTCTATCGTAACCTAAATTATATAAAATATAAATAATAATAGTATAATATATTATTTGGGACGTACAAATATAGATAATAATAATACTAATATTGACGGCGGCGGCGGCAAAGGGAGATTCGGAACGTCTAGAAAAAATAATAATTTCTATTATGATAGTCGACGTGAGCAGACGGTTTTTTTTTTTTTTTTTCTGGTGGGGAAAAACAGGGATCTTATAAAAATAATAATTGCATTACGATAACTCGACGATACTGCGATCTAGATAGCTCTCCGAGTCACGAACCGTCGTGGGGAAAGACTCGACTTGAAATTAGATAATATAATACCTATGAAAAGTTAATATAGTAGTTATTATAATATTATAGGTAGGTAAAGTTCGTATAATAAACGAAATTTAAATAAGATAATATTAAAGGTAATATTTGTTATACAAGTTCCCACGAGTATACAAATTAGATATAATATTATAGCTAGATACCTATAGTAATAAGTTCCTATACGCAAGAATAATAGTAGTTTTCAAATTTTGTTTTCTTTCTAAATTCTAAACGTGTTTTTACAGTCATTGTGGCCGGCGAAGGAGACTTTCAATTTTCCGTTTTTACGGAAAAATTACAGTAAATTAAAAAGTACTTTTTACAATAATTTCATTCGCCCATCAACTGCAGGTATTAGTGTTTTAAAAGTCTGATTAACCACTTGTGATTCATTGAAAACCCGAAAACATTCGTGAAGTCGCCGAGGGAGGTAGCAGCCCACCCCGCGCCAGATTTTGATGATGTCATGGGAGACTCGATATTTTAAAAATATATGTACAGTTTTACCTAAATCTTACCATTATCCTATTTTTATTTTCCTTAAATTGTTCATTAAATAATTACTAAAATATAATTATTTGTTGTTTTGTATGTTACACAATTGTATAGCATCATGAAGAATTCCAAGACAATCTACACTTTTTCTCTATCAATATATAAAAAAAAAAAAAAATAAACGTTTATCTTTCTTAAGTAATTTATTATAAATAAAATTAGTATTTTGAAGATGTACATGACAAATATTGATTTTTTTCTTTTATAATATGAGAACCGTTGGGGACTGTGTTCCGTATTATCAAGCTCATGGGGGACTGCAGCGCCAGAGCCCTCCTGTACACGGCGCCCCTGCCCGCGGCTACCGTATACACGCCTAATATTGTCTATGGGTACAGCGTATAGATGTATGCATATGTATTATCTTATATACAATAATAATAATAATAGTAATAAATTACAGTTTATTTAAGTGCTAAGTATAAATCATCATACATAATTTCATACTTATGCGATTTTTGTATCTCGTGTAGGAACTATATTACACAATAATTATTGTATTATTATTAATTCCTCTGTATAGGAACTTATGCATTCTTTCTATAGGTTCTGGGACACCGAACCGCCACGTCCGGGAACTAAACAAAAAAAAACTGCAGGGTCGGATAGTTATACAATAATTAATATAATATAGTCGGAATAACCGACCGTATTATAATATAAAACCGTAAACAAATATAACATAATAATAAGATAGGTACTAATGATAATATTAAATAATATTATTGTACTAAATAATAATAATAATTTAACTAGCTTTATATTTTAGAATAGGTTTTTAGTTTAATGTAAGTATATAATTATAATATAGTATTATATTATCGTGTGCAATTAATGTATGTCCGTCTAGTGGATGTTGCGGGATCTCCGTGACGTCGCCCGGCCCCGTCAGATCCCGTCTGCGATCGCGTGCGACGCGTTCACGTGGTTCCAGTTGCCGTTGAAGATTTCTGGAAAACGAGAGTATACGATTGTATTCATTGTATATCCGTGTGGATTACAGTGAATCGTCGTCAGAATCTACTTTTACCCGTTGATAATGGAAGAAAACCCGGAAGGAAAAAGACCTCTCGAAATACCCCGTTTGAGATTGTAAGACTGTGCTGGTTGAAGAGAAAACGCGGTATAGTTTATAAAATTACAGGTCAGACAGTAAATCAAAATCAGCCGACAGGGAAAACCGTGAGATCGGGCATGAGAAGAGATAGTCTAAGTGGCTGATAACCGAGGGAAGAAAAAAAATATATATATTATTATAATTATTAGAATTTCTTAAGGGGAAAGAGGCGTTCATCAGAGCCAAACTGTACATGAGAAATAAATAGTTTATAACTTATACACCGATGTACAAATCAAGAACGTGTAATAGCTGAACATGATAAATTTATTTTAGAATTCCAAATGTAAAAATCACGATTTCGCAGTATTTTTCAAAATATCGATTTTTCCGCAAAAAGCCCGGGTGAGTTTTGGCCTCAAATCTAAAGGCTGGAATTTACGGCCCTTGAAAATTATTTTCATAACTTTTGTTCGTTTTTGACGAATAACAACATAACGACGAAGAATACTGTTTTACGGGCAACACGGATGCGAGACGGTTTTGACGCTGTTCCTCAAGCAACATCGGACTCTCTAAAATAGGCTGATTCTTGTTTCAACTCTTCGGGTTGTTTTAACAATGATTTCTTGTCTTTGAGGCGCAAGTACGAGCACTTGATTTTTGTCATTTCGACAAGTTTCGATTCATAAAATCCCAGAGACGAACAAGTCAAACTCGCCAAATAATCCAACCTCGCCCCTCCACCACTTCATCCTGTAGTATTTCGGACAACTTACCCGTTTCGACTTCGACCCGCCGACACTTGCCCGCCGACTTGGTCTCGATCACCAAACCGGTAGCGCACGCATCCAAAAACATGTGACACCACGAGCGGTACGTCTTGTCGTCGCTACCGCACACCTCCTGCAACGTTTCCGGTTCCGGGCACGGCAGGTTGCACGTCACGCACCTCGGACGTCTGGTTTTGCTCTCAACCAGACACTTTTGACCGCCTTTGCAGCTCACCGTAGCACACGTCGCCGTTTCTGAACAAAATAAAAATTGACAATTCAACAACTCGGAAAAAAAATAAATAAAATTTAGCCGAGTTACTTGAAATAAGATAATGTTAATAATATGTTTAAAATTTGATTATTCGTAGCCACCTAACAGTACTGGAAAAAAAAAAAATATTCGTTCGCAAGTCGCGGGGGTTTTGTTTTAAATTCAAACATTTTGGATATTTTTGTTTGAAATTTTGCTGATCAGAATACTTAGACCGAATACGGTACGCTTACATATTGACCCTTTTCGATGATTAGCTGATATTCGCTGGGCGGTCGACGGATATTTTCGATAGCCACGTGATTTTCGAAACGAGCCGACTAATCGAGATATCCGCCTTGAGAAAACGATGTTCCGGGATTTCGACGGATACTTTCCGTCGACCCGTATTGTCTCTCCTCCCGTCCACCTATATTTGGCCCGTCGAGATGTCCGGTCTATGCACACAAAACGGGATACAGCGAGGATACGAGCGTTATTATCGTCGGCCCCGCGATAATGTTCCGGCGGAACCGAATCGCAGGCGGCGGCGGCTGCGGCGGACTCGTCAACAAGTCGTCGTTTACGTTATGCGTACACATGGGCTGCTCTGGTTATGGAAATACACGGGCGGGAGACGCGGTTTCAGTAAACGAATAAGGTGTACACGAGCATGGTGGCAGCCTTCGGTCCGTTAAATTTAGCTCTTGGAAGGCAGTCAACCATTTGGTTTTTAAATTTCGACACGTCTCTAAAGCGAACCGGGACGGGGAACGCGCCGATTTCGTTATACAGGACCACTCTCCTCATGCCCCGACGAAAAGTCTTCGCCGCGGCGTTTTGTTTATATATATGTATATAATATATACGGGGTGATTCATTAAGCACGTTCATCTCATTTTTTTTTTCGATTAAATTTCGCATTTATTCAAATTCCGGTTTTCGGAATTTTTATGTGCATTCAAAGCCGATACATATTTTCGAATACTTCAATGTTTAACAACATTTAAGGTGTATCTCGTGACCGATACCGACTTTGGTTTTTAAAATGAGAATCTGTATTAAAAAATCCCATAAATAGATGGACTATTAATTTAAATAAACTTGAGAATTCCAAAAACCAGAATTTGAATTTGTGCAAAATTTAACCGAAATAATGGGGTAAGCACGCTTAGCGAATCATACTGTATAAATAATATACATGCACAATACGAAAAATAAACTATACAAATACGACCGACGAATGATTTCTGTTCTTAACACGTACTGCTGTATACGCGTTTTCGAGTTGTTTTCACACCGCCGTATTTTAACGTCCGTACACACATACACACACACATATATATATATATATATATATATATGTATATACATATTGGTGTATATATATATATAGACGCACGTGTCTTACGAGAAAAACATTGAGAGCGAAATGAAATCTGAGCGAGGCGTATGGAATTATTACAAGACACCGACAGATTGTTAAGCTGCAATCAAAAATACACAATACTAAAGGGTAGTAATATAATACGCTGCATATATTTAAAAAAAAAAAAAAAAACAAAAATGAAACAAAACAATATCGTTCCCATCAACGATAAAGAAAACGGCCAAAAAACTCATCAATATCATAGTGATTGTGATGATTGTGTTACGTCATCGGGTCGTCTGAGCGTCTTAAAAACATAATAACCGTGTTTACGTCATTAGATCACAATGTTCATAATACGTTTTGGTACCGTAATCAAATTCTTTCGTTTCAATTATACGCTCGTGAGAAATTAAAAAAAAAAAAAGAAGCTGATATTGCCGATGGGTGTGCCACAGAAGAACGAGTGGAAGGGAGGATACACAAAGCAATTTAATTTATATACGTACGCGATGATATTGCTAACGATTAACGAAAAACGATTCTGAACAGAGTATTAATAGTCGTACCATTTGTTCCTTTTGACAAACGAGACTGACATTTACCAATCGTAATGTCTTCTAATTTGAGAAAATGTATCTATAAATATCGAACAGGGTTTATTAAGTATCGAATCAAGTGCCGAAAAATAAAATAAATGGTTACAAAATACAGTGAGGGAAATAATAAAGTATAGTATACTATTATATTGTAATATATTTTTTTTTATTTTTTTTTTTATTTGCTAGCAGAAGAAAATGTGTACAAAATATAATGGATCAATATATGTAGTTACTAGCTTTGCTCTACATATTGTAATATATACTTGAGTACTTTGAGAAAATCTCTCTTTTGTCATCAATCCTTAACAGGTTGGTTTTCTGCAGCTTCACTCCGACATCTGTTTCTGGCGACCGCTATAATTTTCAGTGGCCAATATGAGATCTATTTTGATAATGTATTCTGCGGCTAAAAAGTTTTCCCAAGTGGTTCTTCTCTTCGACGCTCCACATTCAACGTCAACGGGCCTTTTCCGATTGTCGGATTATAAGACCAATGCGCTATCGTTTCGTCTTCTTGACAAAATTGTCGATCGTGCATAGCGTTCTGCATTCCGATCCGTTCTGTATGTTTAGTATTTCCTAATTTTTTAATCTCTTTTAGCTGATTCTTAACATTCTTGTGTAGTGTCTCGAACGTGTCTGAATTTTTTTTTTGTTCTTCTGTTGACTTCTGTTTCACTTAATAACAGCGTTGTGTCGCAAACATAATATTATGTCTTCAATAAGTTCTTCGATAGTGCTTTTTTCGTCCACCAAAAAGCAATTATTTTAGCTTGAACAAAATTACTTTTTACGATCTTCTTATTTTTGTCTCTGCGTACCACGATCATCGATCGTTATCATAAGTATACTGCCAAAGTACGTGAACTGATCCACTGCTGATCTTGATTTTTTTTTTTCGGTTATCGTCAACGTAATGACGTTATTACGCGTTATTATGACGTACGCTTATTGTATTTAATTATTCTTCCGCGTATGAGAATTTTTGTTTTTTTCGTTCTCCGAGCATAATTTTTAATCGAGTAGATATTTTTCGCGCGCCGCGCGAACTCGATAAGATAATATTATTAAATATATTATGAAATCGGGCCAGTTTTTTGTTTTGTTTTTTTTTTTTGACGAGCGTCGTATACATTTACACATAGGTAGGTATCCGTGTAAAAACGGCTGCGGTGTACGTATTGTACGTACTCTAGTGTCTCAACGGGCGAACGTCTAGACGGCTTAATGCGACCGCCGCCGCCGCCGCCGCCGACCGGTATAAAACGACCCGAGACAGCGTTCCTATAAATATTATATTGTTGTTGTTGTTGTTGTTGTTGTTGTTGCTGTTGCTGTTGTTGTTGTTGTTGTCGTCGGCGGTGACGGCGGCGGTGGTGGTGCCGGGTGTCGGTGTATTAACGTAAGTACAACATAACGCTCGCGTGCATAATAATAATAACATCGCCGGAGCACTAAAACGCGCGTACAACGCCGAGTGCGCTGTCGCCGCAGACGACAATAAAAAACACGCGCGACACATATATAATAATATGTATGAAACGAAAATATATTACACGCGTGTAATACCCGAGTCGGGACGACAGACGATGTCTGCAGACGCAATTGTTACCCGCACGCCGTTATTTCGGTAACGCGCGCGCGCCCGTTTTCCCGACGTTTTCGCCCCGTCGGTTTCGGTGACCATACGAAACTTCCATCTTCCTCCCGGGGGGGGGGAGGGGAGTGTTCGCGAAATCGCCGTCCTTAGTGGTCAGTCACGGGCGAATTAGAGCCCGGACGCCGCGACAAAACCCACTGTATGCCTTCGCTCTTCTCTATTATGTTTACAGCGTCTTCCGCGTTCCCGACTCCCACCCCAAGCCCTTTTGGCCCTTCCGCCTTTGTATCATCCTTTAACGTAGGTTCGTGATAAAACCTAACCGAACGCCCCTTCCGCAATGTTCTTTGCACGACACTTACAGTAAATCGGCACTTACGGTTTCGACCGCTTTACAAGTGGTAAAATAGTTATAAAGCGGGCGTCTTAGCGTTTCGTCTCCGTTTATTCGTCTATCCCAATAAGTGCTTCAAATCGCCTACATCACACTGACGTTTTTACAAACAATAATAATTATGAACGTGTGCGGACGAAGTTTGCACGAAAACATAATAATTATGACCGCCAAACTTCGGCTTGGTAATGCATTTTTTCGTCTTTTGCTTTGTTGGCCACCTTTCTTATAATAATATTTCACTGATTCGTGGTGTCTGAAAATATTATTTAGTTCAGAATGGAAGATTGACACAAAACCAAATGTGGCGTGGTTTTAAATTAAAATAGATTAAACCACCACAAAATGATATTCCGGAATCTGGTTGAGATTATGAGACCATGTAACTATTAGAGTCGAAATAATAATAAATTTCGGATAATAATACAGAGAGAATTGCAAAATAAATAATAAAATCATTAAAGTCTCAAACTGCTTGCAGAGAATATCGGCTCGGTTTTAAAATAGAATTTTCGCCTTGCGATTTTGCTTTTCGAGCGACAAAAATACCACCAGCAGGTCGGACGTGTTTGGTTTTTCGATTTCACCGAGTATGTGCGGGCCGTAATATTACGATCGCGGGTAACGTCAAACGGGTCGACGGTCGTCCGGGGACCCTAATCATCCCAGTGGTGGTGGCCGTGTTAAAAAAAAAAAAACCAACGTGTAGAAGACCGACGAGACGGACATCACCACCGCAGAAATACTCTCTCACGGTCGTCAACCCGTCGGTGGCACCCGCACCACACCCGGTTTGCCCGAGACACCGTCGTCCGTGTAAAGAGAAATGTTCACGTTTCGGTGACCCGTCCGTCCGGATCGCATCGTGTCTGCAGCATTGCATCCGGTACTTGACCAACCCCTCGCCGCACGAATTTTCAAAAACGCCGCCGCCACCGCTCGTAATCGTTTACCATCATAGTAACGTATTACAATACGTGGAGATGAACGTCAAAAATTTCCTCACTGTGCAGGCTATTGGGACTTATAAAAAAGTGCTTTTTAAAAAATCGTTCAAAACGTATAGTCGCGATCGATGTAAAAAATTAGTTTCGAAATATCATAGAAGTTTAAGATTACTGGAGATTTTTTTTATTTCCCATTATTGTGTAGCTCTTTCATCCGTTTAAATAGTACGTATTATTTTGTTATATTTGCATTTTCGCATATTAAACGTGATATTTAATTTTAACACGATTTATCTAGCAGAAACTTGGGGAAAATAACCGGTTGATTAAATTATTACATTTATTTTAGCGTGGTATTTAAATAGACATATTCAAATAGGTATAAAATCGATCGATACGGACTGCGGTCAATTGATGTTATAGTTGGAAAATGTTCGTCACACAATACAATTTTTCATTTAAAGAGTTCAATAATATTATTAAAAATGGACCACTCACTCTTGCATCGTCCCTTGTACGCTATCGGTATGGCCTTGCCCACCCGACAGGAGGCTTCGCGCAGGTGACACGCGCTCTGGTACGTCCGACCGTCGGATCCGCACACCAGCTTGGACGGCGACATGCCTGGCGGACAGTAAGTGGCGCACTTGACGCAATGGGGCATAAGGTTCTGGTCTTGTAGGCAGTACTTGCCTCCCGGGCAGGTGACTTTGTCGCAAGAATCTGTAATAAGAGTTTTAGTATATAATATATTATAGTTGAGTAAAGAAGGGACAGAACGCCGGGGAGAGTATAAAGGGCGAGTTATATGTTAAAGACTATTATGTTTGGTCAGTGGCGTGTCGCACTTACTTTGGCACAGGCCGTGATAGGCGACCACCAGCGATTGGTCCCGCGTACGGCACGATCTCTTTTTCAGCCGGCAGTGCGACTTGTACGACACGCCGTCCGTACCGCACACCGGTCCCTTCAGCCGGAGCCCGTCGTGTCGCTTGCAATTTGGCGAGCATATGCACTTTGGCGAGCCCGATCGCATAACGCACATCTTGCCGGCACCGCACTCCACGCCCGTGCAGGACCCTGGCAACAGTAAACCACCTGCATTAGGTGTCGCACAACAATATTTAAAATATTATACTAGGCGTGTTTCGGTGACGTGGTTTTGAGCGATGTGGTTACTGCTGCTATAGTTTAGCGGACTAACTGATTTTGGTGGTATTAACCGTTTGATAAACTATACTTTTACTATCTTCGGTTACTGGTTGTCCGTTGGTGACTTACTGTATGGTAAACAAAACGTTTCGACGATATTGCGACCAAGTAGCAAACCGTTTACCGTAAACTTCATCATCGCTAAACCACGCCTATTATCACACGACATGTCGCTGCGGTACAAGTGCTAGAGTACCTACCTTTGCACCTGGTGCACGGTACACCGTCTCCCAAGACACGCCAGAAGAATAACGCGCCCGAGTCCAAGTCGGTCGGGCTCCACGACGTCGACACGGAACTTCCACCCAGTTCGCAGCATTTCTCTTTAGACACGTGTTCGGCCAACAGGTCTTTGCACAGACCATTTTTACCCATCGATCCCCAGCACATACCACCTGCAATAATCGGAACAATAATAATTATCATCATGTCAGGAAGGTTTATAGTCACATCCTCGTGGCCGTTTCCCCGTCCAATTAACCTCAAACAAACAAACCCATAAACAATAAATAAACAAATTTCAACAATTTGTATGATTGTATGATGATAACTGGTTCGATAAATAAGCGATTCGCTGTTTCAGAAATCACGGACTAAGATTTACACTTTATACTATAGAACCACAATCACGGTTAATCTATAAAGAAAGGCTTAAGCGTAACTTTATGGACAAAATAAACTTCTTTATCGATACGATATCGTAGGCTAACGAACTGTTTTTATGCAGTCCGGTATAAGTATTCCATGGATAAAGTAACTTCGTGTTACAATGTATAATATTACCGCGATAATAGTTGGTTACAACGTAAAATACAAAAAAATATGACGTACCTACAAATAGTAATGACGTGTTTGTTATGATAGGTGTTATCTAAAATATAACCAATAACTAGTTGTGTGACCGTCATAGGACGGGTTATAGTGGTCATTGAAATGTTTAAAACGAATACTACTAAATCGAAATGTTGCAAATCTTTATGCCGACGATTATACAATGTATGTAAAAACACAAATCCATCAACCTTTTTTCACTCTTTCATCGTGCATTTTCTCTTATCGCTACACATCGTATCTTACTCTTGTCAATATCATACCTAAGACCTCGACAGCTGTTCTACCAAAGATAAAAGTTTTTCCAAATGATGTCACACATTTTAATTTTATCAAGGCGACTAACATTGAAATACTAAAATATAAACCACATAATAGTTAATAATAATCAAATTACAATAAACCGTCACCTAGTCGATTACAACTATTGTACACCAAATAAATGAATTTTAATTACTGACATTATTTTATTATTTGCAGTTTTAAAATGTTCGAAACAATATCTAAAAATTAAAAATAAATTTGATTAAATATTTTGTCCATAAAATGGAATTTTTATATTCCACAAATCGATGGTTTTTTTTTTCATTTAAATATAATTTTTTTTACAGTAAATTTATAATTATTCCAGAATTGATAAAAATCTAACTTGAATTTTCAAAAAAACTTATCTTTTTGATTTTAAAATACGAAATTTCTCTTGGCGTGTTTTTGGCAAAATCGTTGTTATGTTTTTAAGTTTATGTCAGGGGGGAATTTTAGTGAGAATTATTTGTGTAGCGGAACGGTGTATGGGTGTTTTAATAATGCACCGCTATTCTCGTTTTTCTATTACCATTATTACCGCGGTGTCCAAGACAGACATAACACTTTTCACAATATTAGAATGGACAACGAAACCCACTACCCTTGAGTTAAATGGCGGATGAAAACTTCACATTTTATCACTGGTTATTTATCTAGTGTATTATAATACATATCTGTGTCCTGTGACAGTAGTGTATACTAATTTAATTATTTTAATATTTTTGTCCGTTATCTGCAGTGTATGTTGAATGATACCTTTTTATTTCTTGATAGAATCTTCACGGGTGCAAACGCCTTCCATCTACCCCAAATGACACCACTGTCTACATCTCACTCTTATAGTGATAGCGGATACTTACGGATACCTAGGTTCTAATATCACGAAACGAAGAATTTTCAAGGTTATCACCGTTTTCGGTTGTGACCGAATAGTTGGTTCCCGTTTAAATATTTTGTAGCATAGCATAGCATGATAAAAATTAAATAAAAGTTTAAAAATATACTATATTATAGTGTTATTATACCGACATTTATCGTGTTTATTGTATAAATGTAGTCATTAAACGGGAACCAATTCGGCTCACCTTCATAAAATATTATTTTTAAACGGGAACCGATTGGACATGTGGGGTATGAGCTCGGGAACCAATTCGGATTTATTCATTTCTAAAACGGTTCGACTTCGGTGACAGACTGTCGCGGCGGTTATTACCGCGACCATAAAAGAAATACGAGAAACGTGACACCGCTGTTGAAAGAGCCAAGCTAGCTAATCGCACATGATATATACAATAGTATTATTATAATTCTATAGTACAATATGTACGTAACAATGTTAAAATAACGAATTATTGCTACGGAGGCGTTATGGATGTCATAATTTGTTTTATCTTTGCACGTCCGTTGTTTATGTTTGTGTAAAACAAATAATAATAATAATAACAATAAAAACGTATAATCTTTTTTTCCGACACAAAACAAAAAACATATTAGGTATTGTAACTTATACATTCGAACGAACCGTATTAGATTACTCGCGTTTTTTTGTTTGGAAAATTAATATTATTTAGAAAAAAAAAAAATAATAACAATAGAAAAAATCACATAGACCCCATAGAAAAAAATGCGACGGTATCGTCATAAACGACCGTAGAACGTGTTTTCGACTGATTTTTAAAAATTGTTTTTTCGCAGTTTTACGCGCAAACGAATTCACGGAAGGTTTCGTGTACTTTTTCGACGGTCGGCACAAGAAAAACGACAATACCGCCGTCGTCGGCGGCTATACGCGGGAGCTTTTATTTGTTCGTCTTTTAAATTGGAAAATATTCAACCACAACGATATTATAATAATATATGCAAAATCAAAACACATAATATATAATATTATAATAATCCTTAACAACCGGTTTCGAGGACGCGCATATTTCTTATAAAACGTATATAAAATTATATTGCCGCCCAGACGTGTATAATGCAATGATGTGTTTTAGGGTAAATCGGTATCGGTAGCGACAGGCCGTCGAAACGGATCGCCTCGGACGCGTATCCCGACGATATAGTAAGTGGCGTCCGGGCTGAGGAATCGTTTTTTTTTTTTTTTTTTTAATTTTTTTTTTTCTTATACATTACACGGGTATAGGTTAGGTTAGTATTACAGTAGATACAGTGTATTTATAATATAGGTGACAGGCGGTAGGTTAGGTTAGTGGATACAATGTACGTTGTACAGCGCGGTGACCTCCCCGTGGACGTCGTGATTCTTTTTTTACGCGTATACTCGTATATACCTGTACACGCAACGCGACAAACTAATAAATCATTAACGGTCGGGAGTTTCATATGGGTACAAGTGTGTTGCACTTAAAAAAGTACCTATGGTTGAGTCCCGTAAGTATAAAAAGAAAATCGCGAGTGTGGCACTCACACAACGACCATATCGATGTTGTTTTGTTCAAATGGTATTACTACTAAAAATCGAAAAAAAAGTTTTTGGTAACAAAAAAAAAAAATCAGAAAAATTAGGTGCATAAACTGGTGAAAGGGCATATTTAAATACAGAAAGTTAAGTTGGTATAAAATGTCGGCTAAAAGATATCTAGACGCCCTTTTAAAAAAGAATTAAATCAACATTGATTTGTTAAAAGGGCGTATACCACATTCAATGCATGTATGTTTTGTGTACAATGTATTATGTGTACGAGCGATTTTATTGTTTTCCATGATAAACATGATTAAAAACTGTTTTTAGTTTTTTTTTTTGCTTCCCGAAAAAAAGTGAAATTTGATGCTCTTTTAGTAATACACCGTCGGTATAATAATATTGACCTCGGCTTCGCCCAAATGATTGATATTATATTTATCTAGTGTAGCACATTGACTTTACAAACCCTAACGCCCATCCACAATTTTTTTTAATATAATAATGTATAGTTCATATTCCGTAAACCGATATATAGGTACTTAGATTTGTATCACGCCATAATAGACAGCGGCGTATATACGTGGAGGGGGCAGAGTTAGAAAATAGTATAAATTAGCAAAATTCCCTATTACAAAAAAAAAATATTAAAATAACAAAAATTATTGCGTTCGTTAGATCTGCGTGGAATACTCTGTATCCTCAATCATTTTTACAATACAACCGTTTAGTCCCTTATTCGAACCACCGCCTCCATATTCCGGGCCTCACTGATTAAAGTTAACTACGAGACCACTACAGCAGTCGATACGGGTATATACGAAAAACTTCATAAATCCACTATTCACAATATAAATGCCTTCCCGGTGTTCTGGGAAATTTTTTTTTTTTTTTTTTACCAAAATTTCCCCATTCGAATTTATCAAATTCTCGTTAATTCAAACGAAACATCAATCTTTTCAACTAGGGTGGCCAAACGTTCCGCGTGAGACGGGACGTCCCGTTTCCAGGACTCAAATAATGCGTCCCGCGATGCGTGTCCGCGGGGCGCTAATTGTCCCGCTTTTTTGGTTAACCTGTCCAAGTCCTATTATATATTATAAGCATTACGTTCCTATTGTGCGCATTTGAAACTATTTTCCATCCGAAATTCCGACCGACTCGATTGCACGTGCCGGTTTTGTCAAACATCGGTAGTATTTATAGATTCAATTCAGTATTTTCTCGGAATATTCATGTCGGACACTAATCGAAATGTCTATAACAAAATCAATATTATTTTCGGTGCGTTATCTTTGTATCATTATGATCAAACGTGATACGTGTTTTGTTCGAGCCGAATGGAATAACAAGACATTTGTATCATTATATATTTTTCGTTCCCTCGCGGCTCGTGCAGTGATGATAAAACTAGCGATTATTACTTTGAAATAGCAATTATTTTGTTGATTTTATTTCAAATTTTAAAAAAAAACTGATAACAATTATTAAAATCGTTTTTCTTTCGTTTCTGTAAATTTGTAGGCATGTCCCGCTTTTTTTTTTTTTGTCAAGTCCCGCATATACATATCTAGCGGTTTCCCGCTTACCCGTAAATAAGAGCTGCAACCTAACAGTCTCAACCTCCCTCGAAAACAGTATGTTACGAGTATGCGAACCTTCGATAATTCAAAAACTTCGAATTTCCACCGTCTATAACGACCAGCATTATGAATTACGAATTATCGAAAGTCTACATGCGATATAACACTGGTATTGTAGTTATATAGTATAAAAAATTGTTTCTGTACAGATTTCAATTTAAAATGATAAACAACAAAACTGTTGTCAATAAAATTCAAATACGAATTATTATTGTACAATAAGATATATAATGGATGCGTTGTGGTTATAGATATTAATGGATTATAGCCATCATAAGATAACGTAAAATAAAATGTCGAGGTCAATATTATTGTAAAATCTATAGATTTCAGTGTATTCAAAGGTGACGGTTTTCATGTAAAACAACTTTTTGATAACTCACCGTCTTTTCGTGACCCAAGAGCGTTGAAAAATAAGAAAATAGGGTAGCTTTTTAGTTTTTCGCAAATAATTCAATAACGACATCACTGATTATAAAATAATATGATGCTTTCTGGTAGCTCTTCTTAATGTCTATATAATTTATTATTATACAATTTACTGTAAAATCTGTGTTTCCTGAGAAAAATCATAAAATACAAAATATTTCACGATTTTTTCAAGGCTATTTAATTATATTTGTCAAATGGTTGAAGATATGAAATAATGTTTAATGTAAAAATGATAAAGAATTTAATTTCCTAAAAAAAAAGTGATTAATAAAAAATTAATTAGAACGACTGATTTAATGTTAAACTAGAACTTATGTTGAAATTTGTAGATAATGGATATATTATAACATTTATATTATTTCGTTAAAAAAAAAAAAAAATGAATTTGATGGTTTTTTTTATTTAAACTTTATAACGGTTATTTTTTTTTCTCCTATACCCAAGGATCTCCCTAGCCCATAAAACTGTATAAGTGTTCTGTTAGAATAGCGGTCTACGATTACAGATCGAAAATAACGAAACCGTTATAGCTTGTTCCCAAACGCAACGAAAACCGTTCAGAATATCAAGACTGACAGCCTCAATATGCACCAACCAGATCCGAAACGACTACGAAAACAGCTATCCTGTGACGGTTCGATCGGAGAAAAACGCAAAAAAAAAAAAAAAAAACCGTCAACCGTCACGTTGATATTATTATTGAAGAAGCGCGGAGGCGATAGCGCGGCGTTTTCGAAAAGACCGCGGCCGCCGTGGTTACGTGAGGTCACGGGGTTACGCGGGCGCGCGCGAGGCCGGCAGCGGTCGCGGGACGCACACGAGCCGACGCCGCGCGACTCGCGTCCCCGAGTGTAGTGCAGCGGCGGCGGCGGCGGCGGGACGACGACACGCGCGCGACCGGGAATACATTTTCGCCGTTTAATCGAATCGAGCGTACTTAATGGTCGTTGCACAATAATTGCACATACGCGGCGGACGACTCGTGCATCGCTATAGCGAACAATACTAATTGCCGTGTACCGCAAAAACCGCCTCCACGTGCGCTCTTCTCGCGTTCGCGCGAGCGTGTATGTGTGTGTGTGCGTGTGTGTGTGTGTGTGTAGCTGGGTGTGTGCGCGCGAGCGTTCGCGGGCGCGTGTGTGCCGCTCGCGTGACGTTCGCGTACGTGTGTCTGTGCGCAAAAGAACGTCCCGCTGCTGGTGCTGTTGCTGCACGTGTGCGTCCGTGTGGAGCGAGTGACCGCGTGAATTTAGGTCAGGCACGCGTTCCCTCTAGAGACCGCCCAGGCCGCTCTAATGAGTCGGTAGGTTCCGTATTACATTGTTTCCCGACCGTCGACGAGAATATTATCATAAATTTACGTGTTGTTGTTGTTGTTGTTGTTGTTTTCGCCGTGCACTGGCGCACGAATTAAATCGGGGAGGCGATAAATTATTAGTCCGACGGGTATATTCGCATCACGAACAATTAATATATTATAATATCGTGCGTACACCGCCCGCTCGCCGACCGAAAATCGCACCGAATTAACAATTATTACGATTCAGCCAGCAGCTGTGTACGTTCCGTTAACAATTCCGAATTTGTAATAATACCAGCTATGGTTTTTTTTTTACACGGGTAACATGTTTCGCCGTCACAATCGCCTAATCTTCTGGGATAGGTAGGCGCGCGCTACCCCACCGATCGAGACGCTCGGAACGTATTGCTCACTATAATGTCGAATATTCACGCGGAGTGATCACGCGGAAATTTCATCGATAGTCGGTGCGCACGGGGGGACCATTTTTCGTTGTGCGTGCACTCTTCTTAATAATGGGGTGAGGGGACGGAAAACAAATGCCAAATATGTTAAACTTTGTCCGGTTCAAAATATATGCGGGCGTTGCGGTTAACGTAAAAATTCTAATTATATTTTTAAACAAGGTTATTTGAAAATATCGGAAATTTCTAAGGAGACGGTTTTTTATATATATATATATATATAAGACTACGTTAAAAATAACATTTTCGAAATTTAACAACTTCACTATACGCGCTACGGGCGGTAAACCGAAAATATCAAATCGAGTTACAAAATCGTTTTCGTCCAAACATACTGATAACGTAAACGGCTTGACAGTTTTGTGGGCCGTGACGTGTGGCCGTATCTTTTTCGATTTTCAGCACACTAGTTCAACACAGTATTATCATTTCGGATTTTTATTTTAATATTTTCAATATTAAAAATTCACCGGGGATTTTGTCGCGTGAAATCCGCCGGTACCGCCGTTTCCTATGTAATAAATTCCTCAGTATATGCACACTGTAGGTACTATAGATAAATACTTATCTACAGCGTGTCGGTAACATTTTACTGGTTTAGTCATTTTATCGTGCGCTATTAATCTCGAACACCGGACCTGAACGGTCACACGGTAAATCATGTAGGAGACGGATAATGATGATAAAAAAAAAAAAAAAAAACACAGAAACAGTAATAATTTTTTAGCGTACATATACTCGCCGCCGGTACCTATACAACAGCAGAAAGACCGGCGACTTCGGCACAGGCGGGTTTTTAGTTCAAATTGACACGACAAGAAGAAAAAAAAAACATCTACAACATTGTACCTATACCATCATCTCGAACGGCGGTGCATCTTAAACAGCAAAAATGCATGATATAAAAAAATAAAGAATACCCAAGTATATACGAATATTATTATAATCATATACTAAAATGTTACTGGTGGAGGAGGAGGAAGAGGAAGAGAAGGTGCAAAACTTTGGCGGAAGTCCTTAAGGATTCATACACCTCATGTTTATTTTCTTGTGATAGAAGGGCGGTATTTCGATTACTAAAATTATAAGAAGCGAACAGACTAATTTCGAAAACAATAATATTTATGTCATTTCAAATCTTTACAATCCGATTTAAACCTTTAAAGCCATGAGGTAATACAGAAAACTATGTTAGGCCTTTCTACGCAGACCCAAGGTCCAGATTTAATTATTTTCATATTTACGTAAATTTTAAGTATAGTATAAAGGGTACAATAGAATATAGTAAATAAAGATATAGTTTATATTAGACTTTTTGATAACATTGTGTCTTCAGTGTGGTATGGTATTATGCAAATATAAAAATATTCTGTGAAACGTTAGGTTAGAAACCAAATACTCAACTATTACAATATTATATACTATGTATTACACATGTACACTAATTCCTAACGAATAGTGATTAAACATTGAAATGGTGGGACTGATGTCAAAACTGAAACTCCCGAAATGAACCCCCTTATCGTTAATGTAATATATCATACATATTATGGTACTCAAGAGTTCTTTTTTTTAAACTTGCACTTGCTTTTTCTAAAGGCTATTTTATGCATTCAATTCACAGCTGTTAGAAATTTAGACCGGGGGAGTATATGGATTTCTTATTAGGAATAAAGTAATAAATTACATATCCAAATTCAAACGATAAACCGTATTCTCTACTCTTACGAGTCTGAAATACACAAACTATTATAGCTCGCAAAATGATAAATCGCATATTAGCGTATGGTGCATATCGAAGTTTCCGGAAAAAATATTCTCTTTTTATACTGACGGTTTGAAAAGAGGGAGTTGTTGTTTGAAATTCAAAAGATGATACACGTGCGTTTTAACAAAATAAGCACAAAAGTTTTAAAATCTTATTTAACTAGATATGACTGATAATAAGACTGAAAAAAAAACTCAAAATTAATTTTACTCGAAATTAGTAAACAATCGAGCTGGATCATAGTAAAACCAATAGATCCATTCCCACGCTCCAAATCTAAAAAAAAATATATACATAATATATACATCTGCTGTATTCTTGCTATGGCTAATATAATTTTGATTTTATTCATAATTAGTGTCATTTTGTAATTTGATAAGCCTTGCGGTTATTGACATATTCATCTAAATTGATTAACTTACTGGGCGACTTATCAATTATTATTATTTATTACAAAAGCATAGACAGGGAAAGTGAAATTTTAAAATCACGTATTAATATGAATTGTCTATTCCATAATATTGTACTTTGACATTCAAACTAAATATGTATAGTAAACTCATAATTAGAGACCGGATTTTATATATGTTCTAAAAATTCACAAAAAAAAATATTTAAAAAAGCAAAAATAATAAAGGGGTTTAATAATCCTCTTATAACGAATTTTACTTGAGAAATAAAAATATGTTCCAATACGACAAAAATGATTAGTAAAAGGGATTTTTTTTCATAATACGAACAATTTTATTTGAAAAAATTATTTTGAGTCAATAATTTGTTGTGGATTGTTAGAGAATATAAATCCGGTCTCCACTCATATAATTAATTAATGTAATTACGGTATAATTTTTTCATAAACCGTAGATAGATTAAAATATTAAATAGAATATTGATAAAAAAAATTTAGTAAGATGGCCATAATTGAACACCCTATTATACATCCTGCTATTGCGCCCACGACACAAATTCGGATTTGTCCACGAAAATAATTACAGTATTTTATAGACGTTTAACGTGTACGAGCGAACGATAAGTAAATAAATACGGGAAACATTTAACATGTAGAAAATCGTTTTGAACGCATTATTTAGGTGTATGCCTCGTCGAATCCGAACTGTATACTACTACAATAATAATAAATAAATTTATTGCCGTCAAACATGTTTTCGTTTCGGAAATATTTTCCCTCAACCCCCCTCCCTCCCATTACAAGTCGACATGTAATTTTTTAACGAAAACCACTCGACGCGACGGGCAAAACGTTTAACATCATAAAATAATATAGGTATGAGCAAACACCGGACACGACGGAAATTTATTATATTGAAACACGATATTATTACTTAGTAAAATGGGTCTTAAATTCTATCATAACAATCAAATAAATTGCTTTCGATCGAATAATAAATTATTAATAAAATATAATTGTAAAAAAAAAATTATAAAAAAAAATAAATACCGACCTACGTTAATTTTTTATACGCGTGTGTACGATAATTTCGAATCGTTTTTTTTTTTTAATATTTATACTCGTAGACGTAATACGGAAACGAACGATTGCAAATTATATAATATACGCGTATTATTATAATCGTGTCTGGTGCGTCTGGTGCACGTGTTAGTCATCCTGCAGTAAACGAAACTTGTATCCATACAGATAAAAATTATCCCGATAAATACGGTATAAAATATCTATATTTATATAGTACTATCAGCTCTTAGTTAGGGAAATATTTTTTTTTAAAAAAAAGGTATTTTTGAAATTATACCACGCGTTACGCGTATCAAACGCTTATGCGTATATACTAAAGTAAATATTCGGTGAACATTTCACGTTTCTATACGTTTATTTATTACTGGATTACAAAAAAAAAAACACATTTATTTCGATAAAAACGGCGGCGTTTTGTAAATATATTTCAGTTTTTTTTCCGGGAAAGTTCTCTCCATTTATAGAAAAAAATACACGAACTTAGCAAGAAGAAAAATGATCTCAATAAGATCAACGATTCTACAGGAAAGTTTCTGTAGTCTTTGTTCGGAGCACCGGTATTCCGGTCGATCTCCACTGCCCAATCTAAAACAATCGAACAAATTAGTCTGCGTCTTCCGCCAATAAATCTTCACGTATATTTCATTTAATACCGAAGATAATGGGTGTATTTTTTTTTGCCTTTTATATTTATAAAAATGTACATTAATTCAACAAAATAATGTCGAAGAACAAAAGATGGGAAAACATCAAAAAAATCAACCGGGTATTAATTGGAGATACAACAAATGATCACGATTTAATAATTTGTAATCATAATTCAAATAATTATTTACGTATGAAATAGGTACGTCCGAAATAGGCACGTCCCAATAATTTCAGTGGACGTAGAAAGAACAATGTACAGACATATTTTAAGCCCAAACCATCAACGTTCTACTGAAGACAGTTTATCTAAGACCTAAATACAATTTATTTAAGTACAATACACAATGCACATGGTAGTGAATTCTTTTTTTTTAGTACAAATTAGTTAAATCAACTGAAATCTATTTAATTTTTTTATTAAATTTTGTATTTGCTCTTTTGTATAAATCATAAATATATTTTTTTTTTTGCCTTCTTTCACATTTTAAATGCTATTTGTATTGATTATGGTGCCATCAAATCCGAATACTAGTTATAATATTTACGTGTTAAAGGTTCATCACGAGAATTAATATTATTCGTACGTTTTTCAAGGTTAGGTTAGGATAGGTTTGGTTAACACGTTCGGTAATAATTTTTAACGCGTTTATTCAGCGGCCGTCTATGGTTTGTATTTTATACAGAATTTTTTACGAGGTTTATAATACTTGAGAATATCATTATGCAAATTTATCGTAAACGATTTGAACCTTAAATAAATAATAACATAACAATGTATTACGTATGAGTTATCGCGCTAAAAATAACGAAATGAAATGTCGAAATACTCGTAAAAACCCGGCAACGGCCGCAGACTGCATTTTTTATTTTTGATATAATATGGGTAATAATAAACGAAAAGCTTACTATATACGGTGCCATGAATCAGCAAGAGTATATAACTGCAACATTCATATTATTTCGCGTATATAAATATGTATAATAATCAACTGAGAGAATAACGTTTTATTAAACCGCACCCGCGAGGGGTGGCCGTTAAATTTCGTATTTAAAATGCATAAAAACCATTACACACATACACACATTGCACAAATATATTATTATGTTTTAACGACCTGTATATTATTCCTACTCGAATCTGGTTTAATAAATCACGACTGTCTTCTGTATTATAATACATATACAGTAGAAGCCGCTTATTAGTTACACGGATAATTGATACAATCGCATTATTGAAACAAAATGTATTGGGACGAACCAATCGTATATTAAAACACTGAAAATCAATCGGATTATTGAAACAACACATCGGTTATTCGAAACAATTAGGCCACGGTTGATGACAAAATTCGGTTATTTGGTGATAACCAATGTATTGAATTCCACTTGTCCAATTATAATTAATTTTATTTCTATTGTTCTTTATCGTAAGCTACAGTATCTACCGATACCGATATCTTTAGCTTCGACGTGCGTATGTAAAGATGCATGGTATTTATGATGTAATTGTTACCAAAAATATAACCGTTTACAGCAAAGTGAAAGTTTCCGTAAAAACATAAAATTCAATACGCAACGCAGATCAGGAAATTGAAAAGTCATTAGACTTATAGTTAAGTCTGGGCAAGTTAGGCGAATTTTCTGACAAAGGCGGAGTCGCCCCCAATGACCATATTGAGAACTTTTTTCTATTGATATATACGATTTAACCTATCTATATGGTTATAGAAAAAAATTCGAAATAAAACCATAAATACATTATGGAGTGAAAAATTAGTATTAATATTTTAAAATTGCATTTTTTCGTTCTATGGCCACTCTATGATATCTATGTTTGTTAACTAATTGATTTCACCTAGTAAATAAATAAATTACAATAATAACCATATGAAATATCAAATTGCAAAATAAATTTACACAATTAACAAATAAAATAAAAATTAGTAACTATAGCAGGGTGTGGTGGATCTAGAAGAAGGCCAGGGGCACCACCCCTAGACTATAGACTATATACTATACAATTTTTTACTTCCATAAATAATTAATTCTTTAGTGCATATATAATACAAGATTTTTAAAGAAGAAAAGTGGAGTAGAGCAATAAATGTATTGATTGTATTATAAACTATATGATGTATTTTTTTTTCTAATTGTGAAAAAATTCGCCACCATCAATCTTACTCCAAACAAAAAATAAATTCAAATTTGAAAGAAAACCGTACAAATTACAGCATTTAAAAAAAATATTTAACCGAACTTCACTCAGAATTATATTTCGTCAGAAATTTATTGTTGTTTACATACAAATTAAATAATTTCATGAAATTTACAGTTTCAGTTTTGGTATTTTTAAAAATCGATCCATACATTTTGCTTGATTACACACATTATATAATTAATTCATAATATGTAATCGAGTAAAAGGAGCAAAATGTATATTGCTAATATATTATAGTTTAATTAATCTAATGGATAATTTAGATAATTCGGAAGTTAATTTTTTTTATTTTTTGTTTACAATTTGAATAATTGCAGTGAGGAAGTTTATAAATACATAAATTATGTGAACTGCGTTTTGGTGAACATTCACCACGTTCAGACGGTGCCAATAATAAACCAAAACACTGATAGCAAAAACGAAAACAATTATTCGTAAAACTTTTAATTAAAAATTATAGTTGATATAATGTTGTCTGAACGTGTATAATAGACGTATGATAAAAAAAAAAGAACTGTACTGGGGACGGGTACAGCTATTGTTGTAGGTGAGTAGTTTGGAAGGTGGAACACATAATGTTATTTAATTTATACCTGTAATCAACGATAAAACATTGCTAACGAGAAACGATTCGCAGCAAAGTTTGGCTATACATATTTTGTAAGGCCGTAATATTAAAGATTTTTATCAAATTTTGAGTTCAAAACTCCAAAAAAAATTTCAAGCATTTCTGTTGTGTCTAAAAATTATATCCACAAAGTACCTACTACATATAGACATTACGTGAAAAACTCACAAAATTAAAATATTTATAAGTAGCTCAAACGTTTGAAAATTTTACCACATCTACAAAAAACAAATATAATTTTTCTGTCAAAATTTTAACTCTCTACGAATACTTTTAACTGGATTATATTAAAAAACAAAATTGAAAATAATAAAATAATAATTTTCGTACATATTCCCGTGCTTTCAACATATTTTTCGGTTTTGCACAACTATTAAAAAAACTACAAAGGAAATTATTAAACAACTTTCTTACTCATAAACCAGATTAAAAATTCAACAAAAGAGGTTCCACATGTCGTTTTTTGATCAGAGCAATATTTTTGGCAGAAAACATAAGTTGCAAAAATAAAAAAGGTAACGTCACGGCGCGTCTTAAATATTTGTCGTTTTTCCCATAATTTTCTTTTAGGTTTGAAAAAATGACCTATTTAATGCACTAACTAGACAAAATTTCCTTTAAAAAAAAAAAAAATGCTACACATAATTATTTTCTACTCTTTTCGAAAAGTTTTTTATGAACAGAAAAAAAAAATACCACAGTAAAATCCCTAGTTACGCTCTGAATCTAATAATGCCATTATTTTTTTCATATTAGAATAGGTTTGTACTTACTTTGGATTGGACATTTTTATGTTGTTTCACAATCTTATTATTATATTATCAATAATGAGATATGTTAATGTTTTGCCCCCACCTCTCCCATGGAAATTGTTCCCTAGCTATGTGTGACTTCAGCGGAGGGTATACACGTGAACAAGTAGGTGTAAAACACGATTGCTCTACCACACGATTGCAGTTATTATTATACTATTGCTATTAGCCACTATATATAATACAATAATCCGACAGTTTAACGACGCGTTAATTGACCATAACAATGATATATTATAATACGTGGTATATTTGTCAAAAGCTCTACTTAAGAAAAAAAAAAAATTGTTTAAACACATTTTTTTTCGAAATTTATTTCCGAACGACGGAGTATGACGACGGTGGGCGGCCGTCGGTCCGCCGGGGATAGAAACGGAAAACGTAATAATATGTAAAAATTACAATAAAATATTACTATAATAATATTATGTATCGGTAGAGGTCCTCTTCCCCACCCATCCAGACGTAAGTACCTATTATGTACGAAAATTATAATAATAATTATCGTCTCGTGATAATAATAATGTAATATAACGAGTATTTTTATTGTGTTTTACACATTTTCGTAGGTGGACGACTGCTATATACCTATAGCTGCTTGCACGCAGTCACATCAAACAGACGAGGTTTTTTGCCTCTCCTCTGAGCTCTCGCTCTCCTCCTCCAACACCGTCGTCAAATCTCTTTCCAAACGCCCGTATATAAGCGTATAACAGCTAGTTATATATTGTTGTCTATATGTATTATTATTTTTTTTATATTCGAATATGCCCGTGACCGTACATAAAAATTTATCGGACATTGTGTTTGCAACAACAAAAATACAGGAGGCGTTTGAAAAACTCGTAAAATCTGTGATTAACGAGTGAAATCGAAAAATCCATTTCAAAACTACGCGTATTCTGTAATATAAATATAAAGACAAAATAAAAATAAAACTATAGTTTCGGTGACGCCAATTTTGTAGTCTCATTGTGATAAATCTCCCAGCAATTTTTTTTTTTTTTTGGAGGGCGGTGAGTAGATTGGGATTTGGATTAGTGGATAAGTGTTCGAATATTTTAACATTTAAACGTATTATAACATTAAAAACAACAGGGTAGGTGTATAGATGGGCGCCACTAGATGGGTTATGCTATCGTTATTGCAGCAATTATATCTGTATCACTGCTGTGTAACTTCTCCGATCGTGTAAATGAAGAAGAAAATAAGTATGCATATTCATATGTCTTATTTGCTCGCTATAGCCACTAAATAGAATATATTATAGTTAGAATAAAAAAAAATACATTTTAAATCAATAATGCTTTTAAAACAGATATACTAACAGTATATACCTACATATAGAGTTCAGTGGTTGAGTATTGTAAACAAAAAACCGTTTGTCAACGTTTTTATCAAAAATCCGTATATCATGTATCCATTAAAAAGGACAATGGAGAACTAAAACCACACCCCTGAGATCACTGTATTATAAGTGTATTTAAGTATCATTATGGCAAGATGGCATTATGGAAAGAAATCGACCATTTCATCATAATATTCAATAAAATAACGACTATATTATATTATAATATAATAGCTGGCGACGACAATATTACGGGTATGAGATAAGTAAAACATTCGCAAAAAAAAACGTTTATTATACATTTTTCAATTTTTGATTTTAAAGTCATTTTTTGAATATATTATTTTTGTTCAGAGTATTTTTCGACTTTTATGGGACTATACATGATATCTTTAATTATAATATATATATATATATATACAAGTGTTCTCCGATATTTCTACGCAGTGCTCGACTTGAGGAGGAATACATATTTTTGAAATTTTATTAAAATTTGAACTAAAAATTGCTTAATAAAAAAATGATTACCTATTTGCGGTTAGCTTTTTTTGTTTTATCTCTAATTAAAACTCATAATAAATACACCGTGAGTAAAATTTTCGAAGATTATCGCTGAATCAATTTTAAGCACAAAAAACCAAATAAAAACATTATTAAAATCTAAAAAACGCAACAATTTTAAACAGCTATAGAGAGCATACAAATTTCCAGAATATTTAAACGATTTTACCATGTTCGGAAGGGCCTAATAGAAAGTATAACGTGTATGTATTTGATGCAATTTCTGGCCTTTACGATTATTTTTCACTGAATTATAAAACTATAAATATTTGAGTTTTTCCCACTTTTTTTTTATCGGTTTTCTCCTTTATTAAAAAAACTACAAGAAAAATAAAAAAATGACTTCCTCATTGCATCAACTAGATAAAATATTTTGTCATAAACCACTTTTTAAATTAATGATCGGAGTGGGAAGTCTAGTAGAAAAGTTTACAGATCAGACAAAAAAAAGAAAAAAAACACATAATAATATATTATTATGTTCAGTAAAACCAATAAATTCTCAGCTACGCTCAAAAAACTTAGTAATTAAGTAAAACTCAGATTCATATAATGCTATTATTAGAACCTTTTTTTTCATAAATTAAAAGTTATTGAATTATGTTTGAAAACCGGTGTAAGAGAAGTGTGAGAGACGAAACCCTCCACGGGTTAAGTTGCATAATATCCCATTGGCACCTGCCAATTTTGTTTTTTTTATGTGTTTTATATTCTGATTCGAAGGCTGCTTTTACAAGGGGTGGGGGTGGCGTATTTACGAAAAAAAAACATATAAATTCCAAAATGAAAATATTACGACGGTATAGCTAATAAATAATAATAATAATTACGATTTTTAGTGTACATATAATAATATGATGTAAAATAATATGCTCGATAGTTCTTTAAAACTCGAATTCCATACCCCGGCGAAAAAGAAAAATTATTCTGTAAACGATATTTACGATTTAACGATTATAGGTATAAAAAAAAAAACTGATATTTATATCTGCAATTCAGCTTAAGTTCTGAATGTAACGATGACAAATCATTAAAAAAAAAAAAAAAAAAAAAAAAATACTAATTTGAGTAAGCTCATTGGGAGAATATTATTTCAATTGAATTGAAAATATAATATCTTAAAACATTTAAAAAAAAAAAAAAGAAATTGCGACAATTATTTTCACTCCAAACAGTTAAGAACTTAATAGTATTTATTTTTGATTATTTTACGGGGCTAAAATAATGTATTTATTATAAATTACAAATCAAAAAAAAAAAAAAAAAAAATATACCGAACACTTTCAAAATATCAAATAAATCCAAAACATTGGAAGAAAGCTCCTGAAGTTTTCGATTGGAGTAAGACAGCATTAGTAATATATTTTCTAGTCAATAAATTTTAAAACAACTAAAACACAGTGTAGCTCTGCTCAGAATCTATTGACAATTTTTGCATAAGATAATTAATACACGAAATTCCGAGATATTTTTTGGTTTCATTGAAATTTGAACTTTGAAAGCTAATAGCAAGTCTGTGAGTATTTCCATCCAATTTACAACAACAAAAAAAAACCTAAATTGACAATTATCGACGTTATTGCGTAAATATTCTAGGTTTTTCCCGATTACTAAAAAAAACTACGAGGAAAATCAAATGACCAACGTCCAACATTCAATACACCAACCACATACAATTTTGTATCGTAAATCAACTAATCTGAACGATATTTCTGGTGGAAAAGTCGTTTATACTGCAGACCGACTAAAAAACAAAAAACATTATATTATATTCTTTCAAAACACCGACATAGATAGGTTCATTGATCGTAGCCACGCTCGGGATCCGAAACTATTCCGACCTTTCCGCAGATTATGTTTACGAAATAAAATCAAACAAAAAACACGTGGTCGTATTTGAATTTGAATACATTCCAGACGAATAATCGATCGCGTCCAAAGATTAATTATCATTATTTTTCGTTATGATGTTGTGAAATATTCGGTGTGCGTTTGCGCGGCAATTTAACCCTCAGCTGTCTTGCGTGCATATAGTACGACATTGTAATAATATTCCAAACATTTTTAATTTAAATATACGTCCCGGACACACATTGTATTAAATATATACTATAGGTGAATATAATATGTAAATATGTATTATTTACCTACCTATATAGATTAAATCGCGTTTCGGTTTTAAAAAAGCGTAGGTTTTCCAATATATACCGTCGTAATCGTCATCATCGGTGATTTATCTCTTAAACAAACTTGTTTATATTTTCATTTTACAATATTCATACGCGTATAATATAATAGTAATAATAATAATAATAGTAATAATAATAATAATAATAATAATAATAATTATAATAATAATATCATTCATCATCTTCGCGGTCTTTCTGATTGAACAGTTGTGCGTTTTTTTCGTACATATCGAACGGAAATATAATTGTTTGGTATTCCTTGATAATTGGAAATATCAGAGATTTGTACGCAATAACGATTTCTTTTAGTTTCGATTTCGATTTGTTTTTTTTTTTTTTTAATCATTTGGTTAAAGATGATTGAAAAGGCTTGTGTTTTTTTACATGATAATCGCATTAAAACATGGTAAAATGTTCAAAACATTCAAACGATTTATGAATTATTTACGTGCATTTGAAATGTTCTAGTTTTTTTTTTAGTCTTCATTTTGTTTTATGAGAACAAAATCATTTTTATTGACAAAGATTTATCATTGCGTACATCGTATCAAATTAAATTATCCTACCCTCTCAAATTCCAACCTGAAATTGTACAGTGACTCAAACACATCAGCAGTATCGGCTTTTTTTTGTTTTCGAACTATTATAACGCACCGGACAAAAATCGGAAATAATAAAACCTAAATAATAATGTATAATAGTTCATCGGCCGTGCCTATTATAGTATAGTAGTCGTGTTTCGTTATGGATGTAATAAAAATAAAAAATCGACATACACTGCAGTGTGCAACACAGAACTCTTTCTGTATTGCTTAATAAGGTGCAGGTTATAATCGTTATTATATTTTACTGTCTACCGCAAGTACCCATATTGTAATAATACAAGGCTAAGTAAATTTTATGAATAATCGTTATATTTATTATGTCATTATAAAGAAGAGGATTTTTTATACTTAAAACACCTTCATCGGTTTAAATTATTATTTTAGATTCTGAGCGTACCGAGGAATAGGTATATTCTGTCTGCGATCAATTTTTTTACCAGAAAACTCGATCCAATCAAACAACAGTATGAAAGAATTTTTGTTTTTATTTGATTTTCATTAATTATATTGCGGGAAAAACCTGGTAAAAATGTTTAGGAAAAACGGAAATTCGAAAACTATTCATTATTTTTGATTTGATTTATTTTTTCGCAAATAATCGTACGATTATTTTCTAAATGTGGACTTGTAAACATGGTAACATTTTAAAAATATTCAGGAAATTTTTAAACTATTTTAAATATTTTACTTTTTCTAGTTTTTTTTTTTTTTTAGTATATATTTAATTTTAAGTGGATAAAATTGTTTTGGGTAAGCTTTATGAATCCTACATTCATAACTTCTCACCTGCAACTCTGGTACACCCGTCATTTGTCAGTAGTCTCATCTCTTTTTATTTTTTAATTACATTTTCATTAAACAAATCACTTTTCATTCTCAAATATATATTTTTGGAAAAAACAATTTTTTTCCCTTCATACTTATTACCCAAAGCAGATAAGTGAGATATCGTTTTAAAGATTAAGTTTCATGCTTCTGGATAAATCATTAATATTCACTATTGAAAATTGTATATTTGCTTTTCACGCTGTTTTATAGGCTGGTTTTCGGTCATGAAAATAATTAAATTCGGTGAAAATTCGTTGCTAGGAGACATAACTTTGATATTTTAGATTCTGAGTGGAGCGAGGAATGTATTGGTTTTTTTTTTATGTGAATACTTTTTCTACCAGAAAGCATAGTCTGATTCTCAAGTATAGTACATTTTCCGAAAGGAAATATTCTCTGGAAGGTATTTTAAAAAGGCCATTTGTTTTTTTTAATTCTCATTAATTTTTGAAATTAATATTCTAGTGACGATAACCTGGTTCTTTAGGTTGAAAAAGAGTGAAAGATTAAAAATAAAGATGTCATTGGCAACCGTTTATTTATTTTTTGTTATTATTAAGTTTTTATTACTTCAACCATTTTAAAACAATCATTTGTCATGAAAATGCACATTGTTGTATTCATTATACCATAATATGATATATTATGGTATTATTGATATTGTTGACAAAGCAACACTATTAACTGAACTCCACTCAGAATCGCTTTTTCGGAAGTAATGGTTTATCGTTGCTTACAGATATACATTAAATTTCCGTCTGTATCTTACCTTACAAACTTCCCACCTACAAAAGTGGCTGCACCCACGTGCGAAGTATATCCGTCCTTTTTTATATTATGTTTGTTGTTTAATTTGTTTTTACTTTTTTATATTTATATGTAGATTGATCCTCTGCAGGGGGGGTCAATGTTTGTATGCGTGAAGTACATATTCGTATGGCCTTACTAGTTATAATATGTATTATTTAGATATCTACCGAATATTATCATAAAATATTATAGACATATCGCAGTGTGTTTAACAATATATTTTAAATTCATTTGTCCAAATAATTTATCAGAACGAAATTTGAATAACATAATTGAAGTTTTAAACCAAAGTCTTATAATAAACAACAAAAATGTTGATGAATGAACGAGTTATAATAAATATCAGCTACTGAACTAAGTGGTGTATAAAGAGGAGGGAGTCAAAAGGAACATTTGCCCCAGGTGGTAAAAATTAAATGATTTTAGTTGGAAATTTTCAGAGGAAAGATGAAACAAGGTTGAGGATGAAAAAATATAATGGGTGTGTACCTATGTGTATAAATGGGGGGGGGCAATTTTTGCCCAGGAGCGTAAACATGCATGATATACCACTGACTGAACTACTTATTACCTGGTCGAGAACTCACTTAGGTAATATTTGAACGTAACGGTAATACAATGATTATTATAAGTAGAATAATTTATTTTCTTATTATATTATATAGTAATATATAAAACAAATTTAAAAAAAAGAATACGTGAACCTATGTTACCATAAATAATAATACGTTACATATAAAAATGTAAATTTATAATACATTTTATGCAGTATCAGGTTTTGTTATATATATTTATACAACTAACGATTTCACATTATTCGAAAAGAATGAATGAAAAACAATTAACACAATATACAGGGTATTATTATTATGAATTAGTGATTCGTAAGAAAATTTCGAATAAATATGGTTTTTCTTTCATAAATCATAATATATAGATGTTGAATTCACATCAAAACGTTAAAGAGTAGAATTATCTATTTAAACGCGAACTTTCAATAATATAAATCGCTATATAGTTGAAAATCAAAAGTTGAAAGTTTTTAATACATTACAATGTTTACTACAAAGGTTGGAGTATTATGGCAATAATGAAAAGAAGATTGCGAGTTAGTTCAATCGAACGAATAACAAATAACAGTATTCTAAGCGAAGTAAATGAAACCAGAAAGATTAACCAGAACGGTTAAAGTTAGAAATTGGAATATGATTGGACATGCTTAGAGAAACAAAAATGAGTATTTACATAATATTAAAATAAAAGAGAAGATAAAAATGGCAAAAGAACCAAGGACGAACATTATATACCAAAATAATGATTTTAATGCGGGATTAACAAAATACAGAAAATTGAAGAGGCTGGCTGCATTAATAACATAAAGAAGATTTTAGAAAATATGGGAAATCGTCACATTGTATATATTGTACAAGTTTGATACATATTACGTTCGTATAAATATATTATCATTAAGAAAATTTGAACGAAAAAGAAATGACGTACAAACGACCACAAAATACCCGGTAGCTAATATTATATTTTGTATTATTATTAAATCTCGGACAGTAGACAATTACTTTGGGTCACGTATTCGGTTTTAAGAGATAATATTATTTTCTAAAGACAGTAAAGTTTTCTACGTACGCGATAAAAATGCATACAAAATAAGCATGTGTGTCAGTGAGACGCGCGATCCCGTTATAATATATTCTATTTATTAGATAATTATTATCATTGTGTACCTATAGCGTATTTAATAATGATAAAATACAATCACCTCGTGGATAAAACGTTAACTATATAGAATAATAAGTAGCCAGACGTATAGATATTTCGCACCGCGGGTGAGCCGTTAGATTACAGAACGTAGGGAACAATTAGAAATATTGAAATGTTTAATGAAAACTAAATTAAAAAAAAAAAAGACGAACATACTTAGCACGTGGGTGAAGTCACTGTTGTAGGTAAGAAGTTGGAAAGATAGGATACAGAGGGGAATTCAATGTATATCTGTGAGCAACGATAAACCATTGCTTCCTAAATAACGATTCTAAGCGGAGTTCAATTGATGGTAGTGATGCTTTGTTAAAAATATATATGTCATATTATTGTAAAATATTAAATAATTAAATATACATTATATAGGTATTTTCTTCAATAATATTTGTTAAATATTATACTTATTTCCCCATTTTCACTCCGTTTTTTCTTGACTTTTCCCATTTATTGGGAAAACTCCTAAGAAAATCAAAAAACGACCTCCTTAAAGTACCTTCCCAGTCACATTTCCTTTCAGAAAAAGTGCTATCATTGTAAATCGGAGCTAGTAGATAAGTTGTCCACAGGAAAAAAAAATCGTAATATTTTACTAATATATTTAGTTCATTTTCCCGTTTTTTTCTATTTTTTTTCGGTTTTTCATATTTGATGAAAAAATCGAAAAATTACCTCCCTAAAGTAACACCCCAAGAAAATTTCTTTTCAGAAAAGAGTCTATATCGTATACATCGGAGTAGACTTTCTGGTAGAAATTTTGTGCACAGTATTTAAAAAAAGAAAAAATAAACATTTTTGAAAAACCAATACATTCTTCACTACACTGAGAATCTAAAATATAAAATTGAACACCTAAGTTTGTTAGGTTTATATTTTTCTCGGTGATCTTTAAAACTTAACGAATTGAAATTGATTTTTTCCCGATGATCTTAAACATCACGCAGAACAAATTGACAAACCACCCGAAAATATATTTCAAAATTGAGTTTTAAACACCGCTCGTACTTTTATAAAATGCTAGAGAAAAAATCGTATTTTAAGCATCATCCTCATATACTCATCTTAATGGCTAATACCTAAAATTGATATTTTAAACGAAGTGCGCAGCAATATAATCACGTGAGTATATAAATTCCACTTCCCACCGTCAGAGATAAATAATATTGTACATTTGTATGCTTAAAAAATTCGCCATCATAAAAATAAGTTAGCGCGTATATATTATATAATAACGCTGACCGTCGTCGTCGTACCATTAAAACTTATTAAACTCCAATTATCGTATACTTATAGTTCATCACATATATTCATATAATATTATTGTGATAAGTCGAATAATAATTATTACAATTGCAGTTAAATTAAAAATCGAGACAGTAGTCGCGACTAGCAACTGACTTATTTAATTAAGACAACACGAACATTTTTTTTTTTTTTTAATAATAATACAATTATTATTTATACGCGAATTATTATTATTATTATTATTATTCGAGAAGGACACGTTTGCAACGGTTCGCATTTGCTCGACTTCGGCTATATAATGTAAAGAGTGGGCTTTATTGTTTAACTTAGCGAAAATGTATTTGCTTTTCGGCGTATTGCTTTTTACTATTGTTATTATGTACCTATACGTTATGTACACACTCGTAATAATATTATCGAACTTACGCGGGTTCGTGACTTAAAGATTTATAGGAACTACCTACACAGTATAGAAAAAAAAAAAGAAACCATTCTCACTCTCACGACTTTTTCGTTTACTCTTTCCCTCCGCCTCCCCTTTCAAACGTATTCATATATACTCACCAAGGAGAAAAATCCGTTAGTGCACCCCCCTCCGGTAGGTCGAAAGAACGGATAAACATAATATAGCGGGTGTTTCGTAATAATTAATTAATCGACTGCAATCTCGAACCTTTTTTTTTTTTGCATGCTATTAAAAGATAATATACACGAAGATCCGACACCTGAATAACTTTTGTTCTATTCAATATTTTAGGATTTTTTTCCTCTGATAATTTCTAGAGCTATGATTCAGATATTCGTGTTACAGCTTGTGTACCTGCATTTACTATACGAATCTAATGGGCAAGACAATAACATATCAAAATTACGTTATTATATTATTTGAACGGAAATTTTGGGGTTTAGGTTGAAATTAGAGTTTAAACACAAATAATAAAATGTCAAGATGGTTTCGAAAACTGTACATATAGATATTTTCTTAATACTTATAAACAAAAAGTGTTACAGCTATTTAAAAAAAAAAAACCTAAAATTAACATAGCTACATTATTTTGTTAATCAGCGTTCTCTTAACTCGACAAAAGCATAATATTGTTCATATTATACTACCTACATCAAAATCTACTTTCTATCCGTTTATCTATTTGTCAATTCGATTAATAATAATTCCAGACATCTAAAGAATAAAAAAAAAAATGAGATGACAATATTATTGTACACACGTCATAAGAAACTAGAGACACGAATCCGTATATCAGATATCCAAAAATAACTTATAACCAACCAGTTGTATGAATATTTTTATGTAATATACAAATATATTTTTTCTATTATATTTTAAGTACTAGTTTAATGCAATTTTAACGTCTATAAAGTGCATTAAAACCGAAATATACACAACCAATTAACGGCTAAAACCGATGTACCAATATATTCTTGTCCTGCGGGTTTTATCATTAAAAACTTTGGCGGTAAACATTATTATAATTATTATACGAGTATGTATAGGTAATTATTTATATTATCGAATTGAATAGGTACCTAATTCGTAAACAGCCATCGCTACAAAAACGTATATAAATAAAACGAGTATTATTATTATGAGGTTATTTCATGAAACATTGAAGATATTTGAAAATGTCCAAATTAATAGTACTTTGAGAATAAATGTTACCAACATATTACTATTTAAGGTATTTTTGTTTTTATTTTAATTATATATAGACTATTATGATAACAACAACAATATAATAACTTTACCTACTCGTGTTGTAAGTGGAGTAGTTATTATTTGCCGGTGACTCGGTGAAGAAATGAAAAAAAAAATAAGTTGGGAAAGTAAAAGATACATTATAGAGTAATTTAATTTATTTTATATCTATACTGCACGACGATAAATCGTTGCTAACGAAATACTATTCTAAACGATGCACGTTGTTCGGTTAAACACATTTTGAAATATTGCAATTTTCTTTTAAACGCTAATAAAAAAAAACTACATAACATTAAATTCCCCCCCTTACCCATCTAAGTGCATACAGCTGTTAAAGTTTCTAGTATTTTTGTCAAGACGTTGGAGAAATGTATGTTATAAATAGCTCAAAAGTCACCAGAATATTTGAATATACTATCGGGTCTAGAATAGTAGTGATCCAGGGTTTAATTTTTGGGGGGGCCTCTTTAAAACAATTACTACTAAACCAAAAAAAGAAGTGATATATGAACATGAGTGCAGCCCCTGTTTTAGGTGGAAAGTTAGACATATAAAGTAATTTAATTTATATCTATAAGTACCTAGTAAACCATTGATCATTTTTTTTTTGATTGCAATAAGTTTACTGGTGGAAAATTTGTTCACAGGTAGAAAAAAAATAATTAAAAATACATCATAATACAATCAATATATTCATTGCTCCTCTCCGCTTTTCTTTCTAAAAAATTTCGTATTATATTATATGCGTTAAACAATGAATTATTTGCGAAAGTAAAAACTTTGTGTAGTCTATAGTCTGGGTGGGACGATACCCCTGAGCCCACCCCCCCTTGGATCCACTACTGGTCTAGAAAATACTGATATATGAATCTATTCAGCGATCATTTTTGTAGGAAAAATTGTTAACAAACTGCAACAAAAAACAAAAGACGCATCTTAGTAAAACTAATAACTTCTTCACTACACACACTGCTGTAATCTAACAAATCAAAATGATCAAAATCAATTGGCGCGCAAACGAAATACGAATCGTTTCCGGTAAAATTTCGCAAAAGGTTAGTATGTTTTTTTTAAAAATTAAATTCATGTCTCGATGTCTCCGCTGTGAAGTAGTTACATATTGGCGAACGCATAACATAAAAGCAACGTAGTCGGTGTTTTTATCATCTCACGTGCAGCTGCTGCGCCAATTCTCTTCGCCGTCATCAACGATATCTTCGAGCGTATACTCGGCTGTCGGATTACTCGGATCTATTGTTGTGGGCACCAAATCGGCATTGATAATATTATAATATGTATTACTGCAGTCTGCAAAGTGACCTTGATTCGAATATAATTATTCTTCGTTCCTAAGATATTTTTTATCTATATAAACTGCTCGCCATGCCATTTGGCGGCGACGTTCTTTTGTATAATGACATAGGTATATAAACAGGTAGAGGGACCTGCAGGTACGCAGTATACACACGTTATAAATACGTACTCATAACAGATTGATCGATGTTATTTATGCAATTATTGCACTTAGTAATATCTACGACTGATGACGATTAATCAAAATGTTACCACAAGGATTATTATAAATTATAATTACTGTTCATGAACTCGTGCACGAACGAGATTTAAGTACGTGGTCAACGCTACAAATTGTTATCTCGTTATTCAAAGATTTTTAAAAAACTGTGCGTTATGTCTTCATAAAGTTTTCAAAGTTCGAGTGTTGCAAAAAAAAAAATTATACAAACAATCGAAAAATACGAAATAGTTTTTTTAGTTTTTTAGTTTAGTATTCAGTTTCGATTTTGTTACGCGTATAGAATTATGTATCCAATTAAATGGGTGCACTCATTATCTCGAAAAATATTAATTTCTTTCAGAATTTGTTTTATAGAACTTTTAAGAAACAAAAAGCTCCACAATTTTACATTTATGTTATTTTTTGTCACCCTTATATTTAGGGGTAAATTACATCCAAAGTTTTGATCTTCAAATGACAACCTACATTAAAATATCCATAAATAGATCGGAAGTATTAGTTAAAATAAATTTGAATGTTGAAATTTTTTATTCCTGTGAAGCCTTTGACGAGATATCTTACTTTAGTTTAGATTGGAGGAGAGTATTGGTGCATTATTAACATGCCACGAGCCTCTACTACTCTCCTCCAACCTATCAGTTGTACATATTTTAAAATTATGATTCGATTATGAAAACTACATGAAAAATCAAAAAATGACCTCCCTAAAGTACCAACCAGATAAAATCCCATTACAGAAAAGGTGCTACATTTGATACAATCGGCAAGATTTCTGGCAGAAATTTTGTACACAGTATAAAAAAGCAAAATGAAAAAAAAATATCATTGGAAAACCAGTATATTGATCGTTCCGCTCATAATCTAAAATAATCACTATATATTTTTATCATTAACGCATTTATAGAGAATTCATATTGATAGTTGTATCAATATACGAGTAATGAGTATATTACTGAAATGTGTACAACCGTCTAGCTAGTAGGATTAGAAATTGTTGTATATAATAATGTATTACCTATAAATTATGAAAAATATTAATAATGCGTCTGGAAATCCAGACGGCGTTGACGCACTTGTACAATTTTATTTGTCATATCTATTGTTCGCGATAAGACACACACACATCATGACGTCAACGGCGGAAAACAAATAAAAATATTATTAATAACACTTATAACAATAATAATAAAAATAAAAGTTCTCTGTCAAGAAAATAACTGTAGAACGCAAGTCAATACTCGAGTTTGTATTTGTATTGTATGTATATTGTGTAGTGTATACGCAAGGTGATTCATTTCTCATGAACCAGCAGTTTTATCGGACGATTTTAAGTGAATTTGATTTATGTTTAAATTTAAAACCATTATGGTTCAAGCTGCATTTCACACTATTTTCAATTTTTTACGACTACTCCTTAGACTTTGAACAAGTGTAAACATTTGATTTCCAATCAAGAGAATATTTATCTAAACGTGGTAATACCTATGCATAATAATACTATTATATAAGATTAACTGTTTATGAGTTATATAATAAATAAAATTTAGACCGGATGATTAAGAAAAGTTGATGAATTTGTCATCTAAAAATGCTTAAACGGAACATTCAACATTATATAATATTATGAAAATAAGTTTTAGAAAAATATTTTTATTCAAATCTGTGTTTAAAAGGGGAAGAGGTTCCCGTTTAAAGATCTAAAGCTTATACTGTACAGTCATTGTAATAGTAAAAAAGTTGAAAATTAAATTTAAAAATACACGATTTAAAAGAATCAGTAATAACGATCGAGAAAAATTAATTGCTGGTTTACGATTAACGGATGACTCTGTATACATTATTATATTATACGAGTTGCCTATACTACCACAAAAAGCGTCTGCGAGTGTTAGGTACTTTATTACCAAACATTTATACCAGACGTGTTATATATATTATTATGCTCTGTGAAGAGACGCTAATGATTTATACGGACGATAAATAAGCATCTATTAATGTTATTAAAAAAAAAGAAAAAACAAGTATGTTCCTCGACACCATTTGCGCCGGCACCGGCATCGCCACTGCGCCACCCCGGTAACAAATTATTATTCATTTAGGTACAATAATGTAATAATAATTCTATTTTTTTTTTTTTTTAATTCATTACAATAAACACCAGTTAATATAAAAAAAAATATGTATATGTACCTATATATTATATTCCCAAGACACGGATTTTCGTGATAAAAATGTGTGTGTGTGTGTGTGTTTACACGCGTTTTGTAAACCCAAGCACAGGTCTACGTATATCAATAAATTAAACACGAAGTATAATAAGTCGTTGTTGTTGTGGTTGATTTTCAAATGAGCATACTCTTTTTTCTCACGTGTTATAAGAATGAATATGATATAGGTATAGGTATACTAATCGTAAACGGACGAGATACATTTTCACTCAAAATAAAGGTTCTTAAAATAAACAAATCGGGTTATTCAATAGATTATAGAAGCTTGTGTATCGATAATTACCATTATTAACTAAATCGACTATCGAATTGCTTCCATAATGTTATTTACTAAAAAATACATCAAAATGAGGCGACAAGTCGCAAAAACTAAGACAACATCATCGTCTTTTCGTTATACATTTATTTTTTTTAAACAACGACGAAAATAGATCTTTAATATTTAGGTTAGTCGAAATTAAATTGAAATGAAAGCGATAGTTTAGTGTGTTATCGGTGATGATCATAGTATTATCTTTGTTACGTTCAAAACCGTAAAATTTATCAATTTGTTGTGTTGCAAAGTATGTTGCGATAGTTTTAGGGAATTTAATGTGTTTCAGTTGGTGGTTTATTTCCTTGGAAAAAATTTGAAGAGTCGAAACGAAAATAATCACATATTATAATGTCGCAGACTATTATCTGACCGATTTTCACGTTATTTTTCGTAAAATAGTCTGAGTTGTCTAGCGAAGGTTCATCTTTAGAAATCCACTCCCTATTAAAAACAACTTCCCAAAATTCCGTCTTTAGGTATTTTAAGTATAAAAATCAAATTATTTTTGTTGGTTTATATTTTATGGGTTGCCTAGGTTACATTTTTACTTCACCGAATCTGGAATATCCATTTTTTTTGTTTAATAGTGGCACAGAAAACGCCGGGCTATAATACTATGTATATTTTAATCTCTGCACAAAAACAGTCAGTAATTAAATGACGATATTTTATAAATCTTGGGCTCTGGGTAGCTCCCGAACACAAGTACGAGGGGAGAGGGAGAAGCCGGCCTAGCAGCCATGGTCAGGCTGTCACTAAACATAGGGGTTTAATTAAATATTTCCATTTATATTGTATATTTTATATACAATTGACAATTTAAGAGTTTATCAATTTAGAAAACAAAATGGTACCAACTGCCGTGGACTTGTTTGTTCGTTCTTAAAATATAATGATTTTTTTTTTTTATTATAAAAATAATCTGGGAAAACAGTTTTTTAATAAGTCGAATAATTGACGACGCGCAAAGATACCGACTGATAATTGTGAAAAAACAATCAGGAGGGAGGAAAACGACTTATCAGTTACCACACCCTCATTGACCATTGTTCTATTAAACTGTGCGACATTTGTGTCTTCTAGTATTATATAGGGTTATAAAAAAAATAGTTTGATCATAATTATAATAATATAACAATTGAACAAATGTAAGTTCTTCATACAAAATTAATAGGAATTGTTTATTTTCATTTTTTCTAAAAACGAATAAGAAATTTATAAATATCTTCACTTTACAGAACGTGTTTTAGTTTAATTTTCGAACGTTTAAAACGCATCGCGGCCCTAAGTATATACAAGAGGGAAATTCACTACGAGAAACCGTTTGTCCGTGTCTACGAGTAAACCCCACGCGCGTCAGATTCAACTGTGGGTCGCGGACAGATAAACAGACGTCAGACACTTCCTTTTATTACTTACGGAAGGTGTGTGTTCAGACACGTAGCCAGGGAGGAGGGTCCATGGGCAAGGCCTGATTGATGAGTTAAAGAAGAACGCATTCGAGTTTTTATATGTTTAAGTGCGGAAATGATACATAATATTATTAAATACAAAACTGTTAAAATTTTGATACATAATTATAACTAATAAACACTCAACCGTATATCTACCAAAAATATAAAAGTGTACTATTTTTTTAATTATAGAATGTGACGCGGCCTTCGGAATCTGAAAGCCCTGTGTTTAAACTTCACGTGCGCATGCGTAAATCAGGGCCTTTCCGTGGGGTCTGAACTCCCCACGAAATTTAAGCTTCTCATCAAAAAAAAAAAAATGTTCACATTACTTGTTGGCGCCGCCGGTAATCAGTCAAAAGGACCCAGACTTGCCGCGGTTTCGATCGCAGCGACATAGAAGATCGCGACGGCGGCGGCAGTGTCGACTATAATAACAATAATAATAAAAAAAAAAAAGTAATAATCGCCAACGGCTGCGGTCTCGGCGCGCAGAGGAATACCGTTAACGGCACGTCCGGGCAAGGTCATCCGATTTACGCGTTCGCGCGTGTTTTTCTGTCTGTAAAAATATTTTTATTTTTTTCTCATATGTATATATATTATATAAAATAAACGGCGAAAAATCAGAATACAGTCTCTGCGGCTTATTTTCATTTTTTCTATTTTTATTGTATCCCGTCGGCGAGATAGGTACCTACCTACTTATTGATGCGAGAGTCGTGGATATTATTATAGTATAATAATAACAATAATAACAAAGAAGGGAAATGTAAAATAAAAAATCGCGCGGAAACATAATAAATAAATTGAATACACACACATACAAAGACACATCAACATAGGTACTTACCTACAATTGTAATTGCGTAATGATATGTCTAGGAGTGTCTACGTCATCGTCGTCTGCTATGACGAGTCGATACGACGTTTTGCTGTACCTATAGGTAACTTCAAAGAAATATGACTCTGTACGATTACGATTGTTTCATTCGTTACAATATTTTATAGGTACCTACGTTTTAAGAATAAAACTACAATAATATTACGACAATACTTGATAATGTAATATAACAGCGATGATTAATAAATTACCGAGCCGCGCAATGCGTGTATACAAAACCAGAATCTGGCAGTATATACGATACAAGTATCTTAAGTATGTATTTATTTTGGATCGCGATACAGTTTTGGAAAGTATCGATTATCTTGTATTGTAATACTAAAATGTCTGTCTCCTCAACTATCCACCAAATAGCATTATTTCTCATTCAATATCGGTTCACTATTTTCTCTCTTAGTACAGTAGGTTTCATTAATATGTCAATGATTCCCATCTGTTTCTAACATAATATCATTATTTTGGAATTGCAGTTTATTCCGCTCAAAAATTAAATAAATATAATAATACGATAAGACGAGTAGAGCTTGCAATCAAATTCATGTTCGGTGCTAAAATTTATTTTTCATGATTTTTACGTCAAAGTTTGAATTACAGACGGATATACAATTGCAAATTTGAAAATGTCAAACAGTCTACAAATAAATAAACATACGATACATACATACATACAATTTTCAATGTTTGTTGTCGTTTTTAATTAAAAAAATCTGTGTGATGGTAATATAATTAAACGATTTATAATCGTATAATAAACCTGTGGTAAATATTTCCCGGTGACTTAATTTGTTTATCGTTTCGATTATAAAAATATCTGATGTATTATGTTTTCATTAAAATTCCTATCTATATAAATTTATTATGAAAAATAAAAACATATTTTATCTAAAATCTACGAAAAACGTATAAGACTAGATGTTGTCTATACGTGACTATTAGACGGTACAATAACAAATTAAAAACAAATCTCACTTTTAAAACAAGAATAAATTACCGTAGTCGATTATGTTTTATACATATCCATATATTTTCTTGGTTTATAGTTCATGAATGCCTTTTACCGCTTTCACCAATTCTCTCTAATGTTCCCGATCATCCGCATTTTCAATTCTCGTCATTCCCAGGCTTTCCAAATCTTTTTTTACTCTACTATTAGCTATCGCTGACGGGGTCTACCTCTTGGACTCGTTCCGTTGAGTTTATTGATTGATACCATATGCATTAGTACATTTTTTGCTCGTCGACCGTCATATATGGCTAGCCTATTGTAGTCTTTCACAAATTTTTGTATGTTCGTCCTTCTGAAAATGCTTTTCTTTCCAAACTTTCTGCATCCGGATTTATTATACCATACATGAATATTTGGTACTTTAAAATAATTTTATTTTCATATTATTATGTACTAAATTGGTTTAGGTTGCAGAAATAAAATAAACTAGGACAATTGATACCGGTAAGCGTTGCACTAAATATTTATAAATGTTATTAGATTTATAATTTTCGAATTGAGTATTTATTCCACATCGGCCGTTTGATATTTTCTTTTATTTATAAACAATATTTAATGTAACGTAAAGATATTGCATATTATTATGGTGATTGTTCGATAAGTATCAAAACCGAAGAATCAAAACCTGGTTTAAAAGCCGCAAAAACCGAGAAAAAATCGATAAGGAGATCGACCATCCGAAACCAGGAACTAGAATGATGCGTGAACTCGCTATCAACCCACAAACCGAAACCCAGGTTATCTTTATTTTATTATTACTTCATTTTAGTAATTGTATAGCTTAAGCTAGGTTTAAGTTTAAGTGTTTAATTTAAAACAACTGTTCCTATTGTACCATAATAAGAAATATGGTTATTATTAGACAGGATTTTTATGTAACTACATTTTTTTACTGCGACTCTATAAGTATGCAGCTCTAATTTCGAAAGTTTTCTTTACGGAACCTAAAATAGAAAACCCGTTTTCAACCCGAAATCCGGAAAAAATGGAAAGAAATTGATTATGGTTTAACATATAAGTTTGTGGGAGAAAAAAATGAAAACTAGAAAAATAGTAATATGAATAAATTATAATTTCAACAACGCAAAATACAAATAAAATATGGCATGTGAAAAATGATTACGAAAAATATCCTTACTAAAATTTGCAGTACTCGTAAACTTGTACATTCAATTTGCATTATAAGATAAATGTACAAACTTAACAATACAAAAAATATAATATCTGCAACGTGTCCTATGAAAGATGAACGCTTTATACAAACCTTTTTTAAATTTTAGCAGATTTAACGATACCCTATATTAAACAGCATTTAACAACCTGCAGCGGTAAAGCTTTAAAAAATGGTTTTAAAGCCATTTGGCGACGTCACCAAACACGAGATTAAAAACATAATAATATCGCAATGTTATCGTCGGGTCATGTCGTTTAGAATTTAGACCTGTTTTTATGCGCATTCCATAGGATTACATTGAACAAAGCGAATAATGAAAAATATAGACAACAATATTATTTTTTACTATACACACGTTATTTTTAATACATTTTAATAAAGATTTTTTTTCCATAATGAAAAAAATATAGAAAAAAACAATGAGTAAGTATTGCCTATTTATAAATTAGTCTAGCTCAAAGTGCATATAATATCATCAAAACTAAACGAAAAATTGAAAGAAAAAGTTGAGTAGGGAAGGATAAATAAAGTATGATTTAATTTGTATTTGTACACAACGATATGCACTGCTAACGAAAAACGATCCTGAACAGAGTTCGGTTAAACATGTATGATTAACTTCAATTGAAAATTGTATAACGATTAATTTATGACTACAAAACACATCACCATTTTCCGTGTTTTTTCATCTCAAATTGATCAGAATTTTTAATGAAGCCAAAAATTTCTATCCATATAAATAAAAGAATGGCATACGCAAAAGGCCGTATTTTCTACGGTTTACGTGAAATTTGAACTTTTAACACTTATAGTATGAATTTGTGAGCACGGATTTTTGTTATTTTTACAGTGTTATAGAATCAACCTATGATAAACCTAGTGTACAAATAACGAGTATTTATGAGAAACTGAACAAATTTTATCCACATAAAACACAAATAAAACTTAAAAAAAAACTAAACAATTTTAAAAATAGCTTAAAAGTCTCAGAATGTCTCAGAATGAACAAAACAGAAACCCGTTTTATTGCGTACATTCTTATTTCCAACACTTTTTCCCAATTGATAAAATAACTATAAGAAGCATCCAAAATTAACCTTCTCAATTAACTAACGAAAATGTCCTACAAGAATTTACCCTTAAAATTTGCGATCGGGGCAAGATTTCCAATAGAACAGTTTTTAACAAAAAAAAAAAACGTACATCACAGTAAAACCAATACACACAACAACACTTAAATTAAAGTAGAATAAGTGCGAATTAAATAATAACAGAGAAAAAAATAAATAAGTAACGACCATTAACCGCTATTTAAATTGCAATTTAAGGTAATAACTCATATTCTTTCATCGCATAATTATTTTGTAAAATTGAAAAAAAATTAACGATAATGATTATATTAATAATATATTATACGATTTAAAAATAAATTATAAAATTATTACTTATCATATTATTGCCAAGGTTCATTATATACGTTAGGTGCTATTAAAATTGTGTAATAAATTTGTAAACAATGATTTACTGCTGCAGCAGTGCAATAGTATAAATAATTATACTAATTATAACGCGATTTTCTATGTTATTAAGTTTTTTTTTTTTTTTGTTAACAACTATTTAATAAAAACTTTACTTCATATTATTGTTGTACGTTTTCCACATAATATTTAAAATTATAGTCTGAACATAGAAATACCTATTATGATTATATTAGCGATAACTATACATAATAATATCTTATAATAATAAATAAAAAAAAAAATTACTATGAATTTTCTATTTTTTTTTTCGCAACAAAAACTACTTATGAGGAACTTTGTATCAAATTTTCGAATAATATTATTATAACAGCATACAAAAAAAAATAATTACAATTAGCTTTATTAGCTAAATAACTTAAAAACACACAAATATTTTAAAAATTATATCACCACATCTAGAAAGGATTAATATAATAATTATTCTATACAAATATCACGTCACTGCAATAATTATTATCCAAATTACAACAAAAAACAAATTAAAAAATAACGGATCAACGTGCAATGTAAATAGTTTTTCTTCTACGGTTTTTCCTGGTTTTTCTCAATTATTAAGAAAAATAAAAAAATGGTCGTTTTAATACACTAATAAAACAAAATTTTCATCCAGAAAGATACTATATTTGAAGATCGAAATAAGATTTGATGGTAAACAAATTTTTTAGAACCGAAAAAACAAATCAACACTGCGTCATAGTAAAACCAAAATAATCCACGTTGCGCTCAGAATCTGAAGGGAAAAAAAACGAGCACAGAATCACTCAAATTCTTAAATTCGCCGGGTACGGCGATTAATGAATGGAGTTTCTTACTGTAATATTGTTCGAAAAATCTATAATAAACACTTGGATCTATAACGCCGATAATTATTGCTATTATTCATTATGACCTAGAAAAAAAAAAAAACTATGGGTACATTTTCAATATTTAAAACATTTTCATTCGTTATTTTGTGCGCTGTAATTGTTTTGTTTTGTTTTTTTGTCTTTTTATCTAAAACTCGCACACTAAAATATTTTCTCATTTCAAACAAATTTATTTTGCACTCATTGAAAAATTACCACTATTTACTAATAAGCAGTAGATACTGAAATAAACGTTGAAAATGTACGAAATCCCAAAATATGTAAAATAAAATTTTTATTCACAGAATCGTTGTAAAGTCACATAAATATAGTTTGATGTACAAAACGATACATTTTTTGTAACCTAACCGCGATATTTTGTTTACAGAAATCAATCCAAAGCGGACAAAATTATTATTATTATTTTTTTTTTTTAACTCTGTTTGGTATTTACACGAATCTTTTACAATTTTATTCCGACCTCAACGGTATATGAATATAACTTTACCTTCAAAACAAAGGGTCGAAGGTGGCTGCCTACTTTTTTATCTCCGAATTAAACTTCTAAATTTACACACGATAACTCAATATTTAAAATGTATATGTTCATTTTCCTGTACATAAAAAAAAAAAAATCATAAATCTATTAGGGACACGAAGGGACAGAACCGAACCATTATACTGGATATAAATAAACAATATAAATAAACTAAATTTTTTTTGATTTTAGAAATTAAAAAAATTTGATATAGGTAACTCGTTGACAAGAAACCTGCAATTTGCAGTATGTATTGACGCTATTATTACTACTGCGGTTGTAATTTGTTTTGTGACTACACAGATACTACAGTTATTGCAAATGATAATAATACATATCTTAATAATATAATATCTATTTGCATGCGAAACATACACACTTTTTTTTTTGTCAGGGGTAGGAAAAGTGTTGGAAGTTATTCATGACATCTATATGGTATCCATTAAAATTATTAAAACCTGACACCTATATGATTAGTACGTATTACATAAAACTAAATAACCTATAATAATACAACATTTTGGCCGCTTAGAATATTTTGTCCCACGATGCGACGCAGCATAGCATTTCGGAACAATACACTCGTACGACATTGTTACAGGTATTTTTATTTATATGACAATTGATAAAACTCCGCGATCAATGACTCTACGAAAAGCGAAATCTCAAGTTTAAATTTGTCTAAAATTTGACGTTTCTTGCGTTAAAACTATTTAAGTCGACGGTCCGTATTTTTTAGAGTATTTTATCTGATAGTAATTATATTGTTGCTATATTATACAGAAAAATACCTTAAACATACTCAAGAGTATTTGGTGCCAGCAAGGTATTTGGCTCGAAAACACGTCTTACGGGAAAAATTCATGACTTCGTCGTATGGTCCGATTTGACGATTGTTTTTTATTTTTGGAAATAAGAAGGACTTTCTACAACCCGCATCATTGAACTCCGTCTTTCAATAGATTAATCTCAGACTTTAATAACGTGTCTTTAAAAAAAAATAATAAAAGTCGATTTTAAAATTTTTATTGACCGACTTTGTTATACCGTCTTATTTGAAATCTTATAAAAAAATCGGAATTCAATGCGGGCTGTATAATGTATTGTTTACGATTGTTTACGTATTAACTAAAAATGGCGAAACAAATATTTAATCAACGTCGAATTAAAACGGCCGTCCCCCTTAAATTTGTTAGTGGAAAAGTCCTATGTCGTCAAAACGTTAAAAAGAATATTCACATTTTACGAAAATCGGAAAAATGCGAAAAATCGACATCGGGCTCCTTTTAAAAATATCCGTATAACCATGACGCTGTACCATAATAAGTCCCTAATATAATTATCGTGCACAAGACTTACCCAATACCGAGTCTAAGCTGCAGCACACGTGTAGGACAGCGTAGAACAAAAAGTATTTGGGTTTCCAAGCCACCGGGTACATGCTCTTCATGGAGGCCACGCAGCGGATCGCAGTCATAGAGTGAACGTGACGTTTCGCGATGAATTGAGGACAACGGTACGACCACTCTGACGCCGATGTGCATGAATCACCATTTTCAAAACGGTCGTCGTCTATAAAAAAAAATAAAAAAAATAAATAGATACAATAAAAATATAATTATTATAATGTATAATAAACTACGATATTATTGTATTATAAACGAGAGTTCACCGTCGTCGTGTTAAAAATACGAAATTTTTACACGGGCATAAAACTAAACGTTCTGCGTTTAAGTGGTTTTCTGTTTTTCGTTTTACTAGAGACTACTATCGCAAAACACGATGCTCGAGGTAGATAGGTATTATTTATGGATTTTTTTGTTTTGTTTTTATTTCCGAAAACTATACAGCACGCGTGATTTTGTACGACATCGTATTTTATTTCGGAAAACATAAATATGGGTACTACACGTTACTGCAGGACATCGGAATAAATGTATTATTTTTCGTCAAGCTTTTATTTTTCTGGTGAGTACGGCGGACCGGCCGTCAAAATAGGTAACAAATTCGCGGCGGAGATGAGATCAAAATGATTATAAGTATAGGCGGATACGAGTTTTTTTTTTTTTCTAAATCGCTGGTCATGTATATTATATTATAATCTACACGAGGCGATATAATTTAACGTCGTTTGTCTGAAAAAAAAAATATGTCTATTTTCCACCCACGTACGTAAATTTAATATGCGTGCACGGGCAAATGCGCTTTTCAGCCTCGACACAGCCTACAGGGTATCGCAACAGTCACTACCAATTATTATCGCTGCTGAGACGGCTAACCAAAAGTAGGCGGAGGCAACCGTTCCACTTGGAACCGCACCAACGCGGTTGTGATTCGTCGGGCCGGCCCGTGTTCGCGGAGAAACGGTCGTCGTCCAGACGGATACCCTACTCGTCGCCGCGGTATAATACGCAACAATACGGCTATTACTGCAAATACCCGTATTAAACCCTGTACGCGGTTAAAGGAATTTCCTTTTGACCGTATACCGGGTATCGGGTCGCACCGGGCTCCGAAGAGCGGCGTCTCGGACGTGGCCGTGGCCGGCGGAAAATGTCTGGCCACGGTTTCTCCATCCCCCAGCCCCGCCCCATATTAAATAGACTTAAGGCCGTTCTCGCCGACGCGGCCGTTGCAGACTTTCGACGCCCGGAGTTCGCAAGACGGCCGACCGATCGCGGTCGATTACCGGTGCCAAAATCTCTGTTCGCAAGTCGGATAATAAAACGAGACAGTTTTTGTTGACGCGTACGGCCCTGCAAACGTCCATTCAATAAGGTTCAACGGATTGCCGGCGGTGCGCGAAATATTTCAACGTGCGGACGCAGGACGCGCGTTTTAAAATCGCCAAGCGCTGCAATACACGGGAAAATCGAAAAGCCGCACAGACACGAGTGCCGACGGACCGTGATTTTCAGTCGCGACGTCTTAAAAATTCTCAAATACCGCCGCCCGTACCTATTTGGATAGTTTTTTTGTTTTCCTTTGTAACGGTCTTTACGCGACCATATAAAAAGACGGCCCGCTACGTCGTATGAAACGCGAAACTTTATCGCGAAAATAAATACCGTACACGCGCTTGTACCGATTCGGCTGGATCGCGCGCGCGTAATGTACATTATTTTTATGCATAAAACGATTGGAAAAAAAAAAAATAAGAAAAACATAATTATAAATAAACGTTCACGTTACCGATATACCCGTGGAAAACGCGCGCGCAAAACGAATTTTCGAAATATTCACGCGGATTTCGTTATCGCCGACGCGTACGTCCCATGAAAAAAAAAAAAAAATCCCAAATGACATTTGAATTCGTTTGTATTTGCGATCTCGAATTCGGTACGCTGCCGGTAAACGAGCGCCGCGGTACGAGTTATTTATCGAGGTTTCTAGTTGTTTCATCGATTTTCATCCTCCGAAACAAACCATTGGCCGACGCGTGATATACAATGAGTTTTATTCGTTTATATTACAATAATATATATTATATTGTTCGCGAACGATAATATTCTGGAGAAACATCCTGGAGAAAACCGACAACACAAAAAAACAATTCGTTAAAAATTTCGCTACAAAAAATTAGTTAGAAAATTAGAAAAGCACCCGAGAATAGATAATAGATAATAATAAACTTACAGTGTTTAAATGATTTTTTTTAAAAAAAAGGGGGGGGGAAATAACTGTAAAAAGTGTCGATTAATATTTTCAAAGTTATACGAAAAACGACGAAAACGAAATGTGGTACTCTGTTTAAAAAAAAAATATAATGATAATAATAATAATAGTAAAACCGTTTATAATATTTCACACCTACCGAAAATTCAAATTTTTTTTATTTATATTTTTTCGATTCAAAAAAAATATAATGTTAAAAAAAATATGGGAAATATGTGTAAAAATGTAATGTTCGCGACGATCCCGCGACAACGGCGAAAAATAAAAAAAATAAAAACTTAATAAATTACAGAATAATTAATGTTACGATAAAAAAAAAAAAAAAAAAAACCGAAAAATATATATATTGTATTTTTTTTGTTTTTCTCTCGAAAATCGTTCAAACAAAATATAAATATCGTATCGGCCGAAACATTACATGTGAATGCGTGCAATTATTGTTTTTAATATCGTGCCGTGTAAATATTATTGTTGATGGATTTCGATAACCGTGGAAAACGCACGAAAAACGATTACGCGGACTTGCAGGCGGCGGCTGTATGCCATGCGGCGCCGTCGGTTTCGGACTGTAACCGTCTGAACGCGAGCAGGTAAGTACGGAGAATGTGCGCGGCGGCCGTTCCCGCCATACGGAACGCGCCCCGGCACGCCGGGCCGCGACTATCGAACGCGCGAGAATAGTGGAAACGATTTCGATTTCGATTCACGGACTGTTAATGATATTTGTTACTGGTAAAAAACGCGTACAACTCGGTACAATGGTACAACACTATCGCGATATCGTACGCCGCGGTTCGCATACGCTGTACAATAATATCACCCGGTCGGCCGATTGTCGACTTTGCGATTTTCGCGTTCGTCGAATAACTGACAAACTCCATAATGATGATGATAATAATAATAATAATAATAATAATAATATCGCGTTACGGTTTAATGTCTCTGACCGATCGTCGTCGCGCCGTTAGTTTTAATATTAGACTCGTATTGGCCTGTTATCAAACCACCAATAACGGCGCGGCAATAATAACATTCGTTGTACGAGAACGACAACGCGACGGTCCGCGAGTCGGTTTTTCTTATTTACGGTTAATCGCCGCTTCGAGCCGGGGGGATTCGACGATTTTCAGATGATTGAAACGTCGGAAAATGTAAAAGAAATCGAGAAAAACGCGGACAATGTTCTAACACCTCTATCGAGTTGGAAAGCGGGCTAATATGTTACGCTCCGAGATAAAACTACGTAACGAATAATTAATATTGGCTATTATCATGTATTGATATATAAATAATTTGATATTTTTTTTATGTTCGGTAATAGATTTCATATCAGATTATGTTAGTTTTTTGGCTGATCGTTGATGAGAGTTTCGTCATTTTACAAGCTCCGATTTGATATTAAAACAATTAGGTACTTATAAGAGTAATTAAGTTAAATCTGACCTGTGAAATGGTTTTTAATACTTAGATATGTACATACAAATTTACTAAATTGGTATCAAAAAAATTATTTTTGTAAAGTTTGCGAATTTATGAACATACTATGTGAGCGAACATTGAAAAATAGTTTTTCAGAAGTGAATCGAGCGATTTTTATAAATGGTTGATTTTGGTTAATTTCGTGTTTAGAAAATCACAAAATTCGTTGCTTAAATTCATTAATGAGTGTATAGTTTATACCCGTAAATTTTTTACGAAAGCAACACTGCGGAAAGTAATGACTCTTTTGGCGTATCGAGAATTTTCAAAAAGGAAACAATGTAGTAGAAGTAATAAATAAATAACCCATAAATTAATAACGTAGATATAATAAATCCAAGCGCGAACTGATAAAAAAGGGCATGTAACTTTTGGGCAAATAATAGGGGGACAAATTAAAAAAAAAGCTTTCCTAGAATAATGGGGACGAGTGCAGCCATTGTTATAGGTTATTTTCATTTATATCTGTAAGCAACAGTTAGCCATTTCTAATGAAAAAACTCGCGGGAAAATCAAAAAATGACCTCCCTAAAGTACCTTCCCAGTCTAAATTATTTTCAGAGAAAGTGCTATCATTGTAAATTGGAGCGAAATTTCTGGTTGAAAAGTTGTCCACTGAAAAAAAAAGATTGTAATATTTTAATAATATATTTCGGACATTTTCCCGTTTTTCCTCTGTTTTTTTTTTTCGGTTTTTCCAACGACCACCTTAAAGTACCTCCCCAATTCGATTTTCGTTCAGAAAAAGTGCTATCATTGAAAATCTGAACAAAATTTCTAGTAAAAAGTTGTCCACAGAAAAAAAATTTTAAAACCATAAGGTTCTTCGCTCCATTCAAAAAATTTATACTGTTGACGGATAGGCGACTCTTGTAAGTGGATATTTGGGAAGAAATATACGGGGTCATTTTTTTTTCTTAAATAGTGTATGGAACAATAAATCGATCGCTACAAACGAAAAACGTTTCTAAGAGGAATATAGTATTAGTTGTGTTTGTTTCCTTATCGCTTACATAACCCCGAAAATGTCGATAAATTTAAGTGTATAAAATAGTAAAATTTATAAATAGACATGAAAACATTTACTTAATTTATAATATTTTACTTAGAACGTTTGTACTTTAAGATAGTTTTTTTTATAATGTAATTAGATATACAGTAAATAAATATAAAAGTAAAAAATGTATATGCATACAAATAAAATAAATAAATGAATGAATGCGTTCATTAGAATCATAAATTTTATATGATAAGAATTTAGAATGAGATCATGTCCATTGCTAATTACTATTAGAAAATTCAATAGTTCTTTAGAGAGAGTAC